GGCTGTGGGTGGACCAAAGTAAAACGCATTTTCTTTTTTGAATGTATGGACACCTTACAGCCATGAATCTCTGGTTGTCACATTCAAACTGTCATATTGTTTCCTTCTACCTACTGTAGGTGTTTTCAGGTGTTACAAAGTTTGTTTTTCAAAGTTTAATATATTTTACTTTATTTTCTTATTTCATTTTTTTTTTTCGATTTTCAGATTTTTCATTTGATCGAATTTAAACATGTTACATTTAAGTTTTCTCCCTGTATTTTTGCTTTAGTTTAAGATAAAGAATGGAAAATTATGGAAAAATGTATCCCCTGTATTCATGTATGTGCGATTATCAATTAAAGAGAACTGTCAAAAAAAAGAGAAGATCCACCATCATCTATTGGTTATTATTAGCCCAACCTTTTCCTTAAGGCCTCATTTTCTATTAATGACCCCTAACTAAGTGACATATTTTATGGATATTTCCTATTAAATTCAAAACCGTGCAATTAACCCAAACAGTAACTGCAACACGTTTTTGTAAACCAAGTGATTTGGATAATACATTTTGAGCAGATTATTTCTGTTTTTTTATCATTTTTTTTATACAATTCTCTGTCTGTATTATGTATTTATTTTTTTATAAATTTGAATAGGTTTTTTTTTTTGACAAATTCAGTCTTTTCTTGTCACTGACGTTGTACTATTAGACAATTTACACAGAAGTGAACCAACCAAATGCTGAGATATAGGCCTACTGTCTATATTTTTAAAGTTTTCTTACACACCTTAAAATCTAGAAGGCCTCGTGAACACCCAGGCTGGGAACCAGTGATATGTCTCCTGGTCAGTCCAACACTTTGGTCTTGACTGAAACATGTCAACCATTACGACATTCATGATTTCCAAAGGATTAATCTTACTGACTTTGTATCCAGTACCATCATCAGGTCAAGAAAATGTAATTCACAATACTTTGGTTTATGACAAAATACTTAAATGAGCTACAGCTGTACTTTGTTGAGTGCTAATTAGCAACCGACATGGTTAACAAGGTAAACATTATAAATTAGCATGTTTATTAAGGGTTGCAGTGGTTCGGCCACAACTCAATACTATGTATGATTCACTTGTCTGATTGAACAACTTAGGTTATACATGCTACAATTATTTGCATAGGCAGTCATAATGAAGCAAACACAGGAGACTGGCACACACAGTCAGTACAACACTACTTGATTTGAAAAAAAAACATAGGTCATTTGCATCCTCTCAGGATGGACTGATGTATAACTACAGATATGGGAATATGTCAGTAAAAAAACAGTGCTCAGTCTAAAAGAACACTTAAGAAAAGAACAGGTGAACATATTTCTTAATAGCACTAATCTGCAGCCTGATGTCAATATGATGCCTGATAAGTGGAAATATTTATAAAACCATTCCTGTTCTAAACTATTTCTCTGAGTATTTTTACTTTATGTTTTGAGGATACGTATATCTGATAAATGTTCTTTTTGAAGCATGAGGTTTCCTGGAGCAAGACTGCATGCTGTGCTCTGACACATGTGTTGAAGAATAATTTGAATTTGTGTTTTTGATACGTCATGCAAAAAACCCACAATCCTGCTGCTGTCTGACATATGAGCACAACCAGCATACCTATGCATAGGCTATTTGGCGTCAGCAGTCAGTGAGTTTGGAGACGCAGACAATCGGAAACAAACAAGGTGGGTGTTCTTTAAAAATGATGTTAATATTATTAATATTAGTTAATATTTCTAAAATGAGTTTCCTAATGTCCCATTTTCCACAAATAAGTTGGTCTTGTTTATTTCCACACTGGTTTAGGTTTTTTCCAGTTTTATACATAATGTTCAAAGTTTGTGTTTTTGAAAGTGACACCAGGGGTAGTAAAAGTGTACATCCTCTTTACTCAAGTAGAAGTACAGATTGAGGATTATTCAAAGAGACTCCGGTGGAAGTAAAAATACTGATCCAACTTATTTACTTCAGTAAAAGTGAAAAAGTGCAGGCTATGAAATTAACTTAATAAATTGATAATTCCCCTCAAGTGCATTCAAAGTTAAGTAGCAAGCCTGTTTTGAATGTGTACATGTAAACCGAGCAGAAAATACAGATATTTGTGTTAAACTTAAGGGAATAAAAAATAAAAGTTCTTGTCTTGAAGACATCTCTTACTGGGTTGGGTAGATGGTTGATAAACCTTAAACTTATTATTATGAAATATTATTTGTGATGTTTCCTTTGGGTGCTGATTTAACTTCCATTTTTGAAAACCTTTAGGACACTCCAGTGCCTCGTTATTAGAAGTTGCAGATTGGTGTATTTTGAGAACTCAAGCAGTCAATGGATGACACTCTGTTCCTGTCACTATACAAATTTTCAAAAAGAATGCCCTGTAGTAAAAGATAATCCAGGTACATTGGACAAAGAGTAACTGGTACCTTAAAGATTTGGTGATTCTCTACCATCAAAGCAGTCTGGCAGCCAAAATATCTAAGTCCTTGAAATACTGATTGCAATGAATAATAGTACATTTGTTTTCTTTTAGGCAGGTTGTAGGGATAAGCATACACATACCAGAGAGAAAAAAGCTCCTCCGTGAATTATTCTGCGTGCCCTGAGTGATAGCTGGAGCTTCCACAAACATATGCTGGACCTGAAACTCTGCAAGTTGAATCATGAGTATAAAAGATGAACAGCGGTGTTAGAAAATATCTGGTTCTTTGCAATTGTACAAGCCGTATATTCAGAAAACTAGAGACGCCAATCACTCAGCATTAAAGGTCCAGTGTGTAATATTTAGGAGCATCTGTCTGAAGAAATGGAAAGGTATATGATATGTATCACTATGTTTTCATTAGTGTTTAATCACCTCAAAATAAGAATCAATATGTTTTTTTACTTTAGAATAAGCCTTTTATAGCTACGGATGCCGTGTCTGTCATGGAGTCGGCCATGTTTCTACAGTATCCTGGCTCTAGTCGGGGGCGTTCGCGTTTTCACAGCCACCATAGTTTCTCCTTCACACTTAGAAGGGGAGGGTGAAGCAAGGGAGTTGCCATCACTTACAGATTCCAGCTCAGTACTTGATGAGTTTGACAATGATGTGGCAATGTGTTCCCAAATACAACTAATTAATTAAAACTGGTGCTGTGACTGTAGCCTAGACCATTCTTTGTTCTATGTTAAGAAGCATTGTATAGATCAAATGGGAGCTGCAGTGGGGGAAAATACTTCCAGAATCAGCATGAAATATAACTTGTGTCTCAATGTCTCTCTTTTCCCTTTCTGTGCGCCTCCTGTCTCGCTTTAATTTATTTTTCCCCTTAGGCATACAACTACATACAGATATGTCAGATAATTCCAGCAATGTTCTACTCTACCACTGCTCCAACTACACACTTGTCAGAGACATTGACTCCGCCATTACTGTCCTGAGAATTGTCCTCCTCCTCCCTCTCTGCACCCTCGTCCTCTACTTTGGTCAACAACGATGGCGACAGCAGGGCTCCTTTACAACAAGCCACTCTGATATCTTCACCTACCACATGGCGGCCATGCAGATGATCTGGATCTTGGGGTGCTTCTGCTACTTTTATGGTGGATATGCTGACATTGTGGATATAACAATGGCAGGAATCTGTACAACATCATTTGTTTTCTATGGAGAGACCTTTCTTCAAACTCTGACCTGTGTAGAGCGATACATGGCTGTTGTTCACCCCATCGTCTATCTTCGGCTGAGAAATACACATGGGGTTTGGATCAGACACATCAGCATTGGGTGTGTTTGGCTGCTGAGCTTTGCAATGACGGGTTTAGCCACTTTGTACATTCCTTTCTTCCCCACCGTCCCTTTCTTCTGTACTTTAGTCTTCTCCTTAATAGTTGTATCTTTTTGCAGCCTTTCTACTCTCTGTGCTCTGATTCGCCCAGGGCCAGGGGAAGGAAGTGGAGAAAAGGAGCGAGTTGACCAAACAAAGCAGAGGGCTTTCCAAACCATCACAGCCATAACAGGAGTGCTGTGGTTGTGGTTAGTTGGGTATGTTGTTTGCATTGCTATGGACAACTCATCACTGCTGAGCGACAGAGACGGCTGCTTGGTGATGACGTGTGCAGGCTTTTTGAATCTGCCCTGCAGTTTGGTGTTATTTGTGCTGTATCTACACAGGGCAAATCTAAATTGATGAAGCTGTGCCACAGAAAACCATACGCTGCCGTCCTATCAGAACATTGTTGTATATTGTTGATATAGGTGTGTGTCGTATATGTATGCGGAAAATAAACAGAACTTGTTTGCATGTTCCATCCTGGGTAAGCCCTCTTAACCTCTCCATAATGAGCTGTGGCAGCTCATTCAGCCAGCTGAATCAGCAACCGCTGATTTGTCATTTGTGCCTGCTGTCATCAGACTGAACGACAGCAATGGAAGCCACAGATATGTTTATTGCATTTTGTACTATATGATATCTCGATATTAATAACAATTCTAAGTATAATCACATAATGATATGATATAATATTCTGCTGTACACTGTTATAGCTGATGATATTACTCATGCTAATAACCACTATGTCACTTTGCCAACAGTATTAGACACTAGTTTTACTCTATGCCTACTGCTATTGTATTATCTTTAATTTTGTATCAGTGCTACTTTTAATTATATATTTTCATCAAGTTTGTCTATTTATCTGTACGTTTTTCTGTCCTTATGCTATGCAAAACGTGAATTAATCAATAAAGGATCTTATCTTATTATCATATATTACAAATAAATTGTAAAGTTACCTTACCGTGTGCTGCAGGGGTGGGGGTTGGACGGATTGTGAGCAGGCATAATTTGGTGACTTTGAATGCTGCTTGTGGATATGACAAATCCAGTATGGCAGTTATCAAAGCCACTTATGCATGCATACAAATGTCATCAAAACACATTGAGATCTTTCAATAAGCAACATTCTCACAAAACCAAACCACAACAAATGGCTGCCACTTAGGAATCAATGCTTTATTTTAGTGTTGAGTGTGTGTGGATGTTAAAGAGACAGTCCATACTGTGAACAGACATAACATATAGTAAATACAGAGAGACAGAGAGAGAGAGAGAGAGAGAGAGAGAGCAGGCAAGTGACTCACTACATATCCACTTGAGGAAAAAAAAAACTAAATTGATGTACAATGTTGTTCATCTCATGGTGCAAACTAACACTGATAGACACCCAAGCTACATCATTGACAAATGTAGTTTCCAGTTGTTGTTGTTTTTTTTTTTCCTGATTTCAGAACAAAAACTCCCTCAAATGGAGGTGTAGTCTACAAATGAACTATTTGAAATGGTTATTAGCTAACTTACCTATGTTTGCAACAAATTCCAATTCAAGATCACTGAGAAGGCAGTTCCATCATGTCAACTTCCAAACAACATTCATGTATTACTTAAGGCTGATTCTCCAGCTGAAAAAGGCCTAGATTATTTAAAGAAACACAACCTGCTTTTGTTGAAACAATCAATACCGCCAACAAATCCAAAAATCTTCTCCCAGCTCTTGGTTGATGTTGATTTAGCGGCTCTATTGGGCGCTTAAACAAAGTCAGAAAACGTACTTCTTACAGATTCTGGAACAGACAACATGAACTACATTTTGGAACAACTTTAATCTATTATTCCTATTTGTTTTGTCTTAGCTATCTGTAAAAGAGACGGCTACCATTGTTAGCATTCAGCATAGACACCAAAGGCTACAAATAACCAAAAACGATTGAGTTAGGATACAACAAGTTGTGTTAACACTTCAAAATAAAGCTCCGGACCTGGACCTGGATCAGAAATGCAAAACTAACAAGCTGTTTTTGCTTACTGGCTAGCTTGATGTTGTTTTCCCACAAAGCAACTTTCATTTGACAAAACAATAACAGAATAAAACTTTAAACGCTGATTTGTCCACTCGTAACAGTCAATATAAAACGTATCAAATACCAACAATCATATTTTGATTCAACATAACAGACAAAATGTACAAAAAGAAGAAATATAATGGGCACTTAAGAGTTTCAATGCACATGGTGGAACACAATCAAATGGTAAGATAGAAAGATTGAATGATTAAATAAATAAATAAATAAATAAATAAATAGAAGCAATAACTTAAGTTTACTAAATCAGTTGTGAACATGTGACAAGTATATTTCTGTTATTATTTTTTCTTCCTGCTTTAATAAATAGACTGATAGACATCATGTCCACCACAAACTATTAGTCAACAAAGATGTTCTCTATATATTAATAATAAAGGCTAAAACTGTCCAACTGAATGCTGATGTGAGTAACTTAAATGCTTTTCTTGCCTTTTTAATAATTAATGTAAATGCTTTGTATTATTATCACTATCACATAGCACTTTTCCAACAGTAATTTGTAAATGCTTTGCAGTGTCACATTTGTCTCATGTCCATTACTGTAAATATTCTTCGGAGTTGGTGAGCTGTTTGTAAAATGGGAGCTTACAGCTGAAATGCGGTATGTTTGATGTTAACAATCACATATTACAGAGGCATGCTTCTAGAACACTGAGGCATTGCTATATGGGTGATGACAGAACATGTGGAATTGTACAAGCCAGCGACGGCACTTCTCGGAACTCTTCAAGCATTCTAGAATCCTTGGCAATGTCGAGGAATGAATCGAAACATTCTAGAATTTCCTCCCCGGCCTCCTGTTTTTCATTACCGAGACAGCGAGCAGAAACAAGTGTGTAAAAATGTTACAGATTCCAAATATGTTTGTTAATTTGAGCATTTTACATGATATTATTAAAGGTATTCTCACAAATATATATGATAGATTTATAGACTTTTTTTTTCTCCTTGCGACAAATCAGGAAAAATATATTAACACTCAAACCAAGCATAGATAGGCAATGCTGCTCATCAAGTTACCGCGTCAATCAACCAAATAAATCAATCGTTCAGTCATAAGAATCGTTCATAAGAATCAAGCAATTGTTTTCTACTAATTAATTTGTTCCTTAAGACTTGTAAAGAATACTAGCATATGGCAAGAAACAAAATAAACATTCCATATTCAGACAATCCTAATGTACAAACAATGGACAACAGGCTAAAAGTGGCCATTGTCTTAGTCTGATAATGTGTTTCTAATGACCATCACAGAGTCAATAGTGCGTGCTTAGGTGCAATTCCTTCAGTCATATTTACAGATTTTCACATTTACTGCTGGGAGTTTCCCTGTACAGCCACAGTCCTCTGCCGCTGGACCAGTTTAAAGCTAAGTGCTCTGCTCAAGGGCAACCTAACAAGCTCTAAGAGTTGGTAGCTAATGTTAGCCTCCAAATGTCAGAGCTGATGTTGGTGTACGAATGTAAACTACGGTACAAAAGCCGTAGGGGAAGTCTGTGGTAATGAGTGGCAAATGATGTCAAACCAAGACGTAGACCTCTTTTAGCTCAGTGGCCATTATTTTGTCAATGACGTACAACATTCTCTCCTAAAACACCATCCTGTATGTATTCATTTGTGCCTCTGATGCTTCTCCGATCCCTTCATCCATTATTCCTTCCATTGTTGGTTTAGGAAGCAGTGGTTTCCAAAGACATTCTCGTCATCGTCGCCTTTCACAACCTTCATTTGTTCCTTTCTTTTTTAAAGCCTTATTTCATCCATTCCTCATTTTTTATACTAATGCCATACTCAGAGAAAGAGGGACTTCCAGAAGTTGACATCATGAATTAGTCGTTGCATAACTTTTTTATACTCCAGCCTTGCATGACTTTGTGTCCCATTCTGTTGAATTTCTCAAATTTGCCCAAGGGCAAAATCTTGAATCCACCATCTTTCCAATTCCCCATGTCTGCTTACAATCCTGATCCCTCTTTAGACTTTAAGAGGATGTAGCCCAAAGACCAGTCTTTGCCCCACTATTCTCTGCTAGTTAATGTCTACTGTTTTTTATCTTTATTAATCAAAATCAACAAAGATGTCAAAACTAGATTGACTTCATTGTGGTAAAGTGATGTAATGATGACTAATTCTTCTTCTTTGCTTCCTCCATCCCTCCTTACATTGTTACAGGCAGCGGTTCATGCAATAATTCCAAGAGTTTGACATCGTGCACCGTATCTTTTCATTCCAACAATGGCCACCCCAACTGTCCCTCCTCTCACCACTTCATTTCTCCATCCAAGCCTCCATCATTGTAGGTATCGGTAGACTTTGAAGCAGTGGTTGCCAGAGTCGGCAACCACCACATGTCCGTCTGAGGTTAGAGCCAGACCTTGAGGCCCGTAGAGAGGATCCGCTGATGTATTGATGTAGGAGAGGAAGGAGCCACTGCCGTCAAACACCTGGAAATGTTAGAACAGAGAAAAATGTGTTTTCATGATTGCAAAAACTCTCAACAACCTAAGAACAGGCTTCTTGTCATTAGAGATCAAGGACTGCGTACCTGTATTCTGCTGTTCCCCCAGTCAGCTACAATGATGTTCCCATTAACGTCCACAGCCACGCCAGTGGGAGCGTTGAACTGGCCGTTTCCCTCGCCATTAGAGCCAAATTTCAACACTAGCTCCCCATCAGGGGTGAAAACCTGACAGAGAGAGAGAAAGATACCAGAATCTGTAATAATGTGTCCTGTTCTGGAGGGTTCTGGAGCAAGAAATTAAATATCTACCTGTTCACCTAGACTAAAAGTATCATTTCAGTTCAGTCAGTAAGGCCTTACCTTGACTGAGTGGTTATGGAAGTCAGTTACGATGATCTCGTTGTTCTTGTTCACTGCAGCAAAGTGTGGACCTTCAGGACAGGAGCACAGAAACAGGTTGTGCTGTGAGTGCTTCAACTAACACCTCAACACTTGCTGTTCACTGCCTTTATCCAATGTTCTTATGTCTGTTGTGGAAACGTATGCAAATCTGCACATTTATTTTATACAATATTTACATTTGCAAACATAAAATTTCAGAAAGAATTTAATACCAAAAATAAGAAATGTAATTAACAGGGGAGGTTTAATGGGATTAGCTATTTTATTTAATTTTTTATCCTCCTCACCTTTATTGTCTTAAAATGAAATTGTAATGATGTTCAGGGATCTAGGGTAGGGTAGTTTGGCACAAACGTTAAAATTACACAACTAAAAACATTTAAAAATGATGCAGCCACCCATGTTTTGCTTATAAAAGGAATCGATACCGATGTGTAGCTTGTGACTATTGAAGTATCCATACCCGAGGATTGATCCACCCATCCCTACTCTAGGTTTTTCCACTTTCACTTTAACTGCTGTCTGTGATCACACTTTATCTGACACTTCAATGGCTCTACCTTCCTTTGAACAAGTTCTACCTGCAAATTGCTTGTCACCGTTGCCTCGACTACCAAACTTGGTGATGAGCTTGCCGGTCAGCTGGAAGATGAAGACCGTGCATGCCTTGTTGTCCACCACGATCACATGACCATTCTGGTCCACAGACACGCCCTTTGGCCCCATAAGTCTACCGGAGCCAAGCTTCGCCTGATAGATGCCAAAATCAACCAACGAGAAGGGACAACCATTCAACAAAATGCATGAGATGAGAGTCTGAACAAATTGTTTTCATGCATCAGAAAATCTACCAGCCACCATAAAAGTCCACCAAGTCCATAAAAGGTAAAATACAGTTTATATTTCTATACTGATGCTCAGTCGATTTAAATTAAAGAATCAATCAAATTTACAGTAATCCTTCAAGCTCAAAACCACGAGTGCACCTACCTTGAACTTGCCCTCACAGGAGAAGATGCTGACCCACTTGTTATCGTAGTCTGCAATGATGATGTCACCGCTAGGGTGCACGGCCACGCCCGTGGGACGCTGCAGTTGCCCCGGCGACCGCCCACGTACCCCAAAGCGAGTCTTGAATTCCCCCTCGTTGGAGAAAATCTGGACATAATAGACATAATGCATACCTTAGCTTAGACCTAAACCTAAATTTGACCTAAAACCAAGTCTGAACCCTCCAACAGCCACATGAAGAAGAGAGGAGCAGATAGAATAAGCTGTACCTGGACACACTGATTATTACTGTCAGCAATCAGAATTCTGCCGCTGGAGGAGGCTGCGACTCCTTGAAGATTGGTGAACTCTCCTTTATTCCTCCCTTTCGTTCCTGAAGTGAGAAGGAAAAATCTGATAAATTGATTTTCTGACTGACGATATTTCTCAAAAACATCATCATTTCTGAATTTGTTTTGAAACATTTCATTACGGCAATATTAAAATCCCTTGAATCCTTGGCTCTGTTTTGACTTATTACCATCTTTTGGTTATTTCATGCTATTGTTATTTTCAAAATAAGATGGACTCCAAAATGCCATCAGTTTACATGTGAGTGATACTATACACATTCTAGGACAGTTTTTATTAAGTGTTATGCTTACAATCGTTAATTTCATCACTCTTATTTCTATTTGTGATAAAAATGTTTTGAATTTTGGCACTACACTTCCCATCATACTTTGTGTGATAAACAGGAAGTATAATGGTGCCAAGGAGTAACGGTGGAAACAAAAAACTGGAGCCAGGCTCCACCTTCTTGGCCGAATTTGGATTTTCCAAAGAAAATTGACAATATGGCAGCCAGCAGTAAACCCAAATCAAAGCTTCAAAATTATTCCCAGTGAATCCTATTGCTTTAATAATAGCTTTAGCTCTATTAGGTGAAATAAAGTGAATCTGCTGGTTTATCTGCACTGCACTGTTGAAGAGTAACGCCTCACCGATCCTGAAGATCAGGTCATCCTCAATGGGGTTCTGGGTTTTGCGTCGCGGGGTGCCCAAGGCGCTGCTGGCTCTCTTGGAGCCTTTTTTTTTCTGGCCGGGGGACTTCCCTCGTCTCTTTGCCCCCTCAGAAGAGCCCGTGGACGGGGTGGCGTAGGCTGCTGAGTTGGTTGCTGTGGTGGTTGAGGGGGACACCTGGAGACAGTGATGGAGGAAGAATACAGTGCTTACAAGTATGAATTTTAGGTGTTATGTTAATATGTAAGGTCAATTTTTTAAAGTTTCAATTAAGTACATTGATGTGACATGGCATTCAGTGCAGTTATATGTATAGTGATGTGTGGTAGGCTAGCAAGTTAGCAAAAAGTTTGACTGGCCCATTTCACTGTGATGCGATTACCCAGAGGTGACACCACACGCTTTTAAACTTATAGTTCCCTTTGGGCTACGTCCATTTTTGTTCTGAAACCGTCAGTCAGACAATCATTGCAGTCTTTTCTCATTGTTCACACAACCACTTTTGTTATCCCCATAATTATCGCTTGCCTTTCGGTGTCAGAGTGGGATATTCACCCCACCTACCAGTGTGGGCGTTTACATAGAACCATCTGGGAAGTTGTAGTTGGAAACTGTTTGATAGGGAAGGCACTTTCAACAAATTCTCAGCAGGTGATTGGATGAATCCTCTATCACCGTCTATCACAGCTGAACTTCGGAGTAGTCAAACTCTTACAGAAACCAGTTGGGAGAAGAGTGAAAATATATTTTCCATCCAGAAAAGCATGTCAGTAATTCCTCAAAGGACCTGGAGCCTGGCAGGATGAATTCTCGCATGATTTCGTGATCTTGTTGAGTCCAGCTGCCTCGCAAGGGCAGTTCTGAACAGTCATGAACACTTTTTCTTTCAGACTTAGTTGGACGAAACCAGGTTGTTTCATTTGTACCCTGGCCTTAACTGTACACCACGGCTGAGGCCTTCAGGAATTTGGTCAGTGGTTGGCCAAGTGAAAAATTCAGCCTTGTTATGAAAATGAAGGCATGGCCCCAAACTTTTGCTACCCACACACACCCTCCACCCACCTCTACTTCTGCCTCTGAGACCCTGTTGACAGTCAGCTTGAAGGGGCTTCCTTTGATGTGCTGGTCATACAGACGCAGAGCCAATGAGAAGTTGCCCTCCTTCGGTACTATGTACACAAACTCATAAGTCCCATTCTTGTGGTCCACTATTTCACCGTCCACTATGCTGCCATCTGGGGTGAATACCTGGATAAACAAACATATAAACAAAGATAATGTTTAGTCATTTCTCTGTAAATGTGTCCACATTGCACTTTTTTTGAGTGACGGTGTAAAACAAACCTCCGCTGACAGGATTGCATTGCCACTCTTGCAGGCTCCACCTGACTTGTCTCTTGTCACTATGGTAACTGAGGCAGGATGTCCCACAATGCATTGCTCCAGGCCTGCACCCATCGCCTCGCTCTGGCTTGCCACCGCACTGATGAAGATGAGGGTGGAGAGGGTGGGTCGAATGGTGTTAAATGCTAAAAAGCTTATTTTTAGCACTGGTTTGAATATTTTTAGTCAGCATGGTCTCACCTGGTGGTGACGATGGTCCCCAGGTTGTGTATCGACTTCCTCAGCCCGTCCGTCTCCAGCACCAGATCCAGCTGGTCGTTTTCCTCCGGCTGACATGGCAGGCCGAGGCCAGCTAGCTCCCCCAGCCTCTCCCGCAGCTCCCGCTCCGCCTGTAGAGTCGCCACGCACGCCTCCCCAGCCAGAGCCTCCTCCGACTGGGTACAGGAAGCCATGATGTCCCCCTCTCCCCGGATGAGGCTGTCCACCTGGGCCTGGAGGACCTGGAGACACCATAGATAGGATTGTTACTGAATCATCGATTTTGTGAAGTGGCCCAGTGGCAAGAGAGGCTGTATTTTCACACCCATCAAAAAAACTTCATTAGTTCTCATTGTTAAACTCAGCCAGACGACAGAAATATTGCTGTCAAACATGAAAGCACCTTCTGTTTGAGTCCATATGTGACCTCCAGCTCCATCAGCAGAACACTCTTCCGGACATCAAGCTGCTTGTGCAGATCCTCAAAACTCGACTGGATGTCCTCTTCGATGGAAGTTCTCTGATTGGTCAGCTGCTGGAGGATCTCCTTAACAAAGGACAGGGCGTCTGCAATCTGAGGGAGTCTGAGGAGATAAATATGGAGGGAAAAAAAGCTTGTTGCATTTCTTTCAATGGAAATATACCGTCCACACAGTTCACGCCAGGGAATGCTTTGTTAATCCTTTGTTTGGTACATTAAATATTAATGTGTGGAACCTCATATGAATATAAGATTGTTTGATCCTTTTATTAAAACATCAATGTGTCCCTCTGCGTCATGATAAATCGCTAATGGTTGAAGAGTGCAAGACACACTGTGCATGTTCCTGTGAGTGTGCTTGAACTGCAGACATGAGAGAGATGTTTTATGGTCCTGGATTTCCCAGCCTGTCCACCAGATGGCAGCTTCCCCTGTTCACTCCAACAACTGTGTCTCATTAGTGTCTCTGTATTCCCTGTGTGTCTTTATGCTACGCTCGAACTAAAAATTTTTGGTGCTTGTAATTTACTTGAGTATTTGCATTTAATAATACTTTATACTTCTACCACACTACAGTTCAGAGGTAAATGATATGAGATAAAACTACCAACAACACATAAAGTAGTTATAATTAGCTTAATCTTCACCAGCTAACATGTTGAAACCTTAATAAAAATGTAATAATAAAACATATAATAAAATATAATATAATAATATAATTGTATGATATTTTTAAGTGATCTTAAGTACATCTTTCTGATGCTACTTGATTATCCTGCTGATTCCTTTAAATTAAGTAAGATTTTGAACACAGGACTTGTAATGGAGTATTTTTACACAGTTTTATTGCTTCTTTTACTTTAATAAAGGATCTGAATACTGACACTACCACTGTATTTGTCTATTTGAGAAGACTTTCTTGGATGACAAATAGTGTGTGAGAAAGAATTTACTGACTTGAAAAAAAAAAAGTAACTCGCATCTTTTAATGAGCTTTGGCTCCAACTCCAAGTATCCCCCTCACAGCGGACACATCAATCACGACAACTGGTAATCACGTGTCCAAAGCTAGAATATTGAATTTAAATGTGAACTATGTGTACCAATGACTGTTAATTTATGTTTTGTTTGATCAGAAATCAATATTAAACTGAGGACATCAAAGCAACATTACAGGTTTACCATTTACACCACCACTATAACTGTGTGTAAATTAAACTTACAAGAATACAGTCATGACGGTGTGTACTAACCACAGCCACTGAGACTTCTACCTGTTCTGGGCGGCCCCCATCCGCTCCTGCAGGCTGCTGTGGTGCTGCTCCAGGACTTGGCTGAGAGGCACTTTAGGGTGCTCTTCGTGGTCCGACACACAGTCCTCACACAGCGGACACTCGCAGGCCGAACAGTACAGGTCTGCCACCTGCAGGTGAGAAGGTGAGCACAGTGGTGGAGACAAAAGGAAAGGATAGAGAGCACAGTTAGAGGGAGATTTGGATAAGTAGAGTTAAATTCACTAGACTGAGGGCTCAGATGACACTGTTCAAATGAATTATGTGTCTTTGATTTGTGCTTTGGCTGCCAAACCCAAAGCCAACAGGTCCATACAAATGATCAGGTTTAAAGGACTCTGATTGTTTTTTTATGTTATTTATTACGAGGTTTCTCTGTGAGTTTGTCATTCTGCATCCTTGCATGTCATGTGTAGCCAGTCAGTAACCATAGTTATATTATTTCAGTATTGAAATGAAGCAGAAAAATAGCTCATATAGGTCAAGCTTGGAGCTAAAATATTGCAGAATACCAGTCGAGTTCAGGCAGATCTGGGCTTAAAGGAATAGTGCAACATTTTGGGAAATATGTGTATTCATGGCTGTTAAAATATATATGTATTTAAATAATTGAATTAATATCATAAATGTGGCTTCATCTAAGCACTTCTTGTCGACTAGGGAAGGATGCAATCACCTGCCGTGTACTTTTTGAAAGTCCCTGCCCTCTTCAGTTGTCAGCGATGACTTCCCAGATGGTTCGGTGTAAGAAACCACCTGGCACAGTCAGGTTACGCAAAACCCAAATGAAAACGCAGAACAAGGAGGCCCATAAATATTGCATTCCTACCTTTCCTGCATGTTGTGGGCAGGCGTTTTTACCGGGTGGAGCCTCCAGGACTGTGCACTCTTCACTGCTGCTATCTGGGGAGTGTTGGTGGGTCTCCATCTGCGAGCGGCAGCCTGGTGGGGGTGAACCTCCGAACACACCCCTTTCTCCACGCTGCAGCCAGGGGAAAGGGCTAGGGGCGTCCCGATACACGGTTTCCTCCTGTCTGGTTGTACTGTCTGCTATCGTAAACTCCTTGTCTCACACTTTATTCCATCGTACGTGTGAGAGGAAGGGGCAAAACATTCAAATGAACTCTTTATGATAACTCGTGGCACATGCTGGATCTGAGGAGAGGCATGGCTTTTGCTGTCAAAGTGGAATTATCTGTCTTTGCAGCCAGGAGGAGGGGTTAAACATTCAGACACACCCCTTTCTGAAGGACCCAGTCAAATTTGAGGGATTAAACACCCATATGCCCCCCCTTCCTGCAGGACTTTTCCACAAAGCACCCAGAAAACGTGTGCTGGGAAATAAGATGTAGGTGTTGTTTCTCTGTTTTAGTGTACAATCATGCACTTTTGTCAGAGCTAACAATCTTCTATATCTTGGCAGACATTGTTCCATTACATTCCTGTTGTGTAAAAAGGCGTCCAGGCAAAACTCCACAAGTCTTCCACTTAAAAAGTCCTTCTGTTTCCATGTGTTGTCTTATCCGGGAAGCAATACGTCTCCTGAAACACGAAAAGGTCAATCCTCTTTAGGTCTAATCTGGGGAAAAGCCACAGACCTTGGTGTTGATTTAATTCACAATGGGTTTACACTCAGGACAGCCTCCACTGTGTCCTGGGGAGAAAAGAGAGGGATGAGGATTAGGTGGAAAGGCAGATAAAAAAAAAGACACTTCTGCCCCTAACTCTTGGCCGTGTTCTTCCCTCCTTTGTGATGAGTATGATTACAAGTTTCATCAAATACCAAATTTTGGATATTGTTCATTAATGTTACATGTAAAAGAGAAATGAAACCAGATAGTGGAGGTTCATTTTCAAATTTAGTTTCACTTGAAATCTTTTCACACATTCGGAAGTAACAAAAACGGGAGTTCCTCTAATGGCCCCTAGAGGCTGGCTCCAGAAGGCCCCATATTAAAATGTCTAAAGCGGCCACACCCTTAATTATGTATAACTTTAGAGATGATGCATTTCTTTCAACCACCACAAGATGGAAAACTCTGATTGCATTGACTGTGAGATGAGTGGATCATTAAGTCATGGATTCTACACACAACACGTTGGACCACAAACAGCCTGTTTCGTCACTATAGGAATGCCCATATGTTCCTTCCAGGTGGCGCATCAGATCACTGCACACCCCTAATTAACTCCCAGATGGTACACTCATAGTGGGGATCATGTGCAGCAAGACCAGATACAGATAGTATGACGCACAGATGGGGGGGGCTGCATGTAGGACCAACAGAGAGAAGTGAATGAAGAGATGAAGAGTAAGATGCTAATAAAGAGCTTCTGGGAGCAGTAATGTAGGTCACCGAAATGTCTTCAGAGTGATGGAAAGAGAGAGAGAGACGGGAGTGAGGCTGTGGTTTCCAGGGTAACAGACAGCATGGTGGGGAGGGGGGTGTGTGTGAGGACGACATACAACCAAAAAGTGAAGCAGTCATGGTCCCTTTAATCCTTAAAATCCTAAATTTAACAGTCTGCGCGCTTCACAGAGCAGAAATGAGCACATCCAGTTGAGGAATCCTCATCTGGACTGCGTGGATCCTGAGTCGTTCTTTACGTCCAGAAAGGAAGAAAACAATGCTTAAAGTAGTACATTTACAGCCCGTCTGTATTTTAACCACGTCTGTGTGTAAAATATGAACTGAATATTCCTATGAATGATTTATAAAGGGGAGGGATTATGGATATGAGCTGCCTGTGATCTTGTACATAATCCTGTTTTAACACCTCCTCCCCCCAAAATATTCTGCTCAGAGCACACAACCTTCCTGACGTGAAAGTCTAGCCTTACACAGACTAACACACACTTTACGTCTGTCTGACACACACACACACGGATAAGTTTGTCTTGTTTCCTATGATATTTTTTATTTTATCCTCCAATGAAAATGCATATCATCTTATTTTTGAATACATTTTCCACACAGAGATGCACACACGTAACTGCGACACCCCCACACTTTCATTCTCTGCAGTACAATGCTGCAAAGGATTATGGGGCGACAGTGAGGCTCTATTTGCAGGGTGTGTGTGTGTGTGTGTGTGTGTGTGTGTCTGGGCCTTGTGATACTGTGGTGACTGTTTGTGACTGCCACTTACAGAGCGAGAGACAATTGAACGCTTTCTTTCTTTTTCTCTGCAGTTTCATAGAACATTCATTTATTCATCTATATTTTGAACTGATGTGTACGTTGTGTGGTTGTTGAGTTTGTTCAGTGTGAGCATGTCCAGACTTCAGACTTCATATGTGTCATTGTGTGTTCTTGTACATTGGGCCAATTTGAATTTACAGTGTTAAAGTTATCATCTTTAAAATGTTCATGAAATCAAACTCAGTAATTACCTCACTAAACCTCACATATAGTCAAATTCAGATCATGTTGCTCGTGATATGATTACAGACTTCTTTATTAAAGTCGTGAGTTTTGTTTTGTCTCCTTTTGTTCTGTCTTTTGCCTTCTACGAGTCACAACAAGCGACGGGGGATCACCTTCGTTCAGAAAGGTTCTTGCTTTAGCAGCTTTTACTAGAAATTTGAAGTGATGCTAACTTAATTTATTGGTTACAGAAACATTTTACAAGGCATTTTGTTTGCACAGTACAAATAAAAATGTTTTGCAGTGTCACACTGTAATGTGATATGTTATTTGAACTCAATTTTGTAGTTCAAGTTAAAAAATATTCTTTATTAAGTACTTTCTATTCAAAATGAAGTTAAAAACTTAAAATTACCAAAGCTACTTGATCAAGAATGTTTTTTTAACTTAAAAAATTGAGTTAGTTTCCAATGTAATCAGTTAAATTAACTTTTTCTGTTGTTAATTCCTGAAACACACACAGAGGGCAGTTTGAGTGTTAAAACTTTAGCCCTCACTAGCACACAAGTATAACATAAATAATGTGTGTGTGTGTGTGTGTGTGTGTGTGTGTGTGTGTGTGTGTGTGTGTGTGTGTGTGTTTGTATTTACTGCCACATTGAACGGCCCACAGTTTAATGTTCGCTACAGATCAGGGTGCCATAAACGTCTGCTAGCTCTCAGCAGTGCAGGATTGATTCTCTTTCTACCTTAACATATTTCATTTTTATTGCACCGTAGTCATTAATGTATTGGGAGAAAGCTGTGTGTCACTGAGCTGCTCTGCACATCCAGACTCAGCTCTGCAGGAGCACATGGAGGCTCGATGCCTTGCTAAAAGGCCCCTCAGCCGTGGTTGTAAAAGGGAATCGAAAGAAAGTTTTAGAAAATGAGTCTCATTCTTTTGTGTAGAAATCTTGTCAAGCATGTTTTGCATTAGAATCTGGTTTTAAGAAAATACATCTGACTTTGTCGTAATAAGATATTACAGCTTATATTGAGCTAAAATAATGGTTTGCATAATATCCCAGCAGAGGAACGAGATTATTGTCCTTATTTTAAGAGTAAGACTACTTCCACAACGTCTCAGTTTAAGAGAAAGTCGTCTTGTTGTTTTAATATGTATAAATATAATATAAAAAAATAAGAATGTTTCATTTAAGACATTATTTTCTCTTATTGAAATATTCTTTAAAGATTAATATACAAATTCTTAAATTCAGTGCGTAATAATGTGTCTGAAAGTTAAATTTTCACTGCTTGTAATAAACACACCTTCCTTACGTTGTTAGGCCCATTTCAGTCTAAATATTTATGCTTGTTTTCAGAAGATTAGATTATATTTAAGATTATTTAGCTTGTTTGCAGATGGGCTGTTCCAGCAGTGCAGACAACTCTTGGATCACAAATTGACTACAGTTTCCAGCTTATATCTCCAGACTGTGCATTGCATAATTATTTTCACACCAGCTGGTCGAAATGTAATTTGTTAACTTTTAGTTAATCGTCTTATTTGATAATTCCACCACTTTGGTCCAGACTGAAATATCTCAACAACATCTAGCCCAAAGTGTCTTTATATCTTTCTTGGCTCTGATTGGTTGTTTTACGTTCTGGCCTGCTGGATTTTTGCAAATGATAAATGAAAGTATCTGTCTCATGTGCTACTGTCGGGATATAGTGAAAGTTACAGCAACTGCAGCTTTAAAAGGCGAAAGACTTCTGACTTCCCTCAGAAACTGCATAAACCGTGGTGAAGAAAACATTTTGACCTGCCAGATACCCTCACACTAATCAATATCGTCTCTCTGATAACCTACAACTGAATAAAATAAGAAAATGATTCAACAAATCAGTATTTTGTGAAATGTTGATGTTGTAACTGTATTTTATCCCCCAGTTTTTTTTTAACTAAAAATCAACGTTGGGTTTAATAACCAAATTATTCACTAAGATGTTGAGGATACGCCTGCTAGACGCCATTAACACTGAGAGCTTGTTAGCTATTGATGTTAGCATTTAGCTCACAGCTTTTCTTTTTAACAGATCATTTCCAAGGACCTTTCCAGGACATTATCCAGGAAATACACGACAACATTTTCTCAGAAACGCTCGTATTATTTGGTGATTTGACTTCAGTTTACGACAGTTTTCCTCAAACCTTCGTTTACATATGCGAGCTGAGTGCTGGGCGAAAATATAATTAAACTTTTCCAGGATATTTGGTCATTTTAATCAATATCCAGGTTTACCAGGACGCATTTTTGGAGTCAATTTCTGATGATTTTGTACAGACTCTATTTGCCTGTTGCTGTTGATAGCCTAGATCCAGCTCTGCTGCCACTGTTTCATGCCTCAATTCACCAAAAAAAAAGGCCACAAAATACAAAAATAATGAAGAATGAGGGAAATGAACTGCCATATTAAGTGAGGAACCCACCATAAAATCCCCTTAATGTACCAGATGGAAGAACTATTGTTGCCTATTTGTTGCAGTAACTCCACACTCATTCGGTTCATTGATTATTTGATTTGAGATGAGGTAACTTACGTCATCTTGGCTCCACAGACCAGACTCCATTGCATCATCGTGACATTTAAAAAAGGAAGAAATGCTGGAAATCCAATAAGAATGAATTTGAGTTACGTAGTTTCTGCAGGCTGAGGCAGGACTGTAAGAGTCAGACCAGTTTCTGAAGAGCTTGTCAGTAAATCTACAGCTGACACACAAACACACATGATTGTAATCTGATCTCTTTCTCTTCATACGACATATTCCCATGGGAAAGCTCATGGTCACTCTGTTTCTCTTTCACCTACTCTCTCTCTTCTGTGTGTCTCCTTTGTTGTGGGAAATCCAGTTTATTTTTCATTTTGGTTGGTTTTAAAAGGGGGTTTTACACTCCCAGACACTGTTAGACTGTAGAAAGATATTAGATTCATACCTGGTAGTCTCTGACTTACATCTGGGTTCAAACTATTCAGATTGCTCCGCAGCTAAAGAGCCAGATATTTCCCTCAGGAGTCGGTAGAGAACAAAAACTGAGCTAAAAGAGGCTGAATACTGGACTTGCATTCATTAGGTGGACACAAACACGACTACAAATCTGGATGTATAGGCAACTGTTTGTTAACAAGTTCAGTTTAATAACTTTATAGGGTTTAATAATATGTCAGCGTTGTGCCAATTAATGCAGTTTTAAACTCAAATTTAAAGTCAAATCCTGTCTTTTGCAGCGCTCTCAAGTCTTTTTGTTTTTTTGTCTTAATTTTTGTGATATTGTGTGAAAGACGAGTTTAACAGCATTGTATATTATTGTTATTGATGTTGTCTTTGTTGTATTACTATTGTGGCAACTAGTCAAAACTAAACAAACAAAAAAATCCCACAATAATCAAAATATTTATGGCAGTTAGCATCGAACTAGCATTTCTTACCAGTTTTATCCTGTTGGTTGTGGTGAGATTACGACAGTTTCCTCCCAGATGCAGATTTAAAGATTACTGGCCTCTCCTTGTTTATATATAGCCAGGATTGTTAGACAGCTCTTTTTTTCCTTCTGTATGTGGCCGTTTGTATGTGTGGTTATTTTGTGTCTCTTTGTAGTCATTTTGTGTCTCTCTGTAGTCATGCTGCACCTCTTTGTGGTGGTTTGCATCCCTTTGTAACTTTGTAGTCGTTTTTTCCTGTGTCTTTGTGATTTTCTTCTTTGTGGTTTTTTAACATAGTTTTGTAGTCCTTGTGTGTTTCTTTGTAGTCGTTTTGTGTCTCTGTGTAGTCGTTTTCAATCTGTATGTGGTAGTTTGTGTCTGTGGTTGCTTTGCGTCTCTTTGTGGTAAATCTTTGTCTCTTTGCAGTAATGTTGCATCGCTTAGTCAATGTCGTTTTTCTTGTGTCTTTGTGGTCGTTTTCCATTCTTTTCTGTTTCTCTGTAGTTGGTTTGTCTCTCTTTGTAGTCGTTTTCGGTCTGTTCGTGGTTGTTCTGTGTCGCTTTGTGTTCGTCTTGTGTGTCTTTGTGGACATTTTGTGTTTCTCTGTAGTACTGTAGTCGTTTATGGTCTGTACATAGTAGTGTGTTGCATCTCTTTGCAGCTCATTTTTTGTCTCTCTGGCTGTTTCTTGTGTCGTTTTGTGTCTCATCACAGCTGTTTGACTGACTTTCCAACAATAAATATGTAAACTTCACACAGAGGCCCCGGCCTAAGGCCCCACTGACCCCTTCAGCCCCTTTGGGCCTGTTCCCCGGTTGCGCCTGTTCAGCATCCATAGTAAAAACCAGAGGGGATCAGCCCAGTTTCTGTTCACAGAAGTGACGTACCTCCTGTTACTGTTAGCACTCAGGATGCTAACGTGCAGTACATGCAGGCCTGACAGCACACACACACACACACACACACACACACACACACACACTCACACTCACACACACACACACTTGTATTTGCTCTAAAGCTGATCAGTCTGTGCCTGCGTTCATTCATTCGTCCTCCACCCTCGTTCATCCTGCAGTCCGTCCATCCTTCATTTCCTCCATCCCTCCTCAGTCTCTCCCTCCCTCCCTCCCTTCCTCCCTCCCTCGTCATCCCTCTCTCTCAGGGAAGCACACCATGCTACAGATGCTGCTGTCATTACCACACATTCCTCCATCCACCCATCCATCCATCTGTCTATCCCTCTGTCCCCCTTCAAACCCCCCAGAAAAGAAACCCAGCACTCACCATGTTTTCCTCAGACGCAGCGGATGAGTGTGAGTGTGTCTGTTTTCCAGCCTGAAGCCATCGCGTCATGATAGCGTCTTGTTTGCTCCCTCTCCTCTCTGCTGTGTGTGTGTGTGTGTGTGTGTGTGTGGGAGGTGGGGGGGAGGATATCATCGTCACGGCAACACCAGCAGCTTGCAGCAGCAGCACCAGGCTGAGGGAGGGAGGAGACGGGGGAAAGAGGGAGAGATGGGGAGGGGGGGAGTGCATCCATCGGGCCTCGCTGCTGCATCCACCAATGAGGAGCGAGAGGAGGGAGGTGATTGGTTCGTCCGTCTGTCGGTTGTATGATGGTGTGGGCGTATGAGTCTCTCTCTCTCTCTGTTTATCCTAATGTCTCTCTCCCTTCTCACTTTATTAATCATTTAATAATGAATTTTAAATGCATAAAAGTATTTATTTAATTTCATTTTTGATTTCTCCCACTTTATTATTTTATTCATATATATTTACATGTGTAACATTTAAGTTGCTATTCATGCTCCCTTTTATTAACAGTAATTTACACTTATTCCAAACTTTAAAGAGTTAAATGATGATGGAAAACAGAAGATTATATTAGGAGAGGGACATGCAGCAAATATATACACATATTAAAATATCAATACTATACATTCAGTATCTTGTTATACATATGGGACACACACACACACACACACACACATATTTTTACTGTTTAGTAGCTGTTTATTTTGTATTTAATTCATTTTAATTAACTGTATTCTTTCTGAACTAATTTAATCTTTTTAGAATTGTATTCATGTATCATTTTGTTTATTATTAACGCTTTGGCAATAACTGTTTCCAGCATCATTGATGATATTAAAGCATATTAAATAGAGCTGAAGTGAATTAAAGAAAAGTAAAGTATATATCGAACAGTAGCTTGTTTATCGTTATCCGCAGCCTCTCTCCAGAAAAGATGGATGGAAGTCCATTTCCACCAATGTGATGGGAAACAAAGATTCTGTAAGTTATTAAAATGTATGTGACGTATTAAAATGATAAACCTTCTCAAAATAATGATTTTGTATCTCAAAATAATGACTGATATTAAATCATTATTTGGAAAGTCAAATGTTTCTTATTATTTTTGATACTGTTTTTATTATTTGAATATTTTTTAGATATCTTTTTATTATTTAGCTATTTTTTATTATTTTAAAACATTTTATTATCATTTTGATACATTTTCTTATTATTTTGATTTTTTTATTATTATTTTGATACATTTTAATATTATTTAGACTTTATTTTGATACATTTTCTTATTATTTTGATTTTTCTATTATTATTTTGATACATTTTAATATTATTTAGACTTTATTTTGATACATTTTCTTATTATTTAGATTTTTTCTTATTATTTTTTTTAATTATTATTTTGATACATTTTAATATTATTTAGACTTTATTTTGATACATTTTATTATTATTTTGATTTTTTTTTTATTATTTTGATACATTTTATTATTATTTTGATTTTTTTTATTATTTTTATACATTTTCTAATATTTTTGATAAAGTTTGTTAATATTTTGAGACACAAAGTCAATATTTGGAGAAAGTTTCTCGTTATAATAACTTTTTTTTTTACGGTCACATTCGCTGAACTCCCCCGTAGAGTGACAGCGGGGAGCGGTCACGGTAAGGAGAGACCGCGGTTTACACTCCGGTCCGGTAGGAGGCGGTAACGCCCCGCAGACCACCTCCACAGCCGCCATGCTGGAAGCATAAATAGAAGCGGAAGAGAGGAAGACGGTCATTTGAACACAGCGGAGCGAAGAAAGCAGCAGACCGACCGACGTCTCTCTGACTTTAACCGGTAATTATCAGTTTAAATTCCTCGTTTTTAACCTTTAAATGTAACAAATGTAACATTAAAGTTATTAATGAAGTTCTTTAGAACCTTAAACTGGAGACTTTCACCAGATTATCGGAGATTATTCACCGGATGGTTGAAGATTGTCTATAACACAGAGACGTTTCCACACGTGACTGAAACTACTGTCAGTTTAATGCAACAGTTTATTATTAGTGTTTAAAATAAAGTTTATCAAATGTATTTGTAGAGAGGATTATTATTTATTTTAAACTTAGATAAAATGCTTTAGTTTCTGCTTTAAACACTGAACACACAACTAATGGGTTTATTACTGAAATCTTAACAGCTGCTATTTATTCTGGAAAACCTTAAAATTTATATTTAATTTACTTTTCCTTTTATTAAATAACAACCTGGAAATTAATTTGAAACTACTAAATATCCTGTAATTATTTATTTACCCTCTCGTCTACATAAGTTTAGTTTGAAACTAAGAACTTTTGGTAGGATGAGTTAAATGTGTTAATACTCTCTCAACTGGTAAATTATGATGTATTAATTAAAAATTAATTAAATTTAACTGAAATTGCCTCAAAACCTGCAAATTGACTTAAAATGACCAAAATATTTTAAAAACTGTATATTCTGGGCGGTTTTCATTCATATAAATTGTGTTTTACCTTCCTCGCCCTGAAATATAATTGATATTTTCTAAGATTGTACTGAGATAAAATATTTCTCTCTCAGATATTAAATGTTGCTTCCTGTCTGGCGCTCGTCGGAGGAGGAGAAGGATGGCGCCACCTGAGCCGTTCGCCTTCGGGTGTCGACAAGGTTAGAAAACAGTTTTTTAAAAACTTCTTTTTACCATCCTGTCGCTGTGATGATATTTTTTCCTGCCATTCGTAGTTTCCACCAGAGGTCCAACAGACCAAAGATGGCCCAAACCTTCCTTGGATGTCTGAGCGACTAAAAGGACGACCGGTTTAGTTGATGATGAGATCAATTAATGAATAAATCAATCTCAAATCTTTCTTCCAGGCTGGATGTGAGAACGTCTGGATCTTGGTTGAGGTGTTTTCTTCATCTTCTGGACGCCGTCTCCTGGTGACGTACAGGAGGTGTGTATCTCTAATCTCTGCTCCTGAAGTAGACCTAAAATCTCAACACAGGGGACCAGGACCTGTCACTGTTAGTTGGTGGTTTATAATAATATGATTTAAGATAATGAGATTAGACAAGAAGCAGCAAGTAAAAACATTTCATTCTGTGAACAGAAACTAATATTCGGATCATCTTCATTTAGTTTATTTAAGCATAAAATGCCAAAAATTGTCCTTCTCCATCTTCAGATGTGATCATTTAATGCTTTTTATTTTCCATATTTCAAGTAAACTGAGTATATTTCAGTGTAGGTTGAATGAATAAATCTTCTTGGGCCTGTAGGAAATTAAAATGGACTTCTTTCACTATTCTCTACTTTTTTATGGACAAAAGTTAGTTGATTTATAACCGAACATCCTGTGGACTCCTACTGGGGCTTCTTTGTTTCACTGGTCTTAAAATAAGTCAGAATCTGACTTGTTGAAACCTTGTTAATGTCCTTAGTCTATTTTAAGTCTGTGCTTTATTAAAACGAACACAACCTCGCTCTCTGCCTGCTCGCCACCGTTCGCTGTGATGACATTATTTCCTGCCATTCGTAGTTTCCACCAGAGGTCTGACGGACCAAAGATGGCCCAAACCTTCCTTGGATGTCTGAGCGAATTTTTAAAAGAGGGTTGAAATAAAATATCTCTTTTCAGCGTCTCGACTAACTTATAATATATATTCACTTTCAGGGTGGACGGTGCCTGTCAGCAGTGCTTTCCTCACTTCTGTCCATCCAAAGGAACCGCTGATGTCTGGTACGTCACTTTCTTTTAAAATATATTTAGGTTAGTAATTCCAGTCGGGCAGTACCGGACAGACTGCCGACCCGCAGTTCGCTGTGATGATGCCTTTTCCTGCCATTCGTAGTTTCCACCAGAGGTCTGACAGACCAAAGATGGCCCAAACCTTCCTTGGATGTCTGAGCGAAATTCAGTGCCGGTTGTGATCATCAGCTCAAATCCTTGTCTGTTAGCTGATGGTTTGTTTGTTTCCTCGTGCAGGTCGACCACGATCGAGGAGCTGCCGTCGTTTCAGAACGTCCAGGCAACGCATCATGTAAAATGTTCCACTGATCGACATTGAATACAGAATGAAATAAAAGCATCAGTGTGAATTTTCTTGTCTCATTTGTGTGTTTTTTTTTTTTTTTTTTTTTTTTTTTTTGTAAATCTTCCTAATTTAACCTGCACTGGTTACTGTCGCCATCTAGCAGGGCTTATTTCTGCAGCGAGGATACACGAGAGCGTCCTTCAAGGCTCTTAAAGATTCAGTCAGTTTGCATTTAGCCTAATGTATCCCACACCAATCATTTTGTGTTAATGAGTTTACAATCGCCATATCAATAAATGCAGATTCACATAATGACACAAATATAAACTCATTCTGCCAGAGCAGCATACGGTTTGTTTTATTTACAGAGTGGATGACTTCAGTCATTTTAAACATTTCCACGCATGCACTAATGTAACTGCAGTAAATATCAAGTGTCAAAACTTAAACTGAAGTTGGCCGGACAAACTGCATAGGAAACCGAGGATTTATCAGGACTGCTGTTGTACTCGGAACAGTTTCCCCGTATCCAGCTGTGATCAGAAACTGACGATTCTTCAGAGGAAAAGACATCTCAGTTCTTCTCGTTCCCTTGCATCTCTCCCTGAAGGGAAATGTGGATGCAATTAAGCAACATGAGATGCACCACTGACTGTGTGTGTGTGTGTATATAACGGACAGCTTCCAGGTCTGTGAACGGTCTTAAACCTGCATTCTATGTAATGAACTGCAGGGGGAGCTCCAGTGGCTGCATTAAAAACTGATACCATGCAGTCTTATGGAGAAATGAGTCAACTTCTCACTTGATTCATTAGATGAGTAAAGTTTCCTGATGAGTTTATGGGGGGGGATTTGTTTGTTACAGTTGTACAGTTAATACTTCTATTGCAGTATCTAGCACCACTCTTTAATGGCTGGATGGATGGGACAGTGGTATTTGCACATTCTGCTGCTTGACTTCAGGAATTACAATGTAATAATTAACATTAGCCACAGAAGAGGGGACAATTTTGTATCAGTACTGGTCCACAGTCTACAGCAGGGGCCTCAAATTGCCAACCCTCCATCGGCCTCACTCCAACCAATAACATGTCAAAAGTATAATTACATTCAGCCAAAGGGTTGCTAAGAAGAGAGCAGGTTTCAGGGCTTTACCAGAGTTCCCACTGTTTTTATGAAATCATTTTCCAGGAGTTTGTCAAAACAGAACAGAACTTGCTCACAAACGTGATTACCGGCAGGCCCAGTAATGACACATTTAACTCCCGTTTTAAAGTGTCATACCGTGCAGTGCAGCTTTAATCTACATTTACACCCAGGGTGAGTTAGCGGCTAATATACTATTAAAATACTATTTTCCAGGAAACCATAGATTATTTCCCGGCTATTTGGTCATTTTTATACATTTCCAGCCTTTCCAGGACTTGTGGGAACCCTGTTTATTTCTTCTGTACGGCTGGGTATTGTTCAAAAATGCCTGGCTGCTATGGAAAGGGCCTATTAGTTGGCCATTTTGCTCTATTTCTAGTGTAGGTGGGTAATTATTTTGTGACAAATTAGCCATAAGAAATGTGTATCAGTTATATCAAATATCACTGGCTGACAACAACAGTCAAACATTAAGAGCTCACCTGAGAGGCATCAGGCTGTGAATTCTCTGGGGTGGTCGAGCTGCTGCTGCCTGGATTCTCCTAAATAAATCAATAAAATAAAATAATGCATGACATTCACAAACAAAGGAACCAGTTGGACAGGCTGTGGAACTTAGTTAAGTAAACATCGAGGCTACAGATGTCAAAGATTTTGAAGGTTTAATCATTGATTACAGAGCTGGTTGGATGTAGTTTCACTGACAATTTGTCAAAAGTTGTGTTTCTTGTTCAGCGACATTCCAGGTAGTGTAAGTCGAGGATATGTATGCGGACATAGTTACATGGTGTGTGTGTGTGACTTCCTTTTTACGTGATACAATAATCACTGTAATGGTAACACTATTCAACATTCACACCATTTTGTAACTATTTTATATTCATTGTATGCACTTCTGTTCATTTTGTTTTCCGATAATCACATAATGTCACCAATGTATGTTAACATTAAAAAACATTACAGAGTAATTGTTATTAACTGAGCTGTTACTCACACTTTTGCTGAAAAAGAACCTGACGTTCTTCATCTTTAGCTTTTTGGGAGGCATTTCCACCTAAAAATACAACAATACAGTTAAATCAAAAGTTTGAAACAAAATATTACATTTGCTTCTATGTCAAAGTTGACAACAACATAAACAGACAGCTTGATTCATTATGACAGTAACAGGCACCCTGTGGCTGCAGACACAGCAGGTGGAAATATGTGTGTGTGTGTGTGTGTGTGTGTGTGTGTGTGTGTGTGTGTGTGTGTGTGTGGTTGCCATACATTGTTAAAAAGGGGTACAATATAACTTGCATACTGTTTCTTTCTACCCAAAAGCAAAACATTATATTAGATTAGTTCAACTTTATTGTCCTTGCACAAAGTAGAAAAAGTACTAAGACAACGAATAATAAAAAAAATAAATAAATAAAAGTCTGTGCATTTACACTGAATCATGGGCTCCTACAAAGAATTTAAATCTTGATTTTTATTGTAACTATAGGCTGATACTGAACTGTAGCTCACCTGGTCATCTGTATCTCCACAACACGTCCCTGTCGGCATCCCTCTGCCTCTGCTGCCTGCACTGATATAATTTATTGGAAATCATAAATCTATTTTACCAGAAAAACAGAAGACATTCTTTAAATAAAAACACTTGGTTGGAGTTTCACTGACAAGTTGTCAAAAGTTGCAGGGAAACATTCTTCACTTGAAACTATTGCAGTGTTTTTTGTTCAGGGACATTCCAGGTAGTATAAGTTTATGATTTGGGTGCGGACATAGTAACATGAGATGTGTGTGATTTCTTTACAAATTTCAACATTCAGACCATTTTGTAACTGTTTTATATTTATTGTATATACTTCTTTTCATTTTGATATCCAATAATCACATAATGTCACCAATGCACCATGTATGTTAACATTAAACAATATTACAGAGTAATTGTTATTAACTGAGCTATTACTCACACTTAACCTGAAAAACAACCTGACATTCTTCATCTTTTGGGAGACATTTCCACCACAAAAAACAACAATACAGTTAAATCAGAAGTTTAAAACAACATGGACTGCGAGGGCCCGATCATCACTGCTTGCAGTTTTAATTCATATTAAATTCAACAATAACATGAACAGTAGAGAACAACTGATGAACTCTACAAGGAACTCAGGTATAACTGCAGGAAGTTTGTGTAAAATGACCAATTTGGATACATTTTGAGCTGAAAAAAAGTTTTCCAGATTCTGGTGCTCTAGTGTGACATCTAGTGGCAGTGAATTTTTTTTTTTTTTTTTTTTTTAAACCCCCACCAAAAATATTTTTTTTGGGGAAGGGGGGTTTTTTTAAAAGAAAAAATATCCCCCCCCCCTCTTTTTTTTTCACTGATAGCGTCTTTAGACTCGGCCAGAAGGTCCAACAGGTCAAAACAGGAAACACTCAGAATCAGAAAGCTGTCGCTCCAGCAAGGAATTGTTAAAAATTAAATAAGAATAATACATATTTGCATCTTTAAAAAGTTGAAATAGATAGAATAGACTCTTAGACTTAAGAGTGCAATAAAGAGTAATCAATATTTTACACCTTTATATTATTGATTATATGTAGAGCATAGGCCTCAAAACATGTGTGTGATTATCCCTGTTTCATACCTTTATATTTATTTTGGACAAATTTCTGTTAATATTCTGTTAAATATTAAATACAACTAAATATTGGTTGTAGAGCAGCAACAGTAACGTCAGAAAAGTCCTTATATAAACTCTAAAATCCTAAAGTTTACAACAACATGAACATGACAGCATGCAGACAGCTTGATTCATTATGACAGTAACAGGCGCCCTGTGGCTGCAGACACAGCAGGTGGAAATATGTGTGTGTGTGTGTGTGTGTGTGTGTGTGTGTGTGTGTGTGTGTGTGTGTGTGGTTGCCGTACATTGTTAAATAGGGGTACAATATAACTTGCATACTGTTTCCTCCTATCCAAAAGCCAAAATTAGATAGATTAGATTCAACTTTATTGTCCTTGCACAAGTAGAAGAAGTACTAAGACAACGAAATGCAAATATTGTGATTAGAACAACTAATGCTGTACTTGAACAACTGTAACAACTGTAACATTTGGATTTTGTTGATTTATTTCAAAATAAAAGTCTGTGCATTTACACTGAATCATGGGCTCACCTGATCATCTGTATCTCCACAGCACGTCCCTGTCAGTACATGCCTTCTTTCATTTACGTAATATTACCAAAATTAGACACATCCTGTCACAGACAGATGCAGATAAACTAATCCATGCATTTGTTACTTCAAGGCTGGATTACTGCAACTCTTTATTATCAGGTTGCCCCAATAAGTCCATTAAAACGCTCCAATTAATTCAGAACGCTGCAGCACGAGTACTGACAGGAACTAGAAAAAGAGATCACATCTCTCCTGTACTAGCTTCTCTGCATTGGCTCCCTGTAAAATGTAGAATAGAATTTAAAATCCTCCTATTACCCCTCTAGAACATTACGTTCTCTGAATGCAGGACTACTTGTGGTTCCTATAGTCTCTAAAAGTAGAACAGGAGCCAGAGCCTTCAGTTACCAAGCTCCTCTCCTGTGGAACCAGCTTCCAGTTGTGGTTCGGGAGGCAGACACCCTCACCACATTCAAGAGTAGGCTTAAGACATTCCTCTTTGATAAAGCTTATAGTTAGGGCTGGATCAGGTGAGTCCTGAACCATCCCTTAGTTATGCTGCTATAGGCCTAGACTATCGGGGGATTTCCCATGGTGCACTGAGCTCCTCTCTTCCTCTCTCTTTCTGCACTCATTCATGTCCCATTAATGCATGTTACTAACTCCACTTCTTCCCCGGAGTTCTTGTGCTTTTTCGTCTTGCAGGTTCTCATGGATCCTGGTGGAGCCTCCTGCCATGGTCCTGCTTGACTGCCATTGCTAATATCACTGATATTATTGTTATTATTATTATAAGTATTATTATTACTACAGATACTATTATTACTATTATCACTGCTCATTGTCCCCCATCGTTGCTGTTGTCGTTGTCATCATCTTCTTCATTTTCATCATCATCAGTCACTACTATTAGTGTAGTTGTTGCTACTGTTGTTGCTGTGCACCTCTGCCTCTCTCTCTCTCTCTCTCTCTCTCTCTCTCTCTCTCTCTCTCTCTCTCTCACCCTCTCTCTCTCTCACCCCAACTGATCGAGACAGACGACCACCCACCTAGAGCCAGAGGATCTGTCCTAGGTTTCTGCCTCTTAAAGTCAGTTTTTCCTTGCCCTTGTCTCCAAGTGCTTGCTCATGGTGGTACTGTTGGGTCTCTGTAATTAATGTTATAAAGAGTTCGGTCTAGACCTGCTCTATTTGAAAAGTGTCCTGAGATAACTTCTGTTATGAATTGCCGCTATACAAATAAAATTGAATTGAATTGAATTGTCGGCATTCCTCTGCCTCTGCCGCCAGCACTGATATGATTGATTGGATATCATAAATCTATTTTACCAGAAGAACAAAAGACATTCTTTAAATAAAAACACTCTGGTTGGAGGGAGTTTCACTGACAAATTGCCAAAAGTTACAGGGAAACATTCTTCATTTACAACCATTTCAAAGTGTTTCTTGTTCAGCGACATTCCAGGTAGTATAAGTTGATGATACGTTGATCCGGATTTGTGTGACATGTGTGACTGTTTTAAAGCCTGTTCACAGGGGATTAGTATTACCAGACTGCTTGGTATTTATAATAAACTTACACCAGGCTGCACCCTGTATATATGCTCAAAAAACAACCAGGGCATGTGCAAATTAAAATCATGTTGGTAGTAAATTAATCTATTGTTTTTATGTTATTTAAATGTTTGCTGCATGTTTGCTGGACAGAGACAATTCAAATGAATTAAATCAACACATTGCATGATGATTCTTTAGTTGTACTTTTTTACATCTCTTTTGTTCACAAACGCTTCAAACTGCTTCAAATCTTCACTCATTCAAAACTTAAGATGATGTGTGAGAGCTCATTCCTCCAGCTAAGCTTTCGTGACAGAGACGTTCTACAGGAAACATTACAATAATTATACCTTTACATCCTGTTCAGCCAGGATTGTTATTTAAACTGCTGTGTGTCGTACAGGTAGGACACAGGTGTCAGGTCCAGGAACCCAGGTTATCCAAGCAGCTTCACCGCGTTTGGTTTTAATTATGGCTACAAGTTCTTTCTGTATTAATCATCATGTGGTTTAAAACCTAAATACACGTCTGATCATCTGATTAAACTTTAGCCCACATATCTCTGAGAGTTCTGCTTTTCTCTGTGGCAGTCTACACAATATTATTGGCTCTGCTGGCATGTAAAATGCTGCGTGTGGAGTCTTAGTAATGGAGAACATTCATAAAATACCAACAACTACAGATTCACATGCTCAGCCAAGAACGCATTCTCTAATGTATAGATCATTGAGCATTGTTCAAGCCAACAGAGTAACCTGCAGTAGGGTTTTCATGCTGTGGTTTGAGCCACCTGAACTGACTGGTTGTCAGTCAAAATCCACTAGAATAAATGCACACAATGTTTTATTTATATATGATATGATATACAGATCTGGAAACATTTCCATAAACTTAGATACCCCTGGATCTTTACAGATACAGGTCCCTTTTGTCCTGTGATTGTTGTATTTACTCTGATAAACATCTGATAAACGGCACAGTTAACACAATAACTGCAGGAAGTTTGTGTTGAGTGTCATTTTTCTGTCTCTGCTTTTGGGTCTTATTAAAAGAATCTCTGCTTTTTCCTTTGTAGTGATCATGAGCAGTAGTTTTTTATGGACATGTATTTTGCAGAAATTGTACCATGGTTAACTATGTGAGTATCACTTATTAGGGCTTATAACTGGACGTGGCTTTACTAGCCTATTTATTAGCCTTGTAACCAGTGACAGTTCATTGCAGTCCAATTAGGATTAGTACAATCAAAACCTGGGACAGTATTGTAAAGCCTCCTGAATGGTACACACTGGACCTTACAGAGCATGGTGCCAAAAATGCTGATTCTTCCAAACCAGATCAGAAGAATATACCTGAATATATAAATTGTTATTTGGGTAACACTTTGTATATTATCATCTTGCTGTTTTGTGCTCAGGCCTTCATCTTTATACACACAAAATCTTTAGGAATGTTTTAATCTAAAGTCTCAAGGTGTACTGTAGATTCGAGGAGAGGTCTACAACAGGTATGACCACTGTTGACTCCACCTCCTGCCCACCTCCTCTACCTTCCTGGGTGTAACCAGCTGCTAGGATGGAAATAAAAAGAGAGAGAGCGGGAGCGGAGAGACCAACAGAGGAATCTGTCCGGCAAACGCTTCAGAGAGTGTCCTGAACAGCATTCTTCATCATCCTCATCCTCCTTCAAAGCTTCAGGGGGTAAGACAACCTGCGTCTCTTCTTCTCAGCTCATATTCACATCTGCAGGACGCTCAGTGGGCACATCGAACTTTTAAGGTCCGTTCTAGGACGGTTCAAAATGTGATGAAGTAGGAAAATAAATAGATGTGTACACATACAGCTCTGTGGCTTTAACTAAAATAATTATTTTTCTTTCATATGGAGGTTTTAAAATATATCAGATTGTAATTTATTACATTGCTGGATCCCCATTAAAAGGATTTCAAACGTTTTGAAGTCTGTCTTTAAAGAGAATCAGGTGCCAGTCTGAACGGTGCTCCGGTTCATACTGGACATTAAAAGATTTTTTTAATAATAATTTAACTCTTAATTCTTGATTTTGCATTTTTAATACCAAATTCCCTCTTTCGCATTGGAGAGATACAAACAAAAAGACAGAATATGTCACTAATACGACTGAACTGTTGCTTATTTCAGCGTACAGTGGGTTCACTACCAGAGACACCTTCCACATTGTTATTGTACAAATGTCCGTCACAGTCGCTTTAAATATTCATAACTTTTCAACTTTATTTATAAAGAATAAAGTGCATTCATTACATAGCATACAAGGAATATAATAATAAATAAACGTAACTAGATTAATTCATATTCAGACTTAAGTGCATACAGTTTCCCTGGAATTTTTTTACTTTGTATATATTTATTTAATATAGAGAACAAATTTTTACTAGAACTTCTACATTTGTATTGCACACGTATCTGCATCAAGGGGGATGAGGGATACATTTACAGTTTTATAATGAATTTCTTTGTTTGGGAGGCACTGAAAATTTTGTTCTCACAGCCAATATTCCCATACTTTCTGAGATTAGGAGTCCTCCTCGTTAAACCAGTGCATAGTATTTATCAGAGAGAAAATCAGAAATGTATTATTGCATCTTTTGTGCAAAAAAAGGAACTTGCATGTGATCTAACTTTTATAGTAACTGAATTATTTGAACTAAATGTGGTACGCAGAGGGTTTGTGCTGTGAGCTCAGCTGCCACACCTTACAGTGAGGATCACACTGTGTTTGTGTAATGTGAGTTGTACTGTATGCTAGGGCTGGGAGATATTTTGCGATTAATATCACAACATTATACGTAATAGAATATTTCTGAATATTAACCATTACAGGGCAAATGTGTGCAAAATCATATTAAGTAATAAAAACAGAACTGTGTGGTACTCTGCTTACCATCAAACAAAACTGTGAAAACAAAACCTCAAATACATATTTTATCATTATTTATTGTCAGGAAGAGTGCTGAACTTCTTAAAATACGTCTTTCTTTCTGATCAAATATGTCCGACTGTGTGTCTTCCAGCTCTCTGTCAGCTGATTGGTCTCCTCCAACATGCTCCGCCCTCTGCTCTTCCTGTCCGCTCTCATTGGGCTGGCAGGTAAGCGCACACACACTGCAGCCATTTTGAATCTCCACCCACGACACCTGTTGAGGGTTTGCAGTAGAAGTAACACAACCAGTTAACAGACTCTCGTTCTGACCTCTCTCCATCTTCTTTAGGCGCGACGGTCATACTCAACCAGGACTTTAATGATTCTTCAGTGCTGAACATCAGCCAATGTCCCATCACGTTCTATGGAAAGAAGTACGAACAGCTCTATGTGAGTCGGATGATTTCATCGTCTGTCATTATTGACGTTTTCTTAGATTTCTGTCCAACTCTGACGCCATTCACACTCACGAGATCAAGACTACTGCAGTTTTAGATTCCCCTGTCTCTCCACCGATGGAAAGATCTCGGGGCATGATGGGAAACGCCTGACTCTCCCTTGATCTAAAAGCTGATTGGTTTACGTGTTTTATGTAAATGTTAATAGTTTAATTCTTTATCTTGTCTACAAGTGGGAGGTGTAGATTATTATGTGAGGCTCTGACAGATCAATAAAGACACTGTTGTCCTCTCATTGTGTACTTGGATTCACCTTTTCAGTGTCTTCAGTTTGGTCTCTCCCTCCAAGAGTCTGGTGGGTGGAGTCAGAACTTCAGCAGACTATCTAGGCTGGAGGCAATCAGCTGGTCTCTCTCTCTCTCTCTCTCCCCTCTCTCTCCACCTTTTTTGTTTTTTTTTTTTTTTTTTTTTTTTTTTTTTTTTTTTTTTTTTTATTTTTTTAAAAAAAATTTATTTTTAGTAACGCCACATGTTGGTGGTTGTGACAGTGGGAACAGGTCCAGCAGTCAACTGATATGATGTAATGAAATAATGTAAATACCCAAACTGCTGTCATGTGATCAGATTTATAACATTTAAATAGTCTACCCTGTCATACAGCATCATTAAAACATTCAGTTGTCCATGCCATCAGAGAGCAGCTGGAGGACGACACCGAGTATCTGAACGTCAGAGTAAGAGCGCTGACGGAAATGTGAAGTTGTGTACAAAAGTGATTATTTTACCTTGTGTGTCTCTGTTTTTAACAGGTGAACATCACAAGTGGCAATGTTACCATCTGTTTCAATGGCTTTTTCAACCCTCAAACCGGACAGGACTGTATTGTGGCGCCTCCATTCAACACAACGTCGGCTAAAGCTGGGATAGTTTCAGAAGCCCCGGTCTCTCCCTCCCCCATCCAAGCTAATCTGTCAACCATTAAGACTAATGAAACATGCTTTGTGAGAGTTCAACATGTGACCACAGTAGTGGTGAGTGTTGTTCAGTGTTGTTTACGAGATTTAAAAATTTAAGTTTTACGAGCAAAACTTAAATTGTAGTTATTTATATTGTATGACATCTTTTCTGAAACTTTTCTGAAGGAAACACCCTCATAGTGTCTTTTATCTCCTCTGTTGACTCCGTACAGACTGATGTTATTCTTTTTAATATCGGGACACAAGCAGTTTTGAAATACTCGACAATGCAATCGGGTACATTTGTGAGTATATTTAATATCATTCAATTAAACAGAACAATTAAAGGCTATATAGTTACGTGTGTGATGTCTTTTAAGATAATGAAAGGAATTACATGTTAAAACTGTTTGTGTAGGATTTGTTTAGTTTGACCACAAAGTGTCATTAATATGTGTGAATTCAGCGTTCTCTGCTCTGTGATCGTAACGTTGGTTCTGTTTGTTGCTGTGCAGCTGATGGATGCTCTGGTCAATGGTACCAAAGTGGACACATTTAATGCTACGGGCTCTGGAGCTAAAACAGAGGCATACTTCGACATCAGCGGATGCAGACCATCAGGTTGGCACTTGATCTGATTTTGGAATCCTTAAAATTAAAGTTGTAATCTCACTATTTTGTTTTTGTTTTGTTGTTTTTGTTAAGTGAGCTATGGCTTTTTGACCCGATCCTACCTTATCCTTCACCTTTCAGGTGGTGCTCTGTTTAGATATGATGCAGTGATAACCTCTTACCCAGAAACCTGCTCTGGTCAAATGTGTGATGAGACTGCAGTCGTGAGAAACTTCAGCTGTGGCCCCTCAGAGCGTTGTCAAGGCAACAACACGTAAATATGTTTGATTGATATTTAGAGGAAAGAGCTGTGGCGATGCAGGAACTGGATGAGGACTGTTTCAAGTTTTGTTTGTTCTGCTGGTTGACCTGTGAGCCAGTAGTGTGAAAACATTAAAATCAAATATTAAGTAAATATGACACAAACATGAACAGAGGTCTTGTACTTGGTGTTTGAGGGTCCCCTGGTGGCCGTGGCCCTCAGCAGCAGCTCATAATGATGTTGTTTGTTGTTGTCTCTCTTTGCCTCCATCAGCTGCATGTTTGACTCCACCTGCACTGTGAGCGGCCCAGCTGTTATCGACATTCACGGCCAAGTGAACTCTGTCCAGGATCGGTGTGCGTACACTCTGATGTCGACTCCGTCTGTCCCAGACTTGCAGGTGCTGGCGAACTTTCAGGAACGGCGTCGTAAAGATGTGAGCTTTGTGGACAGCGTGACACTGCGACTGAACACTACCGGTGTTCGCATTGACCTAAAACAAGACGGCAGAGTTCAGGTAAGCTACCTACAGCCACTGTCATATGTCAGTGTGGACCTGGTCCCATCCTCTGCTGTGTCAGCTCTCGTCTTCCTTATGAGTGACATTGGAAGCAGCTTTTTTGATTCTGCTGAACTCGGTGGTTGTTGCTATGAAATCAGCCAGTTGTCTGAATCAGTGTTTCCTCCACTTTGTCTCTCTGCCATGATGCAGGTGGACAACACTACGCTGACTCTCAACAGCTCAGTTCAGCTGATTCACGGTGTGGAGCTGTCCAAGGACCAAACTGGAGTTATTGCCAAGGTGTCACTCTCCAACTACACCACTTCTGTCTTCTTTGACGGCAAAACCGCACAGATCCGCCTCAAAGGTACAGAAACTAAAATCCCACCACTCACCAAGGGACAAGAAATAAAACAAGCAATTGTGGAACCGATTTGGGGCATCGGGGAATGCAAACTGAGCTGTCTGCTGTGTTCATCCAGTGTAAAAGTTGACAATGATCTGACTCACATTTTGTCCTGAACCTGTCCAGGACCTGCTGGGAAAGTTCCATCTCTGCAGGGTTTGTGTGGCAACTCCAGCAGTTCTTTGAGTGAATTGAGGCTCTCTGCATACAGTGCCGGCGGGTAAGACCCTAATCCAACCCATGATATATGATGAAAGAGTTTAAATGTAGTTGTTTTTTTAAATTGAGTCCCTTAAAAAAATCGGGTCTGGAATGGAGTTTTGGTTGACTCAGCATATTTTGTTTATTCTGTATCTCACAATCATGACCATTTCCACTACATCACTTCTAAATGTTCTGTAGGTAAATAAAGGTGTCGTAGACTGAAGCAAAGATACAAAGCCTATATGTACCTTCGATTGAGTCCAAAACACTTTATTTTATATGACCAAATCAGAGCAGGGGAACGGTCCTGACCTTGTGTTGTGTGTCGCCCCCTAGGTGTGAGACGCAGTACAATGAGACTACTAACAGTACAATCAACTGCAACATGACGACTGAGCGGTGAGCAGAAGAAACATTTCTCTCTATTAAACTTTGATCTCTGTGTTAAATGTTTGTCATGTGATGTGAGGAGGGACGGCCGGTTCACTTCAGTTGATCACATGTGTGAACAGCTGCTGTCCTGTGTTTAGGTTTACTCTGAATTATAGAACATACCACAACACTTCATCCCTCTGTCTCTCATTCTGTCTTGTTACATCTGTGCAACAGCTGTAATCTCCTGAAGGCGGCGCCCTTCACTGCCTGTCACAGCGACATTGACCCAGAGCCCTACATAACTGCCTGCAACAACACTTTGTGCAAATATCCTGTGGTGGACGGCCTTAACTGTCAGTTCCTGGAGGCCTACGCCAGAGCCTGCAGCCTGCACAACATCACACTGGAGGGCTGGAGGTCAAACGTCAGCTGCTGTAAGACTGAAAATCTAAAAACCTAAAAAGAAAATCTTCCATTTCTAAAGTTATGTAAAATGAGTGACAACAGTAAAAACAAGTATTTGTTCTGTAGTTTTACATGGATGTGTTTGTTAATTGACAGATATCTTGTATAATTATGGAAGTTTATGGAAAAACAAAAACATATCAGTTATAAGAATTGGCGAACTGTCAAAATACAGTTTTTATCAGTGAAAACAGCAATAATTACTGTAATGTAATTTAAATTTAATTCTGATTATCTGATTAATTAATTAGGTTTTTACATTTGTAATTAAAAAATAAAGCTACAACTGTATTTAAATTATAGAAAATTACTGTATTCTTACAAGTCTGTTATTTTCTGGTATTTTACTTTATTTTTCAGGTGTTTTACAGTGAAGCATACACATTAACAGAATTAACTCAATCTGATCGAATTAATATTTAAATACTCATAAAAAGAGAGAATATAAAACTAACAGAGAAAGAAAACAATGGTTTGTCTCTAGTCTGTTAAACTGTCAGTGCCCAGTTTTCACAGTAGTTGAGAATTTATTTAAATGTTGTTGCAGTCTTTGTGTGTTAGTGATAATTAGCATTAAGCTGGTCAGTGTCTACAATGAACTGTGTCGGAGATGGACGGCAACTCTTTAGTGCATTTTATTTATATCTTACAGTTTTTTATAATTCTTCTTTGTGTGTGTGTGTGTGTCTCTCTCTCTCTCTCAGCCCCCCCTCAGGCCTTCTGTCAGGGCAAGATTTGCAGCGCTCACGAGTTCTGTGCTGAGAAGACTGGCTGCCTCTGTCGGGCCATTTTTGCCTCCCCGTACAGATCGACAGACACTTTGGGTACAACGGCTGTGACACACTATATAATTGACTAGATTTTCTATTTCTTCCGCCAGAGCAGCTCTGATTGAAAGCAAATACATAAACGTCAATAAAGCAGGATTGAAAGGTTTGATTTGAGTCTTTCTTCTGTAACTTTGTCGGTGTATTTAATTTCCTCCTCTGTGCCACTCGATGTTCAGGTGACCCAACAGTCTGCAGCCAGAACTCTGCTTCAATTACTTTGGTTGGCTGTCTCCTGATGGAAAAAGGTATCGACTACTCAGCCTTACATCTCAAAGACCAGAACTGCACGGGCCAGATGGACGAGCTAACCAACATGGTGACCTTCAGCTTCAACAGCAGCCGCACCTGTGGGATGGAGGTCTCGGTGGGTCGTCTCCTCCACCTCTTTACTTTCAACAAGCAGCCAAATCTCTTCCAGCACTCTACTGTGATCCTCTTGCTCTCCTCTTGTTTGGGATCTTTCCGTGGGCTCTGCTTCAGCTCTCACCTCCTTGGTTTCAAGTAATGTTGCTCATCTATGAAGCTCATTCCATCCAGTCAACAGATAACCAATGTCACATTTTAAGGCTTAAATTCAAAGAGTGGTGTTAAACTGACATAACATCTGAATTCCTGTGACCCTGCAGACCAACAACAGCCAATTAATCTACAAGAACGCCATCATGACCCAAAACAGCTCTGGCATCATCACTCGCAATAGCCAATTCTACATCGACTTCTCCTGCTTTTATACTCAGCCAGGTATCAAAACTATGGGCTTCAGAATCAGACAGATGTGAGTGGTAGCTTTTATCATTTCTTTGAATAACTTTGTGTCGTAAAGCATGTTTTTGGGATGTTTGTGAGTATACGACAGCTGAAGACTGTGTGTGTGCCCTCTACAGCTCTGTGATCAAACAGATCGTATCTGGAACTTGGAATTACACTCTGACCATGAAGGCCTACACCGACGCCGGCCGCACAAAAGCTGTGGAGTCGAACACCAAAATCCAGCTGAACCAGAAGATCTGGGTGGGGCTGGAGACCGACGGGCTGGATGGCAACTCGGTTGCTGTTGTCACCGACTCCTGCTGGGCAACCAACCAGGCATTGTCCAACGGGAGTCTGAGATACGATCTGATCAAGAAGGGGTGAGAAGCATACAGAGGTGGAGCAGGGATTCATTAATAAAAACAAAGTCAGTTCTTATGTGATGTGTGTTTCCTTGTTTGTGAGCAGCTGTGCAAACTCCGCTGACCAGACGGTGAAGGTGGAGAGAAATGGCCAGGGAACGTCCAGCTACTTCTCCTTCAACATGTTCCAGTTCTCTGGGAACTCTACTGACCTCTACCTGCACTGCAAACTCGACCTGTGTGTCACACAGAACAACACCTGCAACCCGGTACGCCTCCCCGACACACACTCGCTCACTACAACCAGTAGTTGATAACTCAGATACCATACTGTGTAATAACAGCTTCCCTGGGTCCCAGGTTCTACATCCTTCCACTTCTCTCTTTGAATTACTCAATAAAAAACAGCAGTTTACAGATGAGTCAGACTGTGGCTGAGCATCCATCAACTCTACCAAAATCCTTCTGTTTACTGTGTTTGTTCACTCTTCTAGTTGTGACCCGTTTGACGTAAACTGCATCACCCTTGCCTGAAGCTGACATCAGCAAATCAGAAAGTCAGACAGAAATGTAAAAGTTGACAGAGGAGTACTTTGTTTGCTCTCAGCAGCATCAGCCAGAATTAATGGATCAGTGCTGGTCCTCTAAAATCCAGATTTAATCTCTCTCTGTCTTTAACTTCCAGGTTTGTAGTGGAGGCAGTCGGAGACGCAGATCTGCCAGGCTCACGTATGTCAATGCCCCAACCCTCATCACAATGGCCTGGACTGATTAGGTAAGACACTTCTAATTAAGTTAACTAATTAGAAGAGCAAACAAGAGTTCAGCAGTTCAGCAGCAGAGAGGTAGGTGGTGAAAGGATGTCAGGATGCAGATTTGGCAAAAATATGTCAATCACAGTTTTGTCTGGTTGTCTTCTTCAGGTTGTTTCCACGGTGACTCAGACTGACTGACTGGTCCTGATCCAGGTGGGCCTGGGTGTGTGAATCCTTTGGTTTCAGAACAATGTCTCCTGAAAGGATGAGCTCAGTGCTCACTGCAGATTCTTCTAAAAATCACCCTTTTTTGCTTAAATATGAAACACAAACTATATGGTAAAGGGGGTTCATTATTAGGGCTGCACAATTATTCGAAATATGAAAATACACAAACTATTTTTAAGGTAAAATGTGAGACAAAAAGCTTTATAATGCAGTGCTGTAGTGCTGCAGAGGTGCCCTGACCTACAGACCCCCCAAAAATACTTGACATCATCCTGACAATATGAAAATGAAAATTGTGATGCATTAATCATTATTTACACAAATCGTGAAACAGTTATATCTGTCTGTTTTTACAACATTGTGCAGCCCCAATAATAATATATTCATATTTATACTATAATAATAAAAATATAAACACGTTATTGGTTCTTTAGTTTACAGGAGCGGATCTGGAGGGGTGGCAGCTGCAGAATGTCCGGTACCCCTGGCAAATGCTATTAAACTAAACACATATCAGCTGATTGTAAACAACACACATCAGCTGATTCCCTTCTAAGTGTCCAGTTAAAAAAAAGGCGTGTTTGGAAAAATTTAAACAATTTATTGATTTCTAAATCCCTCTTTAGAAGATTGTATTCATGTTGTGGAGTTCTTTTCCAAGAAAATACTGATATATGTGATTGTCTGTGATTATATCAGCATATATTTCTGCAACACCTTAAATTGCCACCCTCTGGACACCCCATGAATATTTCTTAAGATCCGCCTCTGATTATATATCTACCATCCTACTAATTAGAATAATCAGATATTATTAGGGATTATGATTAATTGTTGTTAATCTGGGTCAGTGAGAGGAATGAGATGAGTGTCTTTGGAGCAGTTCACTTCTTGAAGACACTTCTTAGAAAATAAGAAGCTGCGTGGACCCCATAGTATAACCCTTTATATTTACTTTCTAGTTCTTTCTGGAGACAGCACTTTCTATTATCTTGTGCCTAAAACATGACATCAGTTCATCACATCAGCTCAGTTTGATCCAGGATTGATAAGAGAAGTCAACTCTGAGGGAAAAATTCAGTGCAAACGCAGCATGAACATGTTGATTATTTTCAGATTCCAGTTCAGTCAGACCTGTGATTTGAAGTTCGGGTTCCTGCAGGTTCTGTAACTCATATCAACAACTACAACTAAATCTGAAAATTGTTTTTCATAATCGACATTGTAATTGTTTGTAAACGTTAAGAAAAAGCTTCATTTTGAATCATAAATGCAATCAACATTATGTGATTATGCCTCAAATACATAAATAAAACATAGGTAGAGTCTTTGAGATAAATGTCATTTGAGCCATAAACTGTTTATGACACTGAGATGTGAATTGTGCTGTTTTTATCGTTGTTATGTTACTATGTTATTAGCACCAAAAAAATAAAAAAAATAAAATGATGTGGGGAAAATCAAAACCATGAGTCTGGTTCATTTTATTTCTTTATTGTTTATGTAAATTCAAGCCACTTCTTGACAGCATTATATTTACTTACGTATTGTAACTCTGTTGGTGTTTAAGTTAATGTTGAAATGAAATGTAGCAGAAACTAGAAAATAAAACACAAATAAAAACTAGAATATGCATTTCCTGAAGATTTACAATGTTTATTATAGATTCAAAAATAAAACAGGGAGATGAGGTGCAACCTGTGAGGCAATAAATATGTGTTTCTAAAATGTAAGGTAAAGTGGTTCCAGTATGTTTTAGTGCCATTTTAAAAGTATGAAGTATATTTTCATGATTATTTTGAATCGCAATATTTTGGCCAAGAGATAATCGTGACTTGAAATTTTTATATTGTCCCATGCCTAAAGTAGAAACTACACATACTATATGTAATCTGTGGAAGCTCATGTGACAGGGGAAAAAAGGTTTCTGTAAGTCATTATAATAAAATATTGACTTAGCATCTCAAAATAATGATAAAGTTTCTCAATATTTTGACTTTGTTTCTCAAAATAATGAGAAAGTTTCTCAATATTTTGAATTACTATCTCTATATTTTTACTTATTATTTCTAAAATAATGAGAAACGTTCTCAATTTTTTGAATTACTATCTATATTTTTACTTAATATTTCAAAATATTGAAAAACGTTCTCAATATTTTGAATTACTATCTATATTTTTACTTAATATTTCAAAATAATAAGAAACGTTCTAAATTTTTTCACTTTGTATTTTAAAATGATGACATTATTTCTAAAATAATGAGAAACTTTCTCAATATTTTGACTTTGCATCTTGATATTTTTACTTAATATTTCAAAATAATAAGAAACATTCTCAATATTTTGATACTAAGTCATTATTTTGAGATTTTTAAACCCTTTTTTATTTTGGTTTTCCATAACATTGGCATAAATGGGCTTCCATACTTTTCACTATTTAACTTTAATTATTTACTCGCGGCTGAGAATCATGACCCTGTTGGCCTTCCATACACGCGCCGCACTGGAGCAGTTGTCAGTCGGGGAAGCTGCTGTCAGTGCGGCGCTAACCGAGCTGTTTGCCGGCTAGCTTGCGCTGGGAGACAGTTTAAAAAGCTAACAATGGCAGGTGTGCACCCTCAGGTAAGTAAAGTGGCAGCTGTCCGCGCACTCTGAAGCCTGGAAGTTGACAGTTTTGACGTCTGAATTAGCAAAAACGGCGTTTAACGGTTGCTAACATCCCTAGCTAGCATGGCTGCTGAGTTCAGATCAGCTGTGTATGAGCAGCTGTGTATGAGCTGCTGGCTGCTGCTGTTGGGACGTGGCAACGAAGAGGCGAAAATAAACACAAGAAACGCCTTTTTTTCATGCAATATTGTGTCTTGTTTTATGTTGTTTAACTTGCCGGAGCGTTATTAAGCGCAGGACAGCACTAACCTACATAAAACTTGTCCAGTGAGACCCACAAACCTCCCAGCTGCTATTTCTGTCCCTGTCTGTGTATCACAGGACGACCTGCTGAAGATGACACACAGAGAGAACTGGCAGTGAGTAGTGTCTGCTTATATCCCCGCTATAAACCCAAAATATGCACGTTTTCTTGAATAATACAAGAATATAATAATGCATTTTAACCTCTCCACCCCATCTGTCCTTGCTCTCTCCACAGGGTGCAGAACGAGCGTCTCCATGTGAAGCACAGGGCTTATGAGGACATGCACAAGGGTCACAAGCCCATGCACGCAGAGATGGTGCTGATCCTCATCGCCACGCTGGTGGTGGCTCAGATAGTCCTGGTGCAGTGGAAACAGCGGCACCTCCGCTCGTACAACGTGAGTCAACGCGAGCACAAACACTAGATACACGATACCGAAACCGGCGAAACTTCACGGTTATTGAACACCAATTGGATACCAGTAAACGGTAAATCCCATTTAATTCAACATGCACTCCTTTAATAAAACACGACAACAGAGGCCCCTTTTCTAATACACTAAACCTTCTAATAAGTCCCAACAGAGGCCGGTCTCCTTTACTAGCCTACACATTCTGACAAACACAGGTCTCAATTAGAGGCCGGGTCTGGATTTGATAGAAATCAGATTTTTGTGGACAAAGCTCGCTATTAATGACGTCTGTCAAAGCGATCGAAACCAATGCGTTACTGAATGACAGCACTGCTCTTCGCTCTTGCTTTACTTTATCCACCGTATCTGCGCCAGAGAGCGACTGTCTCTTCTCATTAGACTGTACGATGATGATTTTGCTGTGATTTAATGTCAATAATCCGATGAAAATGGGGCCGAAGTACCTACATTATGATGCCAATATGTTAAAAACAAAAGTCTACTTTGTCGGGTCTAATTATTATGTCCCAATAATTCATAGAAATAAATGTCCCATTACCGGTAATTTATCCGTAGCATCTGTCGATTTAAAAACAGCTGATACAACAATTCTTATTTTCAGGTGAACACATGAATAAAAACATAATTGATATGTTCCATTTCTGGCAATAGATCCTCCCGAATGTTACACACTGGACCTTTTTAAGAATGTAGTTCAACATTTTAAAAAATAAAAAAACATAATATGATAGTTGAAAAGCTCCTAAAACTATCAAGAAAACTAATTACCATTTGTTCTCAGCTGTTATGTTTATACATGTAATATAATATGAACGATAGGTCCCCTTTGTATATAGCAGCAGACTCTGGGGAAGAAGAGCGGCAGTGTTGTGTGAGTAAATAAACTCTACGTCTCCTCCTCAGCTGGTGACTCTCGTCCAGATGTGGGTGGTTCCTCTTTACTTCACCATCAAACTCTACTGGTGGAGGTTTCTGTCCATGTGGGGGATGTTCTCCGTCGTCACCAGCTACGTCATCTTCAGAGCCACTCGCAAGCCGCTGTCCTGCAGGACGCCGAGGTGAGAAGAACGGTGGTCCAGGCCGTATATTGAAGCACGATATTGGATCTTTTTATCCGATGTTTTCCTTCCTAACCTTCATCCTACTATAACAGGTTTGGATGATGATGTTCTGACTGAGACAACCAGGGCAAATCTGACCCGTTTCACAACTCACCAAAACAACTCAAATAAATGCAATCTGTCCACAGAGATCACGTTAAAGTAAACGCTGTCTACAGCAATTAAATTTGTTGGAAGGAAGACTGATCTCAGGAGATTAACTGATCTTCTAGTCCTTCTACAATTGGACCAGGGCTGCAATTATTAATCACTCGGTCGAGTAATTGATTGATCGTGTTTTCCAGGATGGTGTACAAGTGGTTCCTGTTGATCTACAAGCTGAGCTATGCAGTGGGCGTCCTGGGCTACCTGGCCATCATGTTCACCATGTTCGGCTTCAACGTCTTCTTCAGGTGAGGCACTGCTGACTGTCAGTGGACCCAACTATCAAACTGTTACCTGAAGCCCAAACTGTGTCATTTGTAGTTTGATCACAGTCTATTAGGACACATTAAACTTCATCTGTGCATCATTAAAGTCTCAAAAAGCATTCAGTCATCAAAATGTAAGGCCCTTTCTTTAAAGCTTAGAGAGTATTTTCACATCTAACTGCAGTGAATTAAGGCTTTATATCGACTAATACAGTAACAAGGTGATCTGCAGAGGCTCCAAACTAGGGCTGCCCCCTGATAGTCGGGGGCTCATTAGTTGGATATTCGCAGAAAAACAAAAGCACTGTCAAATCTTGTTCGGGAGCTACGCCTTGTCACCAGTACGAAAGTATCAGAGGATTGTTGTGACACGGACCTTTTCTGTTATAACACAGGGACTCACTTACTGGTGCACTGCTGCATATGCTAACTGACTGGAAAGGCAGAGGGTAGTTTCAACACTGATTTGAACGCTGATTTAAAGTGGCTCCGACCAGGACTCTGACTCTGGGGATGAAGACCCGGGGGATTCAGGCAGCGACAGGAGAGGAATGAAACGGAGGAAGAGGAGCCAGTTTGTGGCCAGTTAATTAGTTAGTAACTGATAACATGCTGACGGATGAAGTACGTTGGTGATTGTTGGAACAGTTTAAAGACGGTTTCATACTTTTCGTAAAAGTATAATCTAGTATACATCCAGGAATTTCTCACATACACAAAATTCACATACTATACAGTTGAAACACTCAATTTAACATCATAGTTAGGAATAGTAGGTTAGTATGTGACTTCAAACGCAGCCATAGTGTGTCGGGATAACTTCTAAATAAGAATAGTTTACTGTTATCTCAGCACCTGAACAGATCTCTGGCCGGCTCTTTGTTTTTTAAAGCGTAATAAAAAGTAAGAGACAGCTGATCTTTCTTTCTTTGTGCAGGATCAAGGCAGAGGACTCTATGGACATAGGTGTGATCATGCTGTTTTACGGGCTTTACTACGGCGTCATGGGAAGAGACTTTGCTGAGATCTGCTCTGACTACATGGCTTCTACAATCGGGGTAGGACATTTCTATCATCAAGTAAAATGTGTCAAACCTTGCAGCAGCTAAGGGTTGATCAAATCTCAACACACGGATGTGATAAAGTTTCGATCCAGTGTGACTTTCTCTTCCGGTGGCAATTTTTTATCTCTTTTTTATCTAAAACCTGTGGACACATACTCTAACATGCACGTGTGTGTTATTTCAGTACTATAACAAGGGAGGAATGCCCAGCAGGAGCCTGACCGACGACATCTGTGCAGTGTGCGGTCAGAAGATCCTGGTGGACGTGGAGGAGGAAGGATTTATAGAAGACACCTACCAACTCTCCTGTGGACACCTGTATCCTAAAGCTTTGCTGATCCCCCGCCGGAGAAAATGCTTCTTTTTGAGCTCTCACAGGGAGGTCAGAGGTCTGGTTCTGTGCAGCTGGTTGACCTACCACCAAATACATTAAATCACATTTTCTTTTGCTTTCCACTAGATGCCTGGTTGTTGTTTGTCAAACAAACATCTAGTGGCATCAGTGGTTTTTGTGCTAAGCTTATTCAACCTTTATTTCAGCAGGCGAGACACTAAGAGCAGTTTCCTATTCGTAGGGAAGGAGGAGACAAACAAGAGCATAAGACAGAAACAGAAAAGTGACTAAATAATCAAGCATTCTTGAAAAAAAGTACACCATTAAAAGCTGGAACTTGTTCTAACTATTTTTTTCACGTTATTTATACCAACACAACTCATCAAAATAATGTTTGCAAATTAAAAGATTTATCTAAATCAATAAGTTATTAAGTTTTATCTTGCAACCATGCATTTATTTAAATATCCAGTAAAAAGAACTTAATCAAGAATATTATTCAACTTACAAAACTGAGTTTATGTTACTTCTGTAATTTTTCAATGTAATCCATTTTCAACAATTTTGTTTTTGTCGCTGGTTATTCTTTAGTTTCTCAACTCTGAAAAAGTTTCTCGAGTTGCCATCAGTTTTTGTAAAACTGCTGATACTCAGAACCTACACGGTTGATTTCTTCATCCAAATATTTTTTTAAAGTGAAAAATGTGAGAAAATGGTAAAAAAAACCAACAACAACTGGCTCTATCTGCTTGCAGTCCACCATTGACCAGTCAGAGGAGATGCAATGCATTATGGGGCAGTTGAGTATGTGTTGTAAGCTCACACTGTATACACAGACATTCTTGTTAATCTAGTATACATCCAGGCATTTCTCACATACAGGACAGTTGAAAGGCACTACAGACTCAATTTAACGTCGTACTTCAAAAGTACATTAGTATGTGATTTCGAACCGTCTCTGTCTCCACCAGGAGGTGAATCCAGGTTGCTGTGTTGTTGAGGGAAGATTCTCCCGTTGCCAAGAAGCCATGTGTTTTATGAGGATGTTGTGTTTCAGGGGATATGCTACCATGACTCAGCAGTTTAATGATCTCAAAACTCCAGAGGCCCGTTGCCTTTGCTCTAATACTGTGAGCTACGTTTCTAAACAACTCAAGTAACTAATCGATTATTATAATGGTTAATGATTATTTTTCATTGTTTGCCATACATTACATCAGATTTAGTTGATCGTAGGTTCTTTAAAACATGGCAGTGAGCTAGTACACTGGGATAAGTCATTTGAAAACTGATATAAGAAAGGATTGTCTGTATTTCTGCCTTAACTTGCCCCACCCCTTCAGATTCCACGAGTTCTGCATCCGCGGCTGGTGCATCGTGGGTAAGAAGCAGACGTGTCCATACTGCAACGAGAAGGTTGACATGAAGAGGATGATGAACAACCCGTATCCTTTTATACTGTTTCTGTGTGGTTGCCTGAGTGATCTACAGGCTCTTCACCGTTAGTGTCTTTAGACTCAGCCAGAAGATCCAACGGGTCAAAACAGGAAACGCAGTCAGTGCAACAAAGACCTGACTGGACGATCCGTTACTGTTCAGTAACCAGCCATGATCTATGACATTATTATTTTGGGTCAGGCTTCAGTAATGAATGAATACACACATTTAACTGCCACTAGATGTCGCACAAGAGCAGCTCAGGCCAAAACAACAAGTGCTACAACCCACCAGACTCCTTCGACAAAACCAGTATTTTTACGTTACAGATAATCATAAAACACACTTCAGACTGCACAGAAACCAAATAAGCTTACCAAAACCTTTTCATTAAGTTTGGTATGGTCGAAATAAACCCTTAATACACTGAGTCAGATAAGAAAATAGCTGTTTAATGTTAATCCTGTCAACCATCAAAGTGCATCCATTAAAAGCACACAAAGCATCATCTCTTGTGTATCTGAGTGCTCTCCTTAATTCCTACATCTCCTGTTAGCTGGGAGAAGACACATGTCCTGTATGGGCAGCTGCTTGACTGGCTCAGATATCTGGTTGCCTGGCAACCCATCATCATCGGTATCGTTCAAGGGATTAACTTCTCCCTGGGCCTGAAATAGAGCCCTGAGGAACGCCGCTGCAAGTATGTCCTGGAGTCGCGGGGGGGAAAAGTGTTCGATACGTTTGGCAACAAATTGTGAAAATCCGCTCGACAAGGAACTGATTCAGGCTGCTTTTGAAGTCTTTTGTTTCCTCAGTACATGTTGTTGGACTGAATGCTTGCACAGTTTCCAGCAGAGCGATCCCAGGTGGTCTGGGTCTCTGTGTGCAGAGGACACTGTGATGCCAAAACTGCTGCCAACTTGAACAAATTTTTGAATTTTTTTTTCATTTGAAGCACAGTTTATGTATAGTTCAGAAACTTCTCTGTCATGCATGTTGTTTTTTTATTGTGATAAATCATTGCTTTACTTTGTACTGTATCATAAAAATGCCTTTTTAAACAGTTGTATTGTTTGCACACTTCCTCACTGCTGGTTCTGTCGACAACCACTAACAAGAATTTATTTTAAAGGAGTTTTCTGCTACAGAACAAATTGATTAGTTAAAGTACAATTCTGTCCGAATAGTGTTACATAACCTGTTTACATTTCATGCAACTTTGTTTATTACATTCGTTTTATTTGGGATGTCTGTTCTGTTGTCGTTTGTATGAATCTAAAGTTGATGGTAATGTAGCAGTCACTGTTACTGTCACTGCAGCTGAAACTTACTATCAGGAATTGAATGTATCACATTATAGAACAGGAGAGAATGAGGTAGTGGATAATCTTCCCTACGTTATCCTTCCAACATGGCACCATTTTCCTAATAACTATGGTAACCACCAACATTTATTAACAGGAGTTTGGGTTCATTCAAGTGGTTGAAGAGTGACAGGAGAATCGAATTGACATTGCTTTGTTATCAAGACTGCTGCTGATATTAACTTTGTATTTATTAAATATTTCTAAAACCCTCATCAGTTGGTCAGTAAATGTGTTCATACACTCTCAGAGGTGCTTTGTGGAGTTGTGTGTATCCTTGAGCTCAAGCCAACTTCCTGAATGCATTTCCTTCCTCATAAAACATTTGTGAAGGACGTATTTTAAGTCCAGCATTGTTTATTCCAACAGTCTTCTTCTGTGGCCCTTGTGTCAATATTTCTGATTACTATCTGCGGGTGAAGGTGGGTGAGGGGCGGTTTCAAACTCGAACACCCCTGAGGTGTTCACAAATCTCTCTCTCTCTAACTTTATTTTCATTTCTCTATTTCTCAACCCCTTGTGATTATTTTGATGCTATGACTCAACATCCGCCTGCACACTGAAAAGGTTTTGTGCGTTGTCAGCAGTGCAAATAGTTGTTGTAGATCAGGTCCATGCTCAAACACATCTTCCTTACTCCTCATTTTTTTCCACACTAGAGCTTTCCAAAAATGTGTAGCATTAACATTAACGAGACACCTTTTTATCTGTCTATTGTGTGCATGTCAAATAAACACCTACAAATTCAGGGTAGCAGTTAACATGTTACACATCAAAAGCAATGAAAATCTTCACCTTTTATTAATGAACTCATGATGGATGTGTATTTCCTCCTGTATTCTTCCTGTTACGGATTTCCCACTTTGCCATGTCGAAATGTTTCATGTGGAAAAAAAAGGCACTGCATGAAACAGACTATCACCCAATTATAAACAGTACAGCAGGTATCTATTTAGTGAGGTCAGAAATGTATAAAACCAATAAAACGTGAGTCTAACGCACATTCAAGGATGTGATTTGGTATAAGTTGTTGAGATGGTGATTGATTATTGAGTGATTATTAGTGAGAGACCAAAGGGTTAACATGTCGAATAAATATCATGTGACAGGAAGAAGAATAACAACGCCCAGTGGAGAGAGAGAGCGCCTTTTCCCATCTCTGTTCAAACACAGCGCGCCCTTTTTCACAACAGCTAGATCCACATCGAGGTAAGACACCCAGGTTCTCTCTTTATACACATAGTATGGTCTAATACCTTTTATAGTCTTACTTTTGATAAATGTCACTCATCATCTGTAGCACCACGTCTGTAGGAACTTTGATTACTGAGTAGGAATGGAATTTTTATTGTTAAGTGCCATTGTTTGGTATTAATCCATAATGTGTGTTGGTCTATCACACGGAACTAACATCTTAATCAAATGAATCAGAACTGCTGATGCTGAAATGAACACATGAAGTGTTTGAACTTTATTGTTTCTGTTGTAGCCATTCGATATTTGTTTCCTGCCTGACGCCAACTACTGTATTCAGCCACTGCCTGAGGGTTTGAGTGGTGCAACGCTACAAACCGCCAAGGTGGTGAGTCAGCTCAGGATCTCTCTGGATTCTTTTATCCAGTTGTTCTACGACACAAATTGTGATTCACACTGCAACAGGGGTTGTCTATTCCGGCCACATCTGATCTACAGAACGGCCACTGATGAAAATATGTCAGTATTTATATATTTCCAGTTTTACAAACTGGGTATCTGTGGCTAAAGTCTCCAGAGAAATTAAGTATTAAGTTACTACTGAAACTGAACATTTCCTGCTGCTGCAGTTTCACATTAAAAGCACTGAACTGGTAAAACACAAGCTGACTTTTATTATGAAGTAGTACCCACAGGAAATGCAGTGTTTTTGTCCACGAGCTCAACACTGCTGTTGTTCATGAAAAATGTCAGTTAAACAAGACAACCGTCATTCTCTGTGTTTTTTGACAGCCGATCTGCTGTTTACAGCATAAAATCTGATTGCTCACAGAATCAGGAAAATGGTCAATAATTGTCTGACTTCTTTATTGAAAAGACAATAGTTTGTTTAGCTGCCTCCAGAATTATGTGACCTGTATTACCGTCTGAGAGCACTGCTAGTTCAGTATCCAGTTATCATTATGCATTTCCTACTCACACTGATACAGGCTAGTTAATTTATTATTCATTTAGTAAGAAAGTGAAAATACTGAAGAATATCAGGCGAATTAGGCCTAAATTAATTCAATGTTTTTCTATTTGATAGTCTGGCCCTGACAGTGTCTGCTGTGAAAGTTGTGCAAATGACAAATGCTCTGACTTGACTTGAGGTGGCAGATGTTTGCTAATTTCAGCTCATTGCTCAAACATGTCATTTTAACAGCAACTATTATTTTTTTAGGTGAAAATGCCTCCTAAAAAGCAAAAGACGAAGGACATCAGGTCCTTTTTCAACAAGACTGTAAGTAACAGCTCAGATAATAACAATACTCTGTAATCAATGCTTCACAAACATAATAAACCTTAACATCTGTTGACATCTGTTTCCTAAACTAAGGCTGTCCCTCTAACGTGTGGACATCATTTGCAAATGCAAATTTTTACCAGAGCTTGTCCAACTGATCTGTTTGTGAATGTCATGCAGGACAGTCCTGGTAGCAGCAGCTCGACCAACACAGGAAGTGCCCAGCCAGGTGAAGCTAAAGGCTCTCAGGTGAGCTCTTACACTGCACGTTCCTTAGTCGAAGTTAATGGTTGAGTACTGTTGTGTGTCTGTCTCTGAATTCCCCATTTTGTGTCACAAAATAATTATCTACCCACACCGACAGTATAAACAGAGCCAGTGAGTCCAATATTCACTCTCCTTATAAGTAAAATATCTGTAACTGACAGTGAGAGACAAGGCTATCAGAAATATAAATGAGCATTACGACAATTAAAAGCTAAAAGAGAGTTTTATTTAGTCTTAATTAGTGAAGTGATAAGTACCCCCTCTCGAGTTCAAAATACTGCTGGATGCAACACATGCAAGTCTCTCAGGCAAAGCACAGGTCCATTGTTTTTACAACAGTAAATTTTCTCATCCTCCTTTTCTCATTTTTAAGACTGCTACACCCACCAAAGTGAAAAAAGAGGACAACTGTGATGCCCCGGTCAGTAGACTAATACACTGCATGCACAAAAAGTTTGAATTGCATGAACAAGGACATTTAACAATTTTTCTCACTCTGATTTCCCACAGGGCGGACATTTACATCGTTTCAAAGTGAAATTCAGCTGCACTGACCGTTATAAATACGCTATTGACTGTGATCGACCTCGCACGGTGCTGGAGGCAATACAGTCAAGTGAACACTATTCTAAGAAGATGAAGAAGTGTTCAGATGAAAACATTGTAATTCAACTGGGTAAATCAGATAAAGAATCTATCGTTGCAACACATTTCCCTTGTTCTTGTGTCAGTGATGGTGAGCCTCTGATCATATCATGTGAGTCAGAAAAGGTTGAAGAGGCTCAAGGCCAACATTGCCAACCAATACATTCAAGGGATAAATATTCTGTCTTCTACATTGATACAGTGGGAGGGTTGTTCACCAAACAAAAAAAGCTTTTTAGAAACAGCGCTGTAAAACAGTTCAAGTATCTGTGTGTCTATGGGGAGAAGGGGACGACTGTGGAAGAGGCTCTGAGAAGAGACGGTCGTTTCATTGATGATCTCGGCGACTTCACTCTGTCAGACAATGACAATCCGAACTGCATCATTGGACGCAAACAAAAGGTTGACAAACTAGATAAAAAAGAATTTAAGATACGTCTTCCACGGAACAAGAGAGCAAACGATGAAGAAAAACAGGAAAACTCTGGTGCATCAAGTAACTTACAACAGACGTGCGGTGCAAAGGCAGTCTTAGATGTAATAAAGCAGAGAGGAATCAGTGTCAGAACAGAAGTGGAGAAAAGAGGCAGTGTTGATGACACTGGGGAGATTTACGATATACTACGTCAGCAGTTTCCAGGTCTGAAAGAACTGATGGAGAGTAGATTCCCTGATGATTCTTATCAGGAAGCACTGAGCTTAAGGAAGGAAAACTTTGGAAAAATCCAGAAGTCTTTCAGTGAAGTTCACAGAGTCAGGAAGCTGCTTAAAATGGGCGAGTCAGTCTGCAAAGTGAATGTTGGGGATGTTTGTGAGGGCACGGGCTTTGTGCTGTTTGACAACTTCATCTTGACTAATGCGCACTTGTTCAAAGATTGTGTTGAAGGAGAAAGGCTGAAGGAGGGTATAAATGTGTGTGTCCTCTTTAACTATGAAGATCCCGAGCCACACACAAATTTCTACTACTTCCAGCTAGCTCGGTTTTACCTCTGTTCCAGAGAGGATGAACTAGATTATGCCATACTTGAGCTCAACCCTGAGAGCCAGAAACCCAACGAAACAACACAAACAAAGAAAATGAAGGTGCCACCAGGGCTCCTCAAGAAATTTGGTCCAGTACCTGAGAATGGCGAAGCCTGTATTATTGGTCATCCAGCAGGAGAAGTGAAACAAATGGATCCTACATGTATCATTGAGAAAGAAAGGAGGAGGCAGGCTGTCATTGATCATTTACATCAATACAAAGACAATGTTTTCATTGTCCACAATATCAGTCAGATTATCAAAGACCAAGGCATTGACAACATAATGATGGGTGGACATAAAGCAGACAAAGTTGTGACCTATAACACCTTCATGTATCACGGTTCTTCGGGCTCTCCCGTGTTCGATGTTAATGGCCGAGTGTTTGGTTTGCACACCGCAGGATTTTGTCATGGTTTTTACAAAGGGAGCGTGATAGAGTTTGCCCAACCTCTGCTTACCATATTTGAACACTTTGTGAGCAAGCTGAAGGAAAGAAATCTTAAGGAGCTGTTGAAAAGAGTTAAGAAAGAAGCAAAGGGAAACCTGTACCTAGAAAAGGTAGTCCGTCTCAAATCGAGTGGCACTGGCGAGTGCTCAGACTCCGACGAGTCAATGGAGACTGATTAATTATTCAGAGGTATCCGAACAACAAAGAACTAGTTAAGAGTTAGTTATGATGAGGGAATTTACTTTGTGGTGATTTAGGGTGGTTCAACAGTGCAGTATGCGATATTATCGTCATTTTTGTTGGGGTTTTTTTGCTTTACTGAAGAGTTTTCATACGCATGTTTTTTAGTAGTTTATAATCACCTTAAAATCAGAGTTGTTGTGTTATTTGTTACCTTAGAATGAGTTCTTATCTGCTTTGTGGTATTGTAGTCCTGAGGCTATGAATTGAGGGATGCCGAGTTGCACCGTGTTTCAGATGCCGCTCTAAGACGCATTTTCCGTCTTAAAAAAAATTGACTGGACATGACGTGATGATGTGATGTCACATGCGGTTGTGGCGGATGCTTACCATCACCTGCAGTTGGCTAGTATTTACTTCATTTGTTATTACAGTTATATAACATATATCTATTGTAACCAGTGTGCTTAAGTTTGTGTTAAAATTGCTGATTATTTTGACTTTTCTGTTTCTTGCCTGTTTCCTGTCATTGATTTTTAGCTCTATCTAAACAGGTTGCAACATTAGATTAGATGAGACTCTTTGTTTTAATGTTGATGTTTATTTGTGCTTTAAATCACTAAACTGAGTTTTATTAAATCAGGTTTTCATTTTAACTTGTGTGCTAGGTTTAATTTCAAATTTAGTTTTATCAGTTTAAATGAAGTTTATCTAAATGAAGTCAGAATGTATTCACATCACCAGCTCAGTTTTCACTGCACACAGATATTACATCCATTCACATAAACCAGCCTGAGGAAAACAGTGGAAATGGTGACATCTGCTGGCAGAAAACAGCTCCAGCAGGAGCTCCAGAACATGAATGCTGGTAATAACAACTACTTAAACATTGATTTCTGTGGGAAAAAGCTCCACAGGTTGACTTTATGTGTCAGTAATATGAAAAATCAAAACTGTAATAAACTACACTTCCTTTATTTGTTTTACAGCAAAAATAAAGATAGTATTATTTTACTTACTAATTGTTTTATAAACATGATTAATTAATATGAAGTCTAGAGTTTTGTTTTCTTTTGTTCATCATGTAGAAATTAAATATTAAATCACTGACAATCCACTAAAGTCCAGACTGAATCTGTTTGTAGTCAGTTGCTCAGCATGCATTCATCAGGGGAAATTCTACACAGCAGGAAGTCGTTTTTTTTTTTTTTTTTTTTTTGGCTTCATCCATATAAGGTGATGCTTCTGTTTAACTAACATTAACTTTCAAATTGAACTAAGTATTTAATGAATGATTAATATTTAGTAGCTAGCTAGTTAGGTAGTGTTCTACTAACATTAACTTTTGGATGCCGATTGGAATTTCTTCATACTTTTCTTCATCACAACCTCCACAACCTCCACAAAATGACTGGTCAGAATTTGATGTATTCAGTCTGGTAATATTTAGGAATGAAAGTTCCTAAAAACCAGCTTGGCAGGTGTTATTTTAAGATATATAGATTGAATGTAATCAGAATTAAAATTTGATTTTTTGTTTTGTTACACTGTATTTACTGCACTCTACCTATCTGCATTTTTGTGCTCATAGGTCAAATGAATGGTCTTAATTTTTAAGAAATGAAAACTACTTTAAGAATACATATTTAAGCACATAACGACTCCTGTACCTGATGTGACACATTTGGCTAGATAGTCAAAAACAAAAGGCCTTATTTCCCTGTCAGTGTCAGTGTCAGTGTAGTTACTGTGGTTAGCCCCTGAAGGGCACTATAGGCCTACAACAATCCCATCTCCAGTTTAGCAGGTTCATGTTGGTTTTTCCACCCCGCTGTACATTGTTGGCCCTCCTCCTCCTCTTTACAGCTCAGCCCACTGCTAGTAACAAACACTAAATGCACTTTTTATTGACAAATTGTCATTTATTTTGCATTTATTTCTATAAAAAAGAGACAATATAATGCCATTTATACAAACAATATTCTTTTGTGCCTTTTTCCATTATTGGTCATTATTTAAGTTTGTAACATTTAGGTGGATCTTCTGTCAAAAATGGGATACAACAGTCATTAGTTTAATTTATTAGTTTGTTTAATCACCTGAAAATAAGAATCATTTTGTTTTTGTTACCTTAGAATGAGACGTTTTTCTACAGAAGGAGTGGGTCCTGTTCTACATATCCTAAAAACATATCTTAATAAAAGAAGTAAGCTAACTTAATTTAATCCTCCAAAAAATGATTTCCCTTGAATTAACCCTAACTTAAAAATTAATTGTTAAATAAATAACTGTTTTGAGTTAACTTTAATATGTGCAGTTTTACAAATATTGGTAATGTATTTCCAGTGGTTCCACCACTAGATGGCACTAAATCTTACAGACTGGTATCTACATAGTTTACTTCCTGCCTCTTCAGTCTTTACACCTTATCTTAATTTTGAAGTGCTCATACTCCTTAATTTCCTCTTCTTCCCTCTTCTTTCCTGTTCACTGCCTTTGTTCTTCATTTTCTTCTTTCTCTTCGTCACTTCTGTCTTTCCCTCTCAGTCATCATCCTCTTCTCCCCTCAAAGCATTGCGGAGGCTCCTCCAGAACTCCCCAGTCCTCTCCTCCTCCTGAGGCCACTCTAGGTAGGTGGTGGAGCCCATGAGTTTGCGCAGTTTGTAGAAGCGTTTAGGGATGTCGTCCTTGGACAACGGTTCCAGCAGGATCAAGATGGCTGCGTCCCTGCCGGCATGTCCATCAAATAGCCAGAAGTGAGAGAAGTCCAGCTCATAGCGACACCAGTCGGACTGGACAAAATTCTCAGAAAGGACGAACACGGTCCGCCGGCTGCGCTCCATGGCGCTCATGATGTTGTCCACAATCCACTGTCCAGGAAGGAAATCCCGCTTGTGTAGGCACAGGGTCAGAGGCCGGGGTCTTCTGTGATTCACTAAGTCTTCATCAGTCTCCCTGCAGGAATATTAGTCACAGAGCAGGTCACCACAAAAGCACATAGCACTGACAACTAGCATCCTTCTAATTTAAGTTTTTTAGTTTGTTTTTTTGCACAACTGAACATGAATGCATTATTCCTCTAGATTAAAATAATACTCACTTTAAAGAGAATTTTCACTTAAAATTTTGAAACCATACATCTTTACTAGTCACCAGATTCAGCAAAATACTGACTATTTTCATTGGTCAGACAATGCCCACTGAGAAATCACCAGTTCAGTTTACTACAATTAAAAGGCACTTAAAATGAGGTAAAAACGGCTTTTTTTGAAGTTGTTGCAGCCTAAAATGCAAATGATTTCACAACAGTTTTTCTAATAAACTACGCCCGGTTAGCTCACTCGGTAGAGCTGGTGACCCATGTACGGAGTTGCTGCAGCGGCGCAGGGTTTGAATCTGACCTGCGGCCCTTTCCTGCGTGTCATCCCCCCCTCTCTCTGTCCCCCTTTCCTGTCTGTCTTCAGCTGTCACTATCAAATAAAGGCAATAAAAGGCCAAAAAAATAATGAATAAAAAAATGATGAAAAATGTTCAACCAAATCTCACTCATATCTGGTAAGTAGCCTTTGAGTTATCCTACTAATTAATACATGTATAGACAAATTGTACAGAAAATGTAAAAATGATATTAATATAACGAAGAGTTTGGACGTTACCTTGGCTCTTCCAGCTCAGGTACCAAGAAGTTTTCCACCCAGCTAGCGTCTCTCTCACTGTAGGAGACGAAGGCGTCAAAGGACAGCAACGCCTCTGAATCTCCTCTGCCTCTGTGTCGCCGGGAGCTACGCTTGGCCTTTAGCCATGCCCACGTCATCTTCAGGTACCAGAACGCATGGAGGCGCCACAGCAGTATACACACCAGAATGGCAACAAACAGCGCCACCCCACAGCTCACAGACACAAACAAAACACGGTGGCACTCCACAACGGAGAGACGGACTTGGCCTACTGGTTCCCCCTGCAGGTAGAGGGGAGAGTCACAGACATAGCTCTCCTCTTCATCTGTTAAATACACGTCTCCATGTCCTTTAATGACTGACTGGAGGAAAGGAACAAAGTCACAGGAGCAGACAAATTTGTTCTGACCCGCCTGGAGGTTCTGGAGTCGTCTGTACAACTGGAGGTCTGACCGGTTGAACATGTTCAAGGTGTTCGACTGTCGAAAACAAGGAAGGTTCACAGTGAGAAACACAAAGAAGATTGTAAAAAGAAATATGAGATGTGACTTTTTCTTACCTGTATTTTCAGTGTTTGCAGATTAGGGAACAACTCTCCACTCGGCAGACTCAGAAACTTGTTCCCAGAGAGGTAAAGCTCTCTCAGGGCAGGCAGGACCAGATAGAAGTTTTTGAGATCATTGTTGCTCAGATCCAACACCTGTACATGATAAAGTAGAAGGGAATGGTGGTTTATCAGTGAGTGTTTCTGTTGTGATGATGTCAAGTCTGTCAGGATTACGGCCACATGGTACACTCTCAGTACCTCAAGAGTTGTGGGTAGGCAGGGCGTGATGGCTGTAAGTTTAGCCCTGGAGATGTTGAGGTATCGCAGAGTGTGGGGCCATGAGCAGGACAAGGGCATGGAGCTATATCCGTTCCTGCTAAGGTCCAGGTGGGTCAGTTTGGAAAGTTTCACTACCAGCCATCTCACCATGGACAAAGACTGGAAAACAGAGAGACAGCAAAGTGTTCAGTTCAGTCTTATTTGTGTTCCTGCCAATTTGACTTCTTTGTAGTAAAGTGTCACCATAACTGATACAATGAATGGAAAATCTATAATCACCTTCAGAGCATTTCCGCTGATGTTTAAAACTCGGAGGTCTGTAAGTGGGCTGTGTCCTCCGCACAGTGTCTCCTTCAGAGTCATGTCAGTTAGCAGATTGTCGGACAGGTCCAGGTACTGAAGGTTCTTTAGCAGGCCAGACGTTTGACAGGGCATCACATACGCCTGAGGGTTAAAGTCAGCCGTTGCTAATGAAACTCTTGAGAGTTGGAATAAAATGCAGTGTTCCATGATTCACACAAGGATTTATTTATTAATTTTGCTAATAAGAGGACTAATTGCCTGAGTCATTTGCATGTCCTCACAAAAGAAGTGGTGTTGGAAATTTGGCAACATATCTGGTACAGTTTTAGAATGTTTTTTGTCTTACAGATTCAAATTGGAGGTTCTGTATGTCTTTGAACTAAAACTACTTCAAATACATTTGATGTCTGAATTATGTTGTTTTTATGTTGTTTTTTTATGTATCTTTTATAGCCATTATTCAAGGAAAGAAAAACACCACTATAAGTTGAGTCCAAACTTCTAAATGGTATTGTATAAAGTTAAATAATGTAGAACCTACCATGTTACATACTTGTGATAAATAACACCTTGTTCTTTACCTTGCCATTAATAAGGGACACCTTCCTAGGATATTGCAGGAGAAATCCCAGGTTAAGAAATGAGACAAAGTGAAAGACATCCAGAACGACAATGTTTCGAATGAAGAACTCGTCGAAGCTTTTATGATAGGTCCAATTGGCTGGCGTCCACCTAACACCAATCAAAAAACAACAGATTATTAAACTATTCAAGTAGTTGTCCGTTCAAGCAACAGTTCTTTCCTTACCGTACAGTACTGTATTAAAATTTGGACAAAGTGAAACTATCTGCACCCATATTTACTGTTCATGCAAACATACTACATTTGTAAACAACATAGCAAATTGGACGGACAATTTTAGAATTTACCAAAAGCTGATTATGCTAACAGAAACATTACTTTTCAGCAGTGCTTCTGGTTCATATATCGACAACATTTATGAGTTTGATCACAGTTCCCAACTGTTGTTGTTGGTTGCTAGGTAGTCAATTCATATTTCTGTCTGGCAAATGATGGGTCGATCAAACACACTGCTCCTCTCCCCATTTGCTAAGCACAGTCATTCCAGAGAGCCATAGCCAAGTATGAGAGCGAGCGAGTCCGCAGATCTAGTGAGATGGACGCTTAGTTGACAACACTTTGAGTTTGATAAATCATGTTGGTTTCCTACCTGCCCTCGCCCGTCAGCGTGACACTGTCCACCGAAAAGCAGGTGAGCGGCACTCCATTAAACACCACCAGGAAATTAACGATGGCCTCATCGGACACAAAAACGTTGCGCAGGGTGATGTACCTTAAGATTGACATTATGAGAGGAGTGACTGGTCAGTGTGTTGCCAAACTGAAACTTTTTCCGGTTCAAAATGGCAGGAAGAAGTTTGAAATTTGAACCTAAGTCACTGAAGCAGAGAAAGAAGCTTTGTGTAAAGTGTATACTTAACCTGAATAATAAAAATACAATAAAAAAAAATTACGTACGTACGCACGTAATACAGGATGTTGACAGACAATGATCAGAAAGATTCCAATGTTCACAAGAGTTCAGTTAGAGATGGTTGAATGATTGCAAAAGGTGGATGTGTAAGTGTTTAATATACTGTGCAGTGACAATATTGCACTATTTATTTTCTCTTATTTACTATTTTCAGGAGCTTGCCTATTATTAAGAGTCTATCATTAAGAGTCAGAATTATAGCTTGAATGTTGATGTGTTTTGTGGCCCCTCTTAGCCCTAAAAGCATATGATCAATGATATTTTGCTAACTTTGGCAAACATGCTTTACCAGGAATTCCACATCCAAAATTAAAACAGAAGAAAAGAAGATTGTGGCCAAACCTGACTCTCCTTCTGGCTGATGCGTAGAGGGGCTGAACAGTCTCTTTCCCAATCAAATGGAGGTCCTCCAAAATGAGTGGCGTCTCAGGGTATGACACGTCACTGAGCACATCTGAGGCTAAGGGTACATTTGTTAAAAATGGATTGTGGAGGCTCAAAGTGACACGACCCAGCGGCCAAATGTCTGCTAGAGCACCAGACTCGTATCTGCAGACAGAAAAAGAGAAGTATAGTGAAACACTAAAGCACTAAATGTGGATTAATCTGCTGTTATATAGTTAAATAGTCCCAAACAAATGCTTGTAGGGTTTGATAAAAACTACAGTGACCAGGTGGATTATTACTGGGCATTTAGAAAAGATAATTGTGATATTTGAGTGGTTTTTTTTTCCAAATATTTCCATTTTCAGTAGCAAGCAATGGGCTTGGAGCTGAGAGTCTCAGACAGGGATGAAAGTATTAAAAGTATTATCAGCAATTAAAATTAGTTAGTCATCTATATACACTGGATATGCACATTTTTCTCAAGATTTTACTGCTACGGCTAAATGCTACCAGAAGGCTTGAGGTGGCTGCACAGTCAACAGTCTGTGTGCCACAGTGGTGGTCAGTTCAGTGCTTCAGTTCAGTTACAGTTTCAGTCCCGAACCTCGTCAGGTTGTTGGCGTGCACAGTGAGCTCCTCCAGCTGAGTGACACCAGACAGATCTCCTATCTTTAGCTCCTCCAGAGCAGGACCTCCAAATGCCAGTGTCCTCAGCCTGGCCAGCCCCTGAAACACCGGAGGAGAACCCAGGCAGCTGGAGGAGAGGAGAGGAGGAAAGAAGAAGCTTCTTTAAAAGGCAAGAAGTATGTGGACACTTGAGCATCATACGTATGTGGAGGTTTCTGTTTCGTCTTTATACTGTAACCTGTATGCTTTACCTGTATGGGTTGTTGAGCAGGTTGAGCTTCTGCAGAGCTCCCAGCTTGCTGAACCATTTGTGGTTAAGAGCAGTCAGCTGATTGTCTGACAGATCCAGCTCCTCCAGGCTCCACAGAGAGTCAAATGCTGACAGGTGGATTACAGCTAGCCTGTTACCTGAAGGTCAGTAATATGTACATATAACGACACCATACATTCTTACCAAAATGTTATCAGGTGTTCCACAGAGTTCAATCCCTGGACCATCATTAATGTCAATGATCATTATTGTTAGGGTCCCTATTATTATGGTTTCTTATTATTATGAAGAAGATCCAGATCTGAGGGGTATTGCACAAAAGTAGAATAAAGAAATCCAGGACAATTGAGCAAGCGCGGCTTGACCTAGCCTGCTCGGCGCATCCTGGCTTAATTAGTTGCACGTTTGCCGAGCCAGGATGAAAAGGCGCAGCTATGTTAAGCCAGGTGTAGACAGTCGGGATAAGTGCGTGTTCACGGCATACTGAAATAGACCTTGTGATCGCTCACAGAATCACCGATGGGAACATGGATAAGAGTTGCGCTTCATATTTCACGGCCGCTGAAAAACAGCTCCTGATGGAGTTCTATGAAGAGGTGAACGATATAAGAAAAAAAGGCAATACCAATGCCATAATTAAAGAAAGAGAGAAAGCCTGGCAGACAATAGCGGACCGGCTTAATGCTTAAGTAGTCCAAAACTGTACAATGAATAAACAGTGCTCCACTGGAACTGTCATCATTAGGCTCTAATTAAAGGACTAAAGGAGTTACTTTAAGTCCACTAATCAACTGTTGTACACTTTGCTTTAAATGTGGCAAGTAGAGGTGCATGTTACTTAAATGTAGAGTATGATTAAGTGCAAACAATTATCCACAATGTGTGTCATTTTATCTATTTTTCTCATGTTACATTTTTATCTACTTTATCTTTCTATCCTTCATAAAGAACAAACTTGTCTGGCCATAAAAGGACCTGGCAGCAAGTTACATTAAAAATGTAAAAAAATAAACATTTTGCAGGCTGGTAAGTGACTATAAAGTAGTAACAGTGAACAAATGAGGTGAATAGATTAGGTGTCTGCTGACATGTTGAATGTCTGTATGATTGTAGCAGTTAAAAAAAAGCCCATAGAACTGGCACAGGGAGCGGCCCACCAAGCCAGGATATGTGCGGCAAATAATGGTTCCTTTATTGAGGTTCTCTGCAACCCCAACAGAATAAAGGAAGCTCCCTCTTGCAAAACATCTCAATGTAACACAGACCATCTGTGGTAGAGTGAGAGCATGGCTTCCTGCCGTCTGGTGCTGTATTTTTGGACCCAGCAGCCTACATAAATATCTTAGTCCATCACCTGAGAATCTGTATCTCTCAATGAGATAGTCATCTCCAACGGCCAATGGGTCTGACCTGTCCCAGAAGACTCTTTCATGCCTAAATGCTCGTCTGACGATTAGGGCTTCCTCATCCAGCACATCCTCCAAGAAAGGGCAAGCCATTATGAAGAGGGAACAGGTGAATGGGAGTTGGATGGATGGATGGATGGATGGATGGATGGATGGATGGATGGATGGGTGGATAGATAGATAGATGTGTATATATATATATATATGTATATGTATATATATATATTATATATATTGCCCTTGTCACAGATTTCATTGAAAACACCTTTGCAACTTCATCAGCTGTGTTTTGTAATCTCAATTACTGCAATAAAACACATATTTATGAAACCTCTGACAGGCTTTTGACAAGCAGTCTTCATTAGCATAGCAATATAACACTTGGCCTGAGTAATAATACTACCACTTGAATCAATATAAAAAGACTGTTGCAATTACAAACAGCCAACAGATTTAAATGAAATGAGAAATGACAATATATGTGTAATATTTTAATGCAGGATAATTCAAATGATGCAACATACTTAGAAAGACCATGGACATGCTGTAAAACACATTAATTCCTCACAGGACTGACGGTGGAAATACAGGTGAATCACTAGGATTAATGTTAGCCTGGCTGTTAGCCTGGTCTGGAGCAGGCTAGCTGCAGAGAATAAATCACCATAGTAACTTGGCCAGGATAAGTTTGACCTGCTTTCATGCAACCAACTTGAGGCTAAATTCAGCCAGGATAACCAACATATCCCGACTTAATCCCTTATCCTGGTTTTGTGCAATACCCCTCTGGTAAAGGTGCTTTTAGTTACGTTGGCTTTGCTCTCCGGAACAAGCTTCACAATAAGCAAATTAAATTGTTCATGTTGTCTGTGAAGCGCTAAACAGTGTGAAAGGTACTATACAAATGAAGTTTGATTGATGATTGTCAAAGCTTTAGAGCTTTCTCATCTTTAATAAAGACAAAATTTTTCTGTCCAATAGATATCTACTTAAGCACTTAATCACTTATGCTGAAGAAATTCATCTGACTTTTTATGCACTGTGCAAATGTATTATATAATATGTTTGGGGATTGTTGCCTTGTTCCTATACCCAATAACATCCTATTAGCCTTACCATGGAGACTCAGAGCCCTCAGTTGTCTGTGGCCTGTCAGATCATCAACGGTCACCATGGTGATGTTGTTGAAGGAGAGATCAAGAGTCAGGGCACGGTCTGTTACCACAGGAACACGGGTAAATCCATCATACGAGCAGTTACAGGACAGCCGCAGGTCACAGCGATCGCACGAGGACCTCTCATCATCTGGGTTTGACCTCTGAGACCAGCAGAGAGAGTGGAGGAGGAGGAGCAAGGGTAAGGTGAAGTAAAGGTTGGTCTGCTGCTCCATATTGTAGGGGGGGGATCTGGAGGTGATGGAAGCAGGGAGGAAAGGAAAAGAATGACTGAGTGGGTGAATTAATCCGATAATGAACCGTAAAATAGGGAGAAAATAAGGGAAGTCAGAGTCGGTCAGCGGGCGGACACTCAGACCAGAATAAAAGTGAAAAAACAAACAGGGAGGAAGTGAGATTTGGATAAAAGAGGAAGTTTTTAACATTTTATTCGGACTTTACCACCATGTGGAGACCATTTACCAACACAGTATTCCCAAAGTGAGTGAATAGATCAACAAGCAGACAGGATTTAAGTTTGCCATACATCCTGTACTGAGGGCTTTTAATTCAGTTAAATTTTATCAGTGCCAAATTATAAAATAAGTTATCACAGGATTTAGAGAAGGTCTGGACTATTACTCCTCATAAAATAATTTACAGAGGCCCAACAATTCTGACCATGAGCTGTTCACATACTAGTAGGTAGTTTTGTTTTATGATTAAACATGTGATTCCAAAATTGGCATTCATTTGCTGCAAAATTATCATCCACTCCTCTGGTTTCAGGTTTTTCAACCAATTTTTGAACTGGACTAAATTAGATTTCAGTCGTTTGGGTAATATCGATATGCTAAATAGGGTTTTCATGCAAAAATACCTTTAAGAAGGATATAGTTCACTCATCTGTGAAGGTCAGATGAAAAGTAAATGTATGTTTAATTATCTCTGTTTTTACACAGAAGAGCATGCAGGGGTCGACCTCAAAATACTTTGCAGTGGTGGTGTGTGGTGATAGTTTGGGTGCGGTCACCTTTAGGTTGGGTGGTGTATTTTAGTTGTAGTGATTAATAGGGCTGCACGATATGGTAAAAACATCATATTGTGATTATTTTGACAGACAGATGTGATTGTCATTGAAAAAAATCACAATGATATTTTCCTAAATCTGTAGAGCAAGTAGTTGTAGTTAGATTAATATATTTATTAATAATAAGATTCAGATCTCCTTTCAGAGGGACTAAGACTAAGCGCAAACTAGAAAAATAATTTTTAAGCACTGGAGAAATAGAAAAAGACCCTTAAATTAAAATGAAACTCAGCAAATTATCTGTAAAATTAAGAAAGGGTACCATAAAAACTGCGTTATGTATTTTTTAAGTATCTTTGCTGGAAACCCCCATAAGGGACATTTAATTTTATTGCCCTTGTTTGCTCAAGTGCTTTCCTTATTCTGCTATTTATCTCTTTGCAACCGAATAGTTTCTGCTGTCGTAAAATGGAAAAATTATAACTGAAACAGCATCGTAGCCACAAGTCAGACAAAAAAAGTATATAGTATATAAGTCTGTGTTGCCTTACCTGATTCGAGCTGAGTCCTGATAATGAAGGGGAAACAGCTCAAGTTGCGAAAGACGAGAATGAGTTATAGAGTCTCTTTATGACTACATAGGGAGGAAGTAAGAACTCTGAGGTGACAGCTGGAGCTGACTGCTGAAGTGTAAAAAGAGGTAGTGAGCATGAAAATTTACTCTCGGGGGGGAAATCTCTATGTGTGCGCCTGTAAAAGTGACAATAAATTCATCTTTTGCATATTTTGTAAAACACCTAAGGACAAAGTAGATTTCAAAGAAAATAACATTTGAATTGTTTTGTTTATTCAAAAAACTACATCTTATGAAATTTGATCAACTTCTTTATTTATTACATTTATTATTCATAAAAACAAGCAAGTAAGGCAGTTAAATGTATTATGTAGTATGTGGTTTGTGTTATATGATATACTGTTACCGTACTGGACCGTTACCACAATGACTTCTGCTTGTTCTGACTTTCAGACTCTAATCATCACTTCCTCTTTGTCTCCACTCATAAATACTTTATACTTAAAGTAATAATTTAAAAGTGACAGAAATAATCTGTTACAAATAATTCAGTGTAAACGAGAAGAGTGCACTCAATGCGGATGAGAAAGCACCTAATGCAATGCCGCCACAAGTGCCAGATGCAACCAGCAGAGATTTGCATTTCATATTACAAGTTTCTGTAGAGTCACATCGTATTGCACTCGATCGTATTGCATCATATAGCCAAACTGTATAAACTTCATAAGGAAACAATAAATGACAGTCATAGATGCAGTGTGATCTAAGAACAGTGGTGGAAGTATTCAGATCTTTGACTTAACTTTTGCTTTGTCATTACACTTCCTATGACCTTAGGATCAAATGTTACACTAACAAAGATTAATTGAAAAGTGTAACAGCAGACCTGCAGAGATGGATATTGCATTCTCTTCATTATTTCTTCATTGTGTATCAGCAGACAAGGACCTGTGTATACAGATTTTCTTGTAATTATGGTGAGTGGGGTTATATCGTTTTCATTTCATTGTTCAGTGTCTCATTGTGTCTTGCCTTCCTAGAATGTCTGTTTGTACTCTCGAAAGCTGCTTTAAGACCTTGTATTGTGCAAATCTGGGTTACAGACTATTTTTGCAAGTAAAAACTGGTTCTCAGGTTACTTGAAATTGTTTAAAAGAAATATTTAAAACAAAGAGTGAGACACATTTTTTTGATAACCTGGTTACTAGACCAATCTGGCAAATACGTCCCTCCACACCCTAATTTAAACAGATTTTCCACAGTCCTAGATCCAATCTGGATAGGCACAACCAAGTATCAAATATGGGGCCGGTTTTATACGACAACTGTATGGATGAGCAACCTCATTGGCCATTGAGGCATTTCAAAAAATACCTGGCAGGCAAACATCAACCATTCAGATCAATGAACCAAACAACGTAGTCAAACTCTTAAGGAAGAGATCGAAAACATCTTTTCCATCATGAAAAGCCTTCATTACTGTTCTTTGCTCTTCTTTAAATGAAGAAAGTCAAGTTGTTAACCCTAGATTTGTGTGCCATTAGAAGCATTGTTTTCTTCCAAATCCTGGTTGCAATGTAGTTTAAGCTGACCTTTGACCTTATTCCCTTGCATATCTAGGCTAGCTACTAGATGTTACTACGATGTACAAATGTGAACCAAGTTGTTTTCAAGGCTCTACAACCAGCAGAATGGACTGTTTATTGCCACAAATAGCCTACCAAGTAGCCTCCAACAGCATGGTTTTCCTACTTCAAGACTCCCATGACTGTGAATTACTTTGGTTATGTTCAGGCATTCAAAACTACTTTGTTAGGTTTGGGTAAACATCGTGGTTTTTGGGTTAGAATCACTACTTTGTTAAGATTAGTGGACCTTCGTCACCATGGTTACATTAATAACCACTTGGTTAAGGTCAGGGAACGAATCAAAGTCAGCTAGACAAGAATATTTTGAAGGGGCTCATGGATATCGGTCATTGCTATTAATGCAGAGTCAGGTGTATATGTGCAAATACTGAGTAAAAATGCGTTTCAGATAACGCTTCTGCTGCGGAGAGTCTTCAGCCTCATCCAAGGGTAAACCTATAGTGACGTCACAGTACATTAAATATGTTTGTGATCTGAGGAGAGAAATAGTCAATGCAGTAACAGCCTAGTTTGACAGTTTGATCTGAGTTTGGTGCTGGACAAGGTAGCCATGTCCTAAAGCGCATACCCTGCTTTATTGTCTATTTTACTCTAGATAGGACCATAATTTACTAAATGAACATCATGCTGTATGGAAGAAGACTTGAAACTAGAGATTACACTCATTAGGAAATTGTCATTTCTCCATAAGACTTAATGGTACTGGTCTTTATTGTAGCCAATGGAGCAGCTGGCCTTTACATAGACTACAAGTTTAAGACACTTCCACTTCTTCCATCTTAAAACATAAATACTGAACATGATGGGATGATTTTAGGGCTCGTCAATAGTGCGGAATTTCATTGTTGCAGTTATCTTGACAGCCCTACACGACACTTGCTTTTTCCTGTCTACACCGGAAGTCGGGATGTGTTGTGCGATGTTGATTAGAGAAAGATCATCATTAGCTGCATTTCCACAAATAACAGTTTTATAATCTACAGTGTAAAAGACTGACAGAGCTGGAACAGTAGTTTGACAAACAGATGAAATCAGTTCTCCTGCAGTTCTGGGTATTAGCTGGTCATGATGACTGGGCAGAATGTATTGGATTTTACAGCTTATGTTGTACATGTCTCGGTGTTTACTGCAGTCTGTGACCCAGACTTGCACAATACAAGGTCTTAAATTAGAGCCAGTTTAGACAGCACGAACAGACAAGACAGCCTGGGAAGCCGAGACACTGTGAACAATGCAGTGAAAGGCCGGTATAAAAAATGATGTAACCCAAAACTCATCACGATTACAATAGTCTCGAAAAGAGTATCTATATACACAAGGGCTCGTCCGCTGATATACAATAATTAAATAAGGTCATTGTTAGTGTAACATTTCATCTCAAAGCTGCACTTCAGTCGTGGGAAATGAAACAATGACACAGCAGAAGTGATGTGCAGGATAAAAGGCAGAGAGGCAAAGCTTTGGCTCAACACAGCAGCTGATCCTCAAACAGGTGAGTCTACTTTAGATTGTTTATGAAAACTAATTATTACTTTATTTGATTGCAGTGTGATTAAGGGCTGCATTTTGAGAGGAATATATTATCACAAGATATGAAGAATTGAATTTAGTGCACAATAATAGCCTCTCTCGCTCTTCTCTAATTTAACGTAAACATAATTTCAAGGAAACTGTCTTCAGTGTGTTTTTTAATTAATATGTCAAACCTTTAAAATAAGTTTTGCTGACCTATAATATTTTGTTGAGATATGTACTGTTATGCTTTAAAAAAATTTTAATGTTTGTGTTTTAGAAGCAAAATGAGTGACCTGTGACCCTCATTATTTGGTTGCTTGAAAATTAAATAGTTGCAATTGAGATTTGTTTCCAAAATTATCATTAATTATTTGCCTATTTAAAAACTACAGTTTGAGTCAGTTGCCTTGAAATTATAATTTTCTCAACTGTTTTTTTACAGTGTATATACTTACATTATGTTACATTATATATATACTGTGTGTGTGTGTGTGTGTGTGTGTGTGTGTGTGTACTAATATCTTTCTCTGTGCTAAAAATGTCCCATAAATATAAAGCCAACAAAGAGATAAGAACTCTTTAAAGCATTTCTACAAATTACCATTGCTCATGCCTCAAGGAAACAAACTGAAAATGCAACAAAAACACCCGTCTAATAAAAATGTCCTGACATAACTTTTGTTATGAATTGGTGCTATAAAAATATAATGGGCAAAGCTCCATACATGACTATAAATCTGGGATTGACGCTTTTAATCACACAAGTTATTAGGTAGATTAACTGATTTGGGGCCCTTGGCAACCTCAGGTGTGGAGCAGTTAAATAAAGTTGTAGACAACAAGTAACAAGTACAATGTTTCCCTCTGAAATAGAAGGCCAAGTACAGTATTACCTGTATCTGTTATCTGTACCAACTAAATTATCCATATTTGTACTCCTTACTGGGTCGTGCTTAAACCTGAAATGGGTGAGGCTAACCAAAAATTGTTAATTTAAGCCTGAAATTGATATGGGTTGATGCAAAGTTGTTATATTCATTAGGAAACTCTTTACAGAATTGAGCTTAAGCAATTACAAAAATGATAAATTATCCAAAAACCTTGCTGACAGGCCACACATCATCATCGTCATCATCACCATGAAGTTGCTCAGTGTGTCTCTTGCACTCTGCTACCTCCTGACGCTGAGCCGAGCCGCTCCGTTCAACTCCTCTGTCTCCACAGAGAGGCACCTGGGCCTCTGTGAGTACACGAAGGACCACACCAGCAACCTGCCTGGGGCGTTCGTCCCGCAGTGCGACGCCAACGGGAATTTCCTCCCGCAGCAGTGCTGGGCGTCCACCGGGTACTGCTGGTGCGTCGACGTCATCACTGGAAAGGAGATACCGCACACGAAGACACCACCGGGAACCGTGCCTGTTAACTGCAGTGAGTGATGTCATATTTTGTTCTAGTTTTCTAAATATGAACAGTGGTGGACTTAAACTATATGTACAATTTTGGGGTGCTCATAGGCCAGGTGATGTCTTATTTACTGAAACTTTCACTGTATCCTGATTTTAGTACACAAAATCTGGATCTTCCTAGTGCTCCTAATGGCATTTGCAAGACCCAAATGAAGACAATCCGAACCGAGAAAGATATAAAGACGCTTTGGGTTGGAGTCTTGGCTCCGATTGGTTGTTTTTGTTCAGGTCGGGTGGATTATTGTAAATGCCATTAGGAGTACTAAGAGGAGCCAGAGGAACTTGATTTTTTCACAGACTATCTGTCTCATGTACTGCTGTCAGGATATAGTGGAAGTTTACTACTGCAGCTTTAATGTGCAACATTAAGGAGGATCAGTTGACAAAAATGAAATGTAATATCCATAGGTATGTTTTCATTACATTAAAATAAAAAATGAACCGGCATGTTTCTACAGTAGCCCAAAAGGGACAAATCAAACACTGTAGGCGGGGAGGGTGAAGCAAGGGAGTTGTAACCTGCAACTACACTGCTATATGCCACTGAATACTACACACTGGTCCTTTTAAAGATGAAGATTTTGCAAACAAAACACATGACCAGTTTATACAAAAAGCTGCATTGTTAAATATTGAACTATCCAAAAGTGAACAATTACACTCCACTGCAAACAGCTAATGCGATGCTTACACCTGAATGCATCAGTAATCCGACACGGGTCATTCTGTTGTCTAATGAGTAACATAAACTTTTTATGTTGGTATACTGCTGTACTTAAAAGTAAAATTATAATGAATGCATAATGTGTTGTTGCAACAATGGTGGCTCTTTAAGAGGTTAGGGTAGATGCTGCTAGCATCAGTTATATCAGAACTTGAGAGTATTTCAGGCCTGACTAATCCTACCTATTATGCCTTTGAGTAAAACCTTTTTTTAAATGTATTTAATTATTGTTTTTATTGTGTTGAAAGTGTATTGTTTTTTCTTCTTTATGCATACATTAAATTCATGTTTTCCATATATAGGACTGCACAGTGATTGCAAAAATTATATAATTTATTTGATGATCACTTATAGTGACATTTATTTTTATTTTAAAAGTTAGATTATTAAATTTTAGATCGAGTTTGGAGCCATCTTGTGGAAATGTCAGGAATTAGACTGTAGTAAACAACACTGAGATACATGATAGCAATTTCACAGGGATTTTTCGACAAACAATTAAGTGCTCTTGTCACATAAATAAGGTTACGGTACAAACCTTTAATTCAGTCTGTAATATTTCAATCTTCTAACTGAAACATTGAATCAGAATGATGACTGCAGTTATTAAATTGTTAATTGTGCTGCACAACTTACGGGTCAGTAAAATAAAATATTTATTTTATTTTTTTCTTTTGTAGAGAAGGACTACTACTGCCCCTATGGCTGGTCCCGTTTTGACAAACGATGTTTCGTCTTCATCGACAAACCGAAGACATGGATCGAAGCCGAGGTAAGGACTGACGGAGGGAGCGCCCCCTGGAGGCTGCGACGTACATGTGACAAAATGAAAGAGTTGTAAAGAATCAAACGTGGTGAACACTCTTTCTCTTGTCACCTTCAGATTTACTGTCTGTTTGAAGGTGCAAACCTGGCTTCAATCCACAGTTATGACGAGAATCGCTTCGTCCAGGATCTGACCAGAGGAGACACCCACGACTTCCCTGAAACCTGGATCGGTGGCTTTGATATCATAATGGTATGGAAATCTTTTAGTTTAGTCGACGTTAACTAACCTTTCTAATCCAAGTTTTCACTCTGATATCTAGCTCTGTAGGAGTAAAATGTATTTTTTAATGTCAGCATATATGGAATATCTGAATAATAAAATTCAGTGTCACAAAACATAGATTTGCCTGCTAGTGCTAGGCTAATCTATGTTAAAAAGACAAACACATTTTTTAAAATAGTTGTAAATGGTAAGTTTTAATGGTAAAATCGGTATTTAAGTCACATCTTGAATTAGCTAATCTGCATCAATCATTAGCTGGCTAATTAGCTAATGTTTTACTAACATTAGCTAACTTAAGATCTTTGAACTATCTTCAAAATGTGGTCGTCTGTTGAACATAGACTAGCCTAGTGCATAGCATATGTAAGTACAGGAAGGGAGGAAGGTGACCTAGGTTTTGACTGTTATTGGAGCACAGAGACAAAAGGGGTGAGACATTAGGAAGGGTCAATTTACAAAGACAGCGGCAAATACTTTCACAAGGAGCAAAATCTGATGATTCAGCCTATTTTTCAGCCGTACAATGCGATTACAGATTTATACCTGGTATAAGTGTTCATATATTTCTATCCATAGCACTACTATTGGTTGTGGAGTGATGGCTCCAAGTTCAACTACAACAACATCGGCAAAGAAGACGACGCAATGGAGGAAAATGAGCACTGTCTGAAGATGAATGATGGATGTAATAAGCACACACATGCATACAAGCTTTTAAAGTCCAGGTGAAACAGAAACAGAGTGAAGGTAGTGACATTGTTGATTTAAATCGGTTAATTCTTGCTTACATAAGCACGCGTCACAAGAATAAATTATTGTATTTTGATATAGCATTTTCTTTTGCTTCTTTTTTTTTTTTGCCATACATTGTTAAATAGGGGAAAATAACTGAGGATGCATTCTGAAAGGCTTAAAATGACATTTCACCTGGACTTTACCTGACACCTGTGTGGAAAGAACTGCAACAGAATTGACTTTTTCGCGATGACATTAGTTTTATGCTGTTATTGATTATCTTGCTTAATTTCAACTGTAAAATCTGTGCAAGATCTTGTGAGTCAAGTGCTTCTTTCTTCCCCATTGCAGATGACTGGAAGTGGGACCCTGCCCGTTGCAATGAGAGTCTCCCTTTTGTTTGTGCGAAGAGGATGTGGGCCTGACAAGTTCCTGGCTACAGGATGCAGAACAGTTAGAGTAACATTTCCTCTTCAAAATCAGTTCCCGCCACTCCTTGTCTTCCTTGTTTTTGTCAAACGTGATCGATATATATGGGTAAAGTCTGGCTATAATCCACCAGCACCACCACCTTTCAGTCTAACTTCTGCCACGCATATCATATCTTCAGCAAGATTTGTAATTCCAATGTCAATAAAAATATCATTGAATGCATTAGAAGCTTTAGAAATGATATCAATAAAAAATTGCACAACAAAGATTTATGTGTTTAGTACTTGTTTCCGTCTCTCCATTAATTCAGTAAAATCACACACCTGACTTAGTATAGCGGTTATTTGTAGTAATATGTTTGTTTTTTTTTTGTGACTTTTCAGTTTTTAATGTCAGCACATGTGAAATATCTGAATCATAGAACATCAGTGTCACAAGTCAAATAAAACTCGATTTGAAGGTTGTACAAACAAACAAAACAGGTTTGTCACTTAGCAGCATTTAACAGCAAACAAATGAGAAAAACAAGAGAAAATAGGAAGGCATAACAGATATTGTGGGGCCATCAATCTGTTCACACACGAGCCGAGATGGGATTAAAGTTTAATTTACTGCAAGAAATTAAGTTCTGGTTAGGCAAGTGGTTTTGGTTTACCAGAAAAATATTATTCATGACTAAACCAATGTTTGTACAAGTTTGTGTTTGTTAAGGCCTGTGATTCCATAACGCAGCACTTTTCAGAGTTCCTTTTGGACTCAAACAAACACCAGTTGCTCAATCGTCCTAATTTCCCGACAGTGATGGACTTACTGCTACGTCTTCACAAAAAAAAAGCTCAGACTGTGAAGTGAATATTGATCTATTGATTCAAAAACAGTATTCAGTGTACAGATGTTTTAGCTTATATGATACATACAAAACACCAAATACTCACAAGAATAAAATAATAAAAACAAACAGACCTACTGCTGAGATCTATCTATTACCTGTCTCTCTTTTTTAACCTGTCCCTCAAAAAGCCAATGAACAGCACACTATGTCTCTCTGGAGGACAGCATTGGCTTGAAAGCAAAAATGGTCAAACTGGAAACTGATTACACATATGTTCAGCCAATTCTGACTAATCATAAAGCCTTCAGTCCTTTTGCCCTTTTGTTCCTGCACAAACACCAGATTGACCGTGTAGGGGAGTGACTCAGGTTGGGTAAACTGTCCCAGCAGTCACCGACCAATATCAGAGGATCAATAAACGTGGGGGAGGACATTGAGTCGCACACAGACGGAGGATAAATACCTGGTCAAATCAGATTTCAGTGACAGAATAAGGAGTGAAGGCACACTGAAGACAGCTGAGTGATTGACAAGGCTTTGAGCACTTAACAGTGGACGATGAGGACGCTACTGTTGCTGTATCTGTGTGCGTACACGGCCTGGGCTCAGGATAATCTGGAATATGATGACTATGACACGGTGAGTGAATACAATTATATGAACGTTTTCTAAAGATACCAGTTGAAGCCACAAAACGTAGTGTGTGTGTGTGTATATTTATTTTCTAAACTTAACATTTAATGTATTCAATTTTAGTTTGAATTCTGACATCCTAAAATCAAAAGGCGGATTTAATGTGTATTTATTATTATGTTAGAAACAGAATTATGATTATGGCTGGGCATCAGTATTCTAAGGCAGTGGTTGCCACCCTTTTTCTAACATTGAGTAAACTGACGACCCCTGATTAAGTGATTTTACAGATATTTCATATCTTTAAACTCTAATTATATTATATCACTATTTTAATTAGCTCTTCAGATGTTTTCTTATGCAGGATGAGGTTGTTTATCAGAATGAAGGCTCTGTGAATATAGCTAAACCTTAAAAACAATAACAATTTTATTTCAGTTCAATTTACATAAATGAACAAAATTCTGAGATATCGGCCTACTGTGTGCATCACTGTAATCACTGCAAGCCTTATCTTATTAAGTGCGGTGTGTATGTACAAATGTTTAAGCGTAATAAATATTTCAATAATTTAGACACTTAAAAAATGTATTCATGTAAAAATTGTTTGGATGGGGACAGATCCACAACTTAGATAGAATGTGACATTATGAATATAATGTGTTGTTGACAAAACTATGTTGTTTGAATTATGAAGCATATTTTATTTAAAAACAGTACACGTGATTGTAAGGGTCTCTTTGTTTTATATGTTTGTAAAGTTTTCAGGGGAACAGTTGATTGCATCAAACATCAAGTTGTAATTTTTGCTCTTTACATACCATAGATTTATATCACAAAAATACTATGATGTTCACAGTTGTGTGATTTTTATTTATGACAATCCAGACCATCTAAAATGTCACATCATCTTGTTAATGCACTTACACACAACAGCATTGTATTCAACATTCAGATTACATATATTCTACATTTGATATCAGATACAGCTTTGTCACCTGCAGTAGACTCATACTATAAACTGTCCTAGATAATGTAGCTTTTAAACAACTGTTTAAAACACATGCATGAGAAGAAAAAGGATTTGAATGTTCAAATGTATTCACAATAGTTTCCTGTTATCTTCGACAGGATGGCAAGAGCACACAAGCAAAGAATAACACAGTAAGTAGAATACGTTGAAATGGTTTGACTCATGAATTTCATTTATTTTCCTATTTTGTTATTTATTTCATCCATCACGTCTTGTTTCCTCTTGTTTCCCTGCAGGCGACTGTAGATGCTCGTGGTCACCGTCCGCTATCAAGAGGGAGGGATACCTACAGTTCCAGCCGCTATACCCCGCCACCAATCGGTGGTAGTGGCAGGTACATTCACATGAGAAATAATTAAAGGAAAGAATGACAGAAATACTTACTTACTAATGCAACCACCCTTGATGCATATAGAGATATTTTACTTTGTGAAAATACTCCGTTATGAGTAAAAAGTACCAGAATTAGCAGCAAAATGTACTTACAGAATCAAAAATAAAAGTTCTCTCTCTTAGAATGTTATATTATTGGATCAAATCAAGCACCTCAAAATTATACTTAAATAAAGCACTGTAAATGCACTAAAATTATACTTAAATAAAGCACTGTAAATGCACTAAGTTACTTTCCACGAGACAAGTTAAGACAAACTTAAGACACTTCACAGACCTGGAAGCTCTGTCCATTATATATACTGTCAATGGTGAAGTGCTTCTTGCTTTTTGTTGAAGGTATCGCGGCCGCCCCACCCCGGCTCCAGTTGGACGACCACAGGCACAGGAGAAGGAGGAGCAGCCGGAGTCCGGAGGATGCACACACGCCTCAGAGGAGATGGTAGGAGGACACCGACAAATGGTCACCAAAGGGAACAAGCACTGATTTTAGCGCAGTAACAGTTTGTAGACTCTTCCTTTCCAGGAGAGCCTACAAACTTGAAACTATACACAGTGCACTGTATTGTAATCAGTTGTTTCAACTTAAAAAATGGTTGAAACTGATTACATTAAAAATTGTAAGTAACAATTTTACTAGTACAAGACACAGTAAATTACAGAAATGTTCCTATGTATGTACTTTTTACTAGATATTTAGTTTTCACAATACAAATAAAAATTACAAAATTAAGTAAATTAAAATTAAAATTTACTTAAAAGTACTTGATGTACTTTGATTTTTTTTTTTGTGAAATTAATATATCTGGTTTTACAGTGTAGGCCTCTATTCCAACATTTGGCTCACTTCTGTAAAGAAAAGTAGACAAGAAATATTGAATTTGTCAAAAAAAAAGAAGCCCTTAAGTCTGTATGATTGTTAAACATTATAAAAAGTACATAATACAAAATTCATCCAAGTCACTTGTTTTACACATATTTCTTGAGTTAATTTTACAGCTTTGAAAATAATATAAAAAATTCATAATATATAGTACGTCACTTGGTTTACTAAATTATAAAAAAAGGGCTCCTTTTAGGAAAAAGGATGGGGACCACTGGGCTAAAGCATTCAAAACCACAAGAATGACGTAGAATGATCTCAAACATTTTGAGATGGTGATTGAAAATAGAAAAGGAGAACAAAGACAAAGAAAGTTACTGAAACACAGAAAACTAACTAGATATTTTTCTGTCCAACAGGGTGTTTTGTGCCCCAATGGCTGCGAGCTGAAGACGGCACTGCTGAAGCAAGAGAGGAACGTCAAGGCGGTAAATAAAGCTGATTTACTAATTTTTTTTTAGTCCAATTTGTTTTCATTGTTTTTTTGAACTACCAGAAGCTTTTTCTTGGTACAAATCGGGCTAGAAATTAGTTTAAACCAATGTTTAGAAATGTAATTGCATGGAATTTATTGCTAGCGTTGTTGTCACATTGAGCAAACATGTATTCATTGATCTCTCACAGAGCATTAGGGAACTCAAGCCTCATGTGGATGAGTTGTCCCGATCCTCCAACGTCGTTTACAACTACGTCAACAGCATTTCCAACTCCCTGAGGGAGAGGCAGAGAGTTGTCAATGGTGAGAAAGATCTGATTAATCATCAGCCAGATAATGTTGGTAGATTGTGTTGCAAAAGGGATCTTCTAAAAAGCCCAAACAGGTGTAAAAAATACTGCAATTTCAAGTTAAATGGTGAAATCAGGACAAGGAGTCCATTGCCTGTGTTTACTGAAAATAATACAAATCCATCATTTTTTACTGCTTGTTCAGGACATTTTCTACAATTTCAGGAAAAATTTGATGTGCCCAGTGTATGATTTTTCATGTGATCAAAAAATGTACAACTATTACTGATACTTAGTATGTTGGTAACAAATTTGGTTAACCTATTGTTCACTTAAGAATTAATTTATGACAAGTCGTGCACTTATTGAAGAATAACGTATTGCGTAGAGGAGTAGAGGGTACTCTTACTGGTTGATAACCAAATTTCAACAATGGCTACTTTTATCAGATAACAATTTTATTTCATTTTCGGAAAACATGCTCTTTACAGGAAGTTTCCTTTGCTACTAGCTTTTTCAACTCTGACATTAAAATCAATTTAAACTTAGTGGTTTGGCAATTTTTTTTATCCTCAATCGGTCCTGTCAAATCCCTCAAGGAATTTTTTTTATTGAAACTTCTGATGACATCTGCAAATTATTCTGTACTTTGTTTTGTATGATCTAAAACATTTTAGTTAAAATCTTTCCTTTTGCAACTCTTTTCTCTACCTGTCCATCTCTTCCTCCTCAGACAACAGCAGAGTGGTCAGTCAGTACACCGATCAAGTGGAGGAACAACATGCCTACATCAAGGAGACGGTGGACACTGTCTTCCCCTCCAACATCAGAGTGCTGCAGGTAAATAAGAACTGGCACGAGTCAAAAAGAGTAAACATTTGATAAGCCCTCCCTAATCACAGACACATCAAAACCTGTTAATTCAATTATTTAAAAGGGATCTAAAGACCTGAAATAGCCCTAATGTAATGTATAATGTGCTGTGGCTGCAGGGGGTCCTGGACAAGATCAGGTTGAAGATCCAAAGGCTGGAGAAGGCCATCCAGGCCCAGAGGCAGGAGTGCAGGGAACCATGCAAGACTAAATGTCCCATACCAGTGGTGTCTGGTAAGTGTGGTGCCCCCTAGAGGTTACATCAGTGTGAAAGTGTTGGACTGAAACAACAAACACTTGGTCTGTCTTTGATAAAGCGATGTATACATATGTACATGTGCAGAAGTTTTTCTGTGTTTAACTGTTCTCCTGTGTGATTCAGGTAAGGAGTGTGAGGACATCTTCCGTCGTGGAGGAAAAGACTCCCAGATGTACATGATCCAGCCCGACACCTTTTACCCTCCATACAGAGTCTTCTGTGATCAGTCCACCCAGAACGGAGGTGAGAATATAACTCAGGCCATCAGTACCTTTAAACTTTAATTTTGTTTTTGTTGCAAATAACTTTGGTAGCAGGCCTTGTGTTTTACATAGAACGTTTTTTTTTTCCCCCAGGATGGCTCCTCATCCAGAGCAGGCTTGATGGCAGTGTCGACTTTGGCCGACGTTGGGATGAATATCGACGCGGTTTTGGCAACATCGCCTTTGATTCTGGCAAGGGTCACTGTGAGACTCCCGGTAAGACTTTCACAGCATCAGTCAAGGGAGCTCATCCTTGGTGCGATGGCTAGGAAACCATTTTGTTACCATTATTCCTATAATTTGTGGTTGACTGACATACCTTTCTTATCTGTCATGTGTGACAGGTGAATACTGGCTGGGTAATGACCGCATTAGTCAGTTGACCAAGATGGGCCCCACTGAGGTTCTCATTGAGATGCAAGACTGGACAGGAGCCAAGGTAAGATTTCTATTAAGAGCACAAACAATTATTCTGCAAATATTTTAGATTTTTTGATAATCAACATTTTCCGGGTTTGGTTTTCAAATGTAATTATTTTCTACTTATGCTACAGCAAAGTGAAGGTTTTTGGGTTTTGCATTGTTTGTCAGTCAGTCAGTTAGCCCTCGTGGGGGTTTTACAGTTGGGACTGCTATATCAGGGTTCCATGTCTTTTATTTTTATTTTTTAAACCCTGGTTCCTCAATTGTTTTTTAACAAACAAGCACAACTATAGAAATACTCCAAGCAATAAATTATTTCCAATCTCTTCAAGCACCATTGAATGACTGTACTTCTAACACCCATTTTAGTTTCATTCTGACTTTGATTGAGGTTTCCTTATTGATTTTAAAATTAAAAACATTAGTATTGCTTATTTAACCATGCAAAAGTCACATCATTAACAAACCTTGCCTCGATACGGTTAGCAATCATGACGTACCATGAGTAATCAACAAATTTTGATATCTCAGTTTGAAACTCAAATGGTTACTGCTGTCATTTAGGTCCAAGCCCAGTATCAACAGTTCACCATCCAGTCAGAGACGTCCAACTATGTGATGGCGGTTGACGGTTACTCCGGTACTGCTGGCAACGGTTTCCTGCAAGGATCATTGGAACTCTTTGGTGAAAACCGCACCATGACCATTCACAACGGCATGATGTTCAGCACCTATGACAGAGACAACGACAACTGGTAGGTGTCCTGATGGTGATGTATACAGGATTACCATAATGCCATGTGACAAAACCCCAAAACCAACAAATCCTCCACGCAAACTGAAAAAAACAGAAATTCCTGTATGTAAAAGTGGGTTAACACTAACTGAACATTTTTGTGGCTTACTAACTCTACAAGACACACTATAATCAACCCCTCCAGGATTTTGCATTTAAATTTTTTTGGGAGTGTTGCAGCCTAAAATGCCAGATTTCATGGCATCTTGTTTTTCTAAAAATGTATGTTGTGATGTATGTTGTGATGTTTTTAGGCTTTTTCTGCAATGAAATTGTGGGAGGAGAGTAAAAAAAAAAAAAATAGTTGTGATTTTTTCTTCATTAAAAGTCAAAGGCAACTTGTTAACTTGTACGCTAGTAGTTTGTACATTTAAATGTACTGTAAAAGCTCTACTCCAAGTAAGATAAGATCAGATCAGATAAGATATTCCTGATCCCCCGTGTGAGAAATTCAAATAGCAGTACCGCTGACATATGTGTGCGAAAAAGGTGGTACAGGAAGTGAGGTGACGTAGGGACTGCTCACTGGGCTAACTGGGGAACTACTGTACAGGCTAGCCAGCTGGAAACATCATCTTAACATGTTTCTCTGTCTGTTTCCTTGAACCAGGACCCCCGGTGATCCCTCCAAACAGTGCGCCAAGGAGGACGGAGGCGGCTGGTGGTACAACCGCTGCCATTCAGCCAATCCCAATGGCCGATACTACATAGGCGGAGCCTATACAAAGCAAATGGCCAAGCATGGCACAGACGACGGTGTGGTGTGGATGAACTGGAAGGGGAGCTGGTATTCACTCAAGGCCATCAGCATGAAGATCAGGCCTTTCTTTGCCTCCAAATAATCATGTCGGAGAGCAACAATGCACACATAAAGGAGAGCATCAGAATAAAAGACACCACCAAAGTATAATGTTCCAACAAGTGTTTCCTTTATTTTAGCTCTAACCTTTACGTTGATGGACACATTTACACACAATTAAGTCTGGGCATGTGCTGTGAAATTGAACTAAAGGAAAACTTAAAAATGTTAAGAAAGTAAAATAAAACATGGTTTGATGTCAGGTAAATGTCATGTCTACAGATAAAGAGAAACATCTTATTGGTTGTGAGTGAATGAATGTGTGACGTCTTCAGTGTGCATTAATAGGACGAGTTGATGTTAACTGTCCTCCGCTACTCAATAAATGTATTGAGCAACATACTTCCTGTCTGGTCTGGTTGTTATTTCACTGCATTTCAGAGACTGTAGAAAAGGAAACAAATGTACCCACTACAGTCATTTTTCACATTCCTGCTGCACAAGAAAGTAAATCCCTTCTGCTCCATCTTGAATAACTAAAACAGAAATGCATATTGTGGAGAAAAATGTACAGAACTAAAATTGGTTTCAATACAATAATTTACCACAATAGTGGAGGTGTCTGGGCACCTCACGATTCAGTTCCGAGGGCTACGATGCGATTATAAAACAATTATCGATGTATAAAAATGTAATTTCTATGTATGATTTATTTTTACGTATAACCTCTACCAGATATGCACTCTTATGGAGAAATGAGCTGACTTCTGACTTAATTTTTCAGCTCATTAAACAGTTTATAATGAGTTTATGATCTCAATCTCTAGTTCCAAGTCCTTTTTCATACAGCATGATGTTCATTTAGTAAATTATGGTCCCATTTAGAGTAAAATAGACCATAAAGCAGGGTATACTTTAGGGCGGGGCTATCTTGTGATTGACAGCTTTCAGCATTCTCAGTGAGTCCTTCCAGCTCAACACACCAAACTCAGATCAAACTATCAAACTAGGCAGTGCTGATTAAATATGAAGAAAAGATTCTGTTACTTGATTTCTCACCTAAAATCGTTTCAGAAACATGTTTTAGTTAACTGTTTATCTGTAATACGAGATTGTGTGTGACCAGGCAAGCCACCATTGTTTCCTGCTACGAATGAGTCAAAACTGTGCAACCAATGAGAGCAGCTCAACTGTCTCCAGACAAACTGTCATGGCAACGACCATAATGCTAAACTTGAGGATACAAAATGGTCGGTGGATGGTAATAGGTTCAAACTTGGTTCAGCTGTTAGGAACTTTGTGCCGAGGTCCGCTATTTCATCTGCAGCTAGGTGTTTTGTTACAGGTGATCCCAATGTCGAGAATTTTGTTTTAAATTTCTAATTGTTTACTCTGACTGTTGACTGTGGCGAGACCCAATCGTTGAAGCGATAATCACGATGCATCAGAGAAACAAGTTTTTCTCCCACCCCTACGCAGTAGTGCTTTGATTGAAAAAAAAAAAAAAACACAAGCAAAACAGGTCAGAGCTAACTCTTTTATTAACTGATCCGTGTATAATAAAATGATGGAAACCATGCAGCTACTTCAATGTATACAGAAATGACAGTACAGTGTGTTGACAGGAATTGTTTCTGTGCCCAATTATGGCAAAACCGTGAAATAAATAATGATAAATAATGAAACGGAGGATGAAGAGAGGAGTGTGCTCTCAGGGATAAAATCTGTTATTGGACAGAGGTAATAAGAGCTTTTGCCAATGTGCAGTCTTCAAATGATGTGTTCATTAGGCTGAACTAGACACTCTTAACATGCAACAGTCAGTGTACAGAATCCAAGAGCATGGTTATACATCTTCAAACAAGAATAAAAAGAACAATTATTAGCTTATTTGAATAGCCCTGTCAGAATCTAGTTTTTCAAGTGCTGTTGAAATGAAAAACAAATACCCGATTTTCTCTTCCTTGCTTCCTTACTTCTTCATTCCAGCTCTGCAGCATCCACAAGTGCAGAGTCCTCCAGCAGCTCCTCCAGAACTACCTGGTTCTGTCCGATATCCTCAAACTGGGTCAACAGCTCTCTCTGGACCACTGGGATGGTCTTATACTCTGCAGACGGAGCCGGGCCTACATCTACAGGCTGCAGCTTGATATGTGGGATGTCTTGAGGATGCCGTGCTGCCTTCCTTCTCTGGTTCAGAGTCTTGTCTGTGTGGTCCATGTCAGTTTGAAGGTTTTGATACTTGGAATGATCTACGCTGAACGGTAACACCAACCGGCAGGAGCCATGGCAGGCTCGCAGCTTCATGTCAACGTCCACCTGGTGACGTAAAGAAGACATCAGCAACTAGCACCTAAAACTCCCTCAGCTATTACTAACCATTCAACACGAGGGAAATATCTGGCTCTCTAGCTGCTAAATGCTCCACGATGTTCACCAGCTCGTCTCCAAAGCTGAAATTCTACTTTCCACATTGCACTAGATGGCACTAACTCCTTCATACTGGTGCTTTAATACTCTGTAGATTCTGAAGAAAGCCTCCTTTTTAAGAACAACCTCTCACCTCTGTTCGATACAAGTCCTCCATTTGTTTTTGGACGTTGAGGCGCAGCTCGACAAGTTGCTTTGACAGTCTAGAGGATCGTTTCCGTAGCGACGTGAGGTTCCTGGCCAACGCTTCGCCATGTTTCACGAACTTGAGCTCTGAAGCTGGAGACAAATTCGCTGTTAATTAGTCTTGCATTACTGTAATCACTACAAAGAGACAGTCAGGGAGTCATAGTCAGTCTTACTGTATCTGTTGACTATGACTCTCCGGTGGTCGTTGTAGATGTGCGTCATCGTCATCATGGACTTCTCAGCCGCGTCTTCGTACATCACTGCTGTCTTACACACTTTCCTCAGTTTTCTCGCCACCTCGTTCTCCATCTGTGAGATCAAACCCTGGAGTCTGCAGCCAGAGGGGCATTTAGAAACCTTTGGGGAAGAACACACAATATCTGAGAATTTGTACCAGGTTTGCATACCAATTAAGTTCCGCCGAAGGTAAACTTGTTCTGTGCGTTTAACCCATCCGAAGTACGAGGAGCAGTGGCCAGCGAAAATCCACAAATTGAAGACACAAACCGACCTTTGTCTAAATACACAGAGATTGATTTATAGAAAAGTAAGAAGTGCAGATGTGTGCGTGTTTCTTACCCAATCATCATCTGAACACAGAGCGATGTCGGGTTTCACCCGACAGCGCTGCCCTCTCTGGGACTGGGTGTGACTGTGTGGCCCTCGGCCATCTTGATTCTGCTGCCTCAACCTCGCACACACTGCAGATAAACAGACAGAACACAGACAGGACTGCGGTCAGTTCACCTTCAACTGAACACGATGTTGCAATGATAAATTGGCAGTTTTGTTGTAGTAGTCTAAAGTTTAGACAGGATTAGGATGTTTTTTTCATGTTAAAAACACTGCGATTTGTTGGATTTCTAACTTCATTCTCTGATGACGCAAGAAAATTGATTCAACAAATTGAAATTGAATCCATTTGCTGCTAGGTTTTTCTTCCTAAAATGGTAGAAAATGCCATACCATAAGCCTGTCACATGCGTGTACTAAAACAAATACAAATCCCTTAATTTGTATTGCTTATTCACAGCATTTTCTACCATCTTAAGAACAGTTGTCAAAAGACTAAGTATAGTATGATAAGAAATTGTCTGTATCTCAAACTATAAGGAGCAAAAACAAACTATTTGGTATCTATTAACTCGTAACAAGTTAAATGTAAAAGATATGCACATATATGAAGTTATCAAAATATGTAATTAGGAAAACTGTAAAAAAAAAAGTGATTTTATCAATGAGTTATATGAAGTGTGAAGTTGTACTGTTAGATACTCGCTCGAAGTATGTTGGTACCAGATTTCAAGACTTTACACCAATCAGAACAAATATGTTTTTTTCCTTATCCCTCTAAATATATTCTTTTGGCCGAGTCGGTTGTTATTTTATTTGTATAAGACTGGATTACCAACTGGGCAAAGTGACCTCTGACCCTCAGGGGCCCTGGAGGGCTCTGGTTTACTGTGTGGCAATTAGTTTGTAGTATTTGATTAATAATAATCTGCACTAAAGAATAACATAACTGAAATGTAGATGTAGTCTGCTGTTTGCACTGGGTATTTGAAGGCAACAGGACTTTTGCCCTGGAGCCCCTCTATTTATCTGTATCACATTCATAACGAAACAAACTACCCTCTAAATCAATGGTTCTCAACCTGGGGGTCACAAAGTCTTCCCGATTTAGGATACCTTTAAAAATATACACAGTGGGCCTATATTTCATTGTCGTTTTTAAAGGGAACTTAAAAAATAAACACAGTACACTGTACTGCAATAAGTTGTTTTAACTCAAAAAACAGTGGAGAGGTTTACATCCATCATTAAGTAACAGAAACTCAGTTTATTTAGTTCAAAATAATTTTGATTAAGCAGCTTTTACGAGTAATTTTAAGTGACGTTATTTAGTACTTTTTACTCTGTATTTTGTTTTCACATTACAAGTAAAACTTTACAGTGTAGGTCTATATATAAGGGAAAAAAAATGTAAAAAAAAGAAGCCTATTATGTTTTTTGTTAAAATAAAGAATACAGAGAATTGTATAAAAAAGTTCGCCAAACAGTAAATTATTTAATATTTTACACTTACAAAACCTTAAAACCTCTAAATTCGACTGAAATAACAGCACAAACCACAGTAGCTGAAGTGAACATTGAATCTTTATTGATCGAGCAGAGTTCAGTCAACAGTGTGGAAACGTCAGGTCGTTCCAGGAACACTGGTCAGATGATCCGAACAAACAGGTCAATGACATTTACACAAGGAAGAACAGAACACAAACACCCATGACACGATTTTGAAATATCAGAATGATTTACGAACAGTCTAAAGGTCTGTAACTTCGATTTTTTTAGCCTCAAATATTTATCTGAAGCTTCAACCATCACGTTATGCTCTTTGTGCTCGTCGCCAAACTCTCTTTGGGTTTAAGTTCATAAATCCGTGTATATTTTACGTTATTTGATCATTTTTTCCTTTTAAAAAGCAGCGGATCGAATTAACATCCTAACGGTTTTCAGACTGTAAGTGGCCGTTTTATATGTCACCCAAACGACTCCGTTCTCAATCTCGTACGGCGTGTTGTTTTCCGGGTTGTATGTGCCTTTGTAATAAATCCCGTTCAGGTTAGCTGACTGGCAGTTGTTGTACCACCACCCGCCACCGTACAGCTCTGCGCAGTTCTCCTCCCACTTGTCATTGTCTCGGTCAAAGGTACTGAATTTCATCCCGTTGTGGGACAGGTAAGACGCCATATCCGACTGAGGCACCACCAGAGCGTCCCCTGCGTCCCCGGTGTACCCCGACACATGCAGCGGGTACCCCTCCTCCTCAGAGCCGACCCTGATCGTGTACTCGGCTTCGGCTACGCCCCCTTCCCAATCCTCCAGCTCCACCTTTAATATGGTCTCACCCTGATTAGTCAACAGGTGGAGGTTCTGGTTGCCTAGCCAAAAGTCCCCCTTGCCCTTTGCATCGACCGACCCGAACCCGCCGCGATACTCGGCCCAGGTGCGGTTGAAGCTGAGTGCGCCGCTCTCTCTTTGCTGGACTAACAACCACCCACCCATTAGCCCCTCCTGCTGGCAGTAAACTTCCACTACCTGTGCTGAGTCCGCGCCGCCAGGTCTGATCTTAAACAGGCCGTTTGTTTCCCCGTTCAGGTGGTTCTGGTAGGCTGCGACACAATCTGCAAACAGAGAGGGGCACACCGCAGACCGCGAGTTAGCTTGGACCGGTTTTTGCTTGGCTGGCTGAAATTTACTGCAATGATAAAACGGTAAAGTTTTGTCAATCTGCACTTGGAGAATGAGCAGGATTTTACGGCGCTACCATTTGGAGGTTTCAACGACGGGAAGAAGAGCATACTTTGTGCAATTATAGAGATACAGCGCATTTAAGCTTTTCTAAAGACTGATTATGATCTGATATATATTAAAGCCCATTTCTGGCAATGTGGCATAAAAAGTCAATATTTTGAAAACGTTTCTCAGTATAATGACTTATACAATCTTTTTCTTTTACGTCACATTAGCGGAAATGGGCTTCCATAGATATATGACTGTTTTACTTTATTTAAATAAAGGATTTAGCATTCTTATTTGAGTTTATTTAAATCTTCATTAAATTTGTTAAGGAACATGAAAAAAAATGTTCTCAGTCATAAACACACGTTCAATGCCAAACGGCTAACACTTGTCAATCTGTATTTGAAATATTTGTTGTTTTTAAAGTTCCTCATAGTTTCTATTTAGTTTTTTGGATTACACAATGACCCAAAATTTGTCAGCAACAATCCAAAACATCTAATTAAACTTAAAACTCCTGCAGTAAATAACAATTTACAGAGTTCACTTCTTATTTTTGGTACATAGGGCTAGCTAGCGGATGCTAAAGCATGCTGTCTAGCTGAATGCGCCGTTCTCTGCCCTCACAGATTTTACTCCAGGTCTGATGTTGGGGTACCTTTTCCTATATAATCGGCCTGCCTCTCAACGCGTGCGGTCTTCACACTCCGGGCGTGGAAATCGGGAACGTCGTCCTCCGTGACATCTGTCAAGAAACCGCCGAGGTCATCGCCGAATGGATTTCCAAATCCACTTTTGGTATCCCCTAAGAGACTTCCCTTGGCGCCACCGACGTGGGACACAGAAGAAGAAGAGGAGGAAGAGGAGGATGATGTGTGGGTGAGGGAAGGGAAGAAGGAGCCCATCCCTCCCTTAGTGAGTTCTGCTAATCTCTGGCACTCGGGGCCTCCTCCTATCACCTCCTCCACTCTTTCCACAGGCCCTTCCTTTGTGTGGACGATGACCCTCCTGGTGCTTTTGGTGCAGGTGACGCTTTGAGTTGACACGTGGCTCGTGCTGGGCTGGCTGAAACCTTCAAACCCTCCACCCGTGCCGAAGAGATCCCTGTTGCCTCCGATCTCGGTGATGGATTTCGATGAAGTGGAAGAGGAGGAGGAGGAGAAAGAGGAGGAGGAATCTGAAGAGGACAATGGTGGGGCTGTAGACGAAGAATAGGAAGTACCTGGGACCTTGGAGATGGTTGCTGGGGACGAGCTGGAGCCTTCCCTCTCTAGGATCAATGCAACCGTATTTACCTGAGGAAGAGATTAGCTTAGTTAAGAAAAGACAGACCGCAATGTGAGCAGGTTGCATGTAGGAACTATTTTCTTACTTGAAGCGTGCATTTTCTCTCTTTTTGAGATGACTGCTGGCGGCTAACTAGCTAAGCACAAGCCCACCTTTCTTAAAGGGGAAGTATCCATCTATTAAGTATTGTAGCAACTTTTACTTAAAGAAGTCATTGTGCAGTAAAATGGGTTTGACTATTATTTATGATTTTTTAAAAGTTAATATTATTGCTGCATTAATGTTGCATTTTACTGCTGTTGAGCAAATTTTTTCTATAGTAGGCTATATGTACTGTTTGGTAATTTAGGCCTTGGTGCCCGAATACATTTTTATTTATCAAAGTGGCCCTGCCCTAAATAATTTAATCTTGATGATTTCTGGAAAGAGACTTTGAAATGCCATTTTGAGCACCACAAGTTCCATTTGGTTCCATTATATTGGAGTGAAGGTCGATATCTCCAAAACTCACACCAAAACAGATGGTAGATGACAAATAGCCCAACAGGTAAGAGGGAAAAATATTTGATTTGGTGTGAACTGTCCCTTTAAACAACCTTCATTTCGTAAAATGTATGAATCAGGTAACTTTCATCGTAGTCACAATCTGGTAGCTGTCAAACATAGAGTCCCTCTCACCTCCGGGAACATGTCCTCTCTCTGCTGTGCTGCCACGTCCTTGGATTTGTAGATGCTGTCCACAATGACGCCCTGCAGCGGCCTGCTCTTCATCACGTACAGCGTCCCCACAGACTCGATGTTCTGAGCCGACTGGGAGTCCAGCTGGCTAATCTGTGAAAGAGAAAGTGTTAATGACAAACCTGATACTGGAAGTCCACACAAACTGATGATGTTTGGTGTTTCTAACCCAGTGGCTCCCAACCTTTTTCTTTAAGGGACCCTTAGATAGACCCTTTCTATCATTTATTAAACTATGTGACATATTTTATGAATATTTCATATTCAATTCAAAACTGTATGATTACCCCAAAGAATTAACTCTAAAAAGGATTGATTTGGATGGTTTTTGAGCAGATTATTTCCTGTTTAGGGAACTATTTATACAATTCTGTTTATTTTATGGATTTTTAAATCACAATCCTACAAACTTAAAAGGCGTCTTTTTTTTTATAATAACAAATTCAGTGTCTACTTTTCTTCACAGAAGTGAACCAAGTGAGATATTGGTCTACACTGTAAAACCTGATAAGTTTATTTAACAAAATAAAAAAGGTTTAAATTTAGTACATTGAGATGTTTAAGTAAATTAAACTTCCATTTTGTTGAAAAACATTTTTGAACAAAGAGCTTTAGTAACTTTAAGTGACACTGACTTCATTTTGAAATGTTTATTTATTCCTCGTAAAAGGTCCTTAATCAGAAATGTTAGTTAGTTAAATATGAAAGGTAGTGTCACTTAAAATTACAAATAAAAGCTCCTTAATGAAGAATCTTTTTGAACTCTTGACTGAATTGAATTTGTGTTGCTTAAAATGTATGTAATTTGTTTCAACAGTTGAAGAAAATTAGACAATTTAGTTGTTTTGTTCACTTTTCACTCATTGGATCATCGTCGTAGCAGCTACGAGTTTTGCATTTAACTCTTTTTAACTCTACATAATGATCCTCCTACGCTCCTTAAATAGATTCCTTACCTGTTTGTCCAGAGCCACGTAGTCCTCATGGTCCACCTGGTACTCAGAGTAGCCTTGGCAGGATCCTTTGCAGGAACGGAGCTTAATATCGATATCCACCTGACGGATGAGACGAAGAGCAAATGAGTGAGTTTACACAGAAATTATGTGTGAATTTATCAGATTCCCCTCTTTCCCAATGAGCACTTTTCATCCTACTCTTTAAGGAACTCTTTTAAGAAACAATTTTTCCAGGACATTTTCTTGACACTTGCTCACCAACAGTCATAAAATTTACCATGAGGCCGCATATTTAAACGTTTAGCTTCAGTTTTCATACACATTATCCCACCGACGGTAGAGTTTCACACAAAATATCCACCCAGGTTTATGTAGGTTGTAATAGGCTAAAATACAATTAAAATTTCCCAGGATTTGTTGGTAATTTCCAGATGTTTTCATGACTGGAAAACAAGTCTATAAATGTCATTTTTTTTCTGGCGGGTTATTGGTACCCTGAGCATACACAATAAATGTAAAAATTTGTTTCCGTACCTCCAGCCTCTGCATCTCGACGACTTGGTCTTTCACTCGATCCTTCAGGGCGCCCAGGATCCTCAGCTGTCTGTCGATCTTGATCTTCATGTCTGTGATTCTCTGGCGCAGACTCTGGGCCAAGTCGTAGTAGCTGTTGTCACTACCTGGTGGACGAGGGGAGGATAAGATTATGTACTAGGCTCACAGAGCTACAGTTTTCTTTAAACCACAACATTTCAAATCAATTCAAGATTTATTTTATTTTACAGAAAATGTTTCTTCTCACCTATTAAAAGTAGAGGCTAACCCGCTTTGCATCTGGTAAACTATCTTAAAAGGTCTTAGCAGTTTGTGTCATAAAAGAAAATTAAATTGCATTAGATGATTAAACATATTTTTAAAGTAACCCTGTAGTGTATATAATATTATCTGCAAGGTTAAATTAAATTACCATATTATTTAACGCAGCTTTAAGGACATTTCTCAGGGTAACGTCGGTGGTATCACACACAAAAAACACACACTAACCAGCGTCGACGATGAGCTTTTCCTTCAGGTAGTCGTAGGTCTGTTTGGACACCACGTCAGTGGAACGGTGCTTGGCCCTGTTCTGGTCCAGGAGGCTGCGAATCTTCTCGATCTTCTTCAGCAGGTTGTGGTCGTATTTGTCCATCAGACCCTGAATCCTGCAGCCTGACGGGCATTTGAAGTTCTGATGGGCAATGGTAGAGAAGAAGAGATGCTTTAACCTCTAAAGCTTAAAGCTTTTGCTCATTTTATGGTTCACAAATCTCAAGAAAAATCAAAGTTTGTATTCTAATACTTAATAATAATAATGAAAGAAACGGTGAGAATGAGTTTTGAGCTGTTACCCATTCATCGTCTGTGCAGAAAGGCCACTCCCTCTGAGTGGCGCATTTATCGGCTCTGTTGCCCTGCTCCACCGGACGGGCTCCTCTGGGGTCGACCACTGTGGTCTACAGACAGACAGACAGTTTTTTATATATGGATAAATGCTAAAGTGCAGGTCTTTAATAGGAAAGAATTTATTTTATTTTTTATGATCTCATTTGGTTTTACAGGGATCATAAGTGCAAAGTTAATATGACGCATACTTATCTATTAATATAATAACTAGAAATGATCATATAAGAATCAGGTTGAATAGTAGCATATATATAGAATTAATTTAATTAGCTCTTTTCTTGAACAGATTGCTAGAGAGAGAATTTAACTAACATCAGTCGATTAAACGTATTTTTCTAATAAAAGAAAATGTAATTACATTGGTTGATTAAATGTATGTTTACTATAACAGATCATTAAATTACATTTCTTATTTGGGTCGTTATTAACAAAAACAGCTTACAGGGCAGAAAATAAATCAATTAAGTAGCACATCGTAGGTAATAATATAAAATTATAAAACATAATGACAAAAAGAATAAGCTGAAAACAAAATCTAAAAAGACAAGATACACTTTTCTACTGCATTAAAAACTGAGACCTGACGTGAGACTCACCACAGCTGAAGTCACATAAATCAAGCCGAGACAGACGAATAAACTGAATTGTTCCATCTTTGTTTCTGTCGTTCTTTCTCTGTGTGAAGACCGGTCGCTGAATGCCGCTCTGACGCCGCCGTCCGATCATTTGAAGCCTCCCTGGTTCGGTCTGACAAACCTCTGACTCATCAATCCGTCCGTCAGGTCACATCAGAGTTGAGCAACCGTCTGCTGTTCACACTGATCGATACGTTTGTTGTACTGTGTGTGTGTGTGTGTGTTTGCTGTGGAAATGTACACAAACACCACTCAGTTCACTGCAGGCCTTACTGGCATCTGATCCAGATTGTTTCCTCAGAGCAAACAGTGACAAACAGCGCTGACAGTAACATTTATGAGACAACGATGAGTCAAATGAGAAGAAAATGAAGATTACAGCAATTATTGAGTTTATTTTTGTTGTTTGAAGATGCTTTGAAAGTGTTTTCATCACCTTATTTTCAATGTTTGTTTTTTTTTTTGTTAGTGCAGTTTTTTATTAAAATTGTAAAGTTAGACATTTTGGGGAAAAATTCACATTCATGTTCTTTCTTCCGAGAGTTAGAGCTGCTCACTCCAGCTTTTTCTTCTATCAAATGAGGTACTTTGTATGAGAGCACTGGTTCCCAACCTGGGGGACGGCATACTTCACTGGGGGTCACGAGGCTTTCTTTAATGTAAGGGGTTTAAAAATGTTTTCAAAATATACACAGTACGCCTTTATTTTAGCTTTTTTTTTTTCATTTCTGTGAAGAAAATTAAATGCAAAATAAACTGTTAACCATTGGGGACAAAAAACACTTCATTTGTTAATTAAAAAAGAAAATAAATTGTTCACTATTTTGGAGAAACTTTCTTGCTGAGAGATGAGAAGGTTGACACCGATTGCACGTCTGTCCATCAAATATGAAGCTGGAGTCAGTTGCCAGTCAGCTTAGCTTAGCACAAATACCACAGAAAGGGAAACCGCCACTCCGTCCAGAAAATTATACAAAATACTAATTTGCAGATTATATTTTGTGTAATCTGGACAAAGTGAAGTGTAAAAATGACCAGTTGTCGTTACGTATCGGACTTTTAGCTAAAGTGAGTTTCTTGGCTCGAGTTTCATATTTAACAGACGGATATATTAGATTCATCTTCTTATATCAACTCTCTAACACATAAAATGTAACCCTAACTATAAGAATCTGCTTTGATATAATCAACTTTATTGTGCATTCAAATAAATGTGATAGAAAACCTGTGAAATTCCAATATTAATATTATATTATATTAACTAATATTCAAAAACAGAAAACAACAAATATGCAAAAAAATAAACACAAAAAAATATATAGAGTAAAATATTTATAATTAACATGTTTTTCTTGTCCCTCGTTGTAATCATGCCTGGAGAGCAACAGTGAGCATTTTTCTCCATAATCATGACATTAAACTGTATTAAGACTCTAACATTAACTGATGAGTCAAAGTCTTATTTTCTTGCAGAACAAATTAACTCATGACTCATTTTCAGGAAAGCACACCAAGCTTATAAGGGTCGGACCTTGGACAGTTTGTTTCCCCCCAACAACAACACGATGATGAGCTGGAGAATGCAGCAGTGGCGCCACCTACCGGAAAAATGACTGATCATTTAATATGACAAGCAGGTAAACCTGTGTCTTTTCCTTGTTCTCAGTGTTTGATATGAATAGGGTTGAGTTCACATTTGAACCAATACCAGGAGCCAACGGCCCCTTTTTTCTGTACTTTACACTCTAATAACACAAATGTGATTTAAGTTGCAAAAAGAATAGGTCCAAATTCCTGTCACTACTGCAGTGCTTTCATACTGTGATTTTAAACCAACTAATCGGGTTTGAATTGTTATTCGAGTTACACTTCCCACTAGGAACAAATAAATAATATCATATACAAAAGAAATAGTGGAACATGAGGCCGAGGGCTGATCTTTCTAGTAGTCAAATATTTATGATATTATTTAATTATTTAAATAACATAAATGCTAAAATAGACAGCGGTGATGATTGTGAATGTGTCAGAACAATCAACAAGGAGACATTGAACATTAAGTCAATTTATTTCAACACAGTGTAACATCACAAAGTCTGGTTGTTCAAAACACGGAATAAATAACTTCCAACTTCACTAAAACTAATCCTGGCGGACTGATCAATGCGATGGATGATGGATAACGTTAACAGTTACAAGTCATCTTGCTACAAACTCCCTCCTCTCCTGTCGCTGCCTGAATCCGCCATATCTTCCACCTCCCTGGAGTCAGAGTCCTGGTTGGAGCCGCTGTGACGAGGTATAGTTCCCCTTTATAGTACTTAAAGTAAAAAAAAAATAATAATTTAAAAAATACTAATTTGTGGTACAATTTAACAGTCTCACAGCTTGAAGGAAGAAGCTGTCTTTAAGTCTGGTTGTACAGCAGCAGAAGCTTTGTACCTCTTCCCAGAATGCAGCAGGGTGAGCAGGCTGTGGCTGCTGTCTTATAGTTCAGTGGTTCCCAACCTGGGGGGTCAGGACCCCCACTAGGGGTCGGCAAAACTTCATGGGGGATTTTAAAGGGTAGAAGAAAACTTTAAAAAATAAACACAACAGCCGTAAATCTTAAAAGTAAATTGTGTAATAGCCAACAATGGCCAAGCGTCAGGGACAAGAAAGCTTATTAAATCTCTATGCAATATACAAAATATATAAAAATAGACAGAATTGTATAAAAACTTGCAAAATATCAGGAAGAGTCAAAGTTTGCTTTACACAAACTTCGTAAAACATGTTAATTATATAAGGAAAACTGTTGATTACTGTTATATTATATTATTTATTACTGTTTTACTATCTTTCAGACCCGAAAGTCGCAGCTATCGATCAAACCAACTCGCTCTCCTGAGCCATGGCGGCTGCCACAAAAGATAAATCTCAGATCTAGTGTCTCTAATCTTTCTTCTTGTGCGTTAATCGGTGGATTCTGAGGTGCTGCAGGAGCCTGAAGCCCCTCTTACAGAGTTCACACTCAAACGGCTTCTCGCCTGTGTGAACACGTAAGTGTTTGGTGAGGTTACTCTTATGGTTGAACTGCTTCCCACACTCCTTACAGTCATAGGGTTTCTCCCCCGTGTGGATCAGCTGGTGTTTCTTCATGTTCACGAGCTGGGAAAAGCACTTGCCGCATTGAGAGCAGCGGTGTGGTCTCTCCGTTGTCCCAGAACACTTGTGACTGCTCAGCTCCGCTCCATCGGTGAATTCTCGCCCACACAGGGAGCAGCGTGGCGGTTTCTCCTCATGAGCGGACTGGTGTTTTTTCAGACTCGTTGGATGGGCGTAACCTTTCCCGCACTTGTCGCACTTGTACGGTTTCTCCCCCGTGTGGCCGCGTTCATGGAAGATCAGGTGCTGCAGTAGTCGGCAGCTCTTGCCGCAGTGCGAGCAGCGGTGCGGTTTCTCCCCAGTGTGTATCATCTGGTGCTTCTTCAAGTTGTTTCTCATGCTGAAGGCCTTGGGACACAGTGTGCACTTGAAAGGTTTCTCTCCCGTGTGGGTGTACTGGTGCGCCGCCAGCAAGAGTTTGACTCTAAACTGCTTCGGACAGAACTTACACTGAAACGGTTTTTCCCCCGTGTGGACCCGTTCGTGCTGCTTGAGCTTCGCCTGCTGCTTGAAGCTCTTCGCGCAGTAGCTGCAACCGTACGGTCTCTCCTCTGAGTGACTGAGCATGTGTATTTTGAGGTCTCCCCTCCTGGTGCAACTCTTGCCACACTGTTCGCATTTAAACGGTTTCTCCCCTGTGTGGATCAGGTGGTGCTCCTTCAGGGTGCCCTCTCTCCCAAACTGCCTCCCACACACGTCACAGCTGTGAGATTTTTCTCCCGTGTGAATGGGGAGGTGCTGTCGGAGGTTGTGCAACGAGTAGAATCTCTTATTGCATTGCTTGCAGGCGTGATGTCTCTTTCGTGGAGCCTCTCCAGATATTTCCTCCTGATTCTCCCCGTTCTCCCTGTCGACGCGCACATGCAGTCTCGAAATGCCGTTCAGTCTGTTCCGACTCTGGCCGGCTTGGCGTAACTCTCGCGGGGCCGCAGTGATACCGCTTGTGTCTGACAACGTTGCTCCTCCTCGCAAAGGACTTCCCACAGTTCTCACAGCGGTGATGTCGGGCTTTGGACGCACCTTCCGGCTGGTTCTTCTTTGGTTTGTTTTCATCTGTCGAGGAAGGAACAAACACACAATGAATATAGTTATAGTTTAAGATTATTCAATAACACCGAGCTGGATATTTTATTTATCGTTTTGGTGATTCAGTTAATTAAATATTCTCTCTTCAAACAAAATGAAACATCTCTGTAGGCTTTGGGCATCTTTCAGTTTGCAGATATTTTAGACATAATGATGAATAGATTATCTGAAAATAATCATTAGGTTTTCATTGATTTCCCACGAAGCTCTTGAGTCAGTTTCTTGATTGAAAGCACACAGAATGATACCACAAGCAGGAAATGTCACTGCATGAAAAGTGGGATTTTCATCCCCGTAAACGCCCGGAAATCTCCCTAATTTTCGGCAGTCAACAACAATTTACAGCCTGTGAACATCGCGTTTGTCTGGGCCACATATTGCTAATGCCTCTATTTAGCATATGAATAGCAGCGAAACCGTGCCTGGCCAGGCCTGGCTTGAATTTCCTTACTCAGTATTGGATGAAACCACTACTTTTAAACAAGAAAAATCACTCGTGATTGGTTGGCAGATCAAAGGAGAAAGGAAAATTTGCCAGGAACATGTTTATTCAAAGAAAGAGCTTTATTAGCACAAACACACAACTATGTACAAAGCGAGATCTGCCCACACAACAAATGGGAAGCTCACGAGAAGCCCAAAATCCTACAGCACCGTGAAGTGGCTGTTTGCCGCCTCGGAGCTGTAGTTAACTGCGGTATTCTGTCTTAATTTGGCCCGTTTTGCAGACGTTTGTGGTGCGTTGTCCTGTACTTCGGAGTCGCCTCTAATCTCGACTGCAGCGTGGCACAGAGCTCGGTGAGCTCCTGGCTGCGAAAGGACGGAGGTCGCACAATCCATCCAGACACCCCGTCAACGATGCCGTCTTCCTCTTCAGACATCAGGTCTATGGTGGCGGACTTCCAAAGTTCCCTCTCTCCCTCATATAGCACACTCTGTCTCCCTTCCAGCAGCTGTAAAAACAATCAATAAAGACAATCAGTACTGCGCGGTGCACTGCGTATGGACACAACACATCTTTTAATGCACCTGAAAAATAGTCACCAAAAAAAGTCTTACCCTCTTTCTTCTCGATCGACTCCGAGCTGAACTCTTCACAGCTTCCGCCTGCGGTGCAAGGTCTGGTTGTTTGTACCTGAAGTTCCTGCGTACTGTCTCGTAATAGGTCTTACAGGCGGCTGGAAAACAATTAAATGAGAGTGGTTTGAATAAAATAAAACATAAGTCGCAGTAGAATTAAACAAGGAAGGAGAAAACAGTAAAAGTTACTTACACACAATGTCGTCATTATCAGCATCGTGTAAATCCGGACTTGCAGACATAACTCCGAGCAAATAGGAGGTCACGGCCTCGTTATGAGGCGAGGTTAGTCTGTGGAAACAAAATGTACGGTTAAGATCGGTATATATTAACGTATCTATTTCCTTATACAGCAGAATGAAAGCATATTCTTTAAATCCTACCCTTGCTCCGGTTCGTAGCGCCTACAATTTGTCTCCGAGTTGTGAAGACGGCGTACTGCTTCCTGTAAATTACAAGACAAAAAAATACACTTTTATAAAGCGACTGACACTGGTTCTGCTCACTTGTTCTTTTACAACGCTACTAGGCTAATTTTAGCTTAGCTAGCAGTCACCGAACATATTCTTACCGCAATCTTGGGGTTGTGCACCCGTCTTCTCTTCTTAGAGTTAGTCTCTCCCGCACAGTTTTTCGACTCCAAAGCAGCCAACCTATCCTCCATGGACAGCAACCTGGAGTTGAGTTGAGTGAACTGCTCATTCACATCGGCAGCAAACAGAGTAAGCTGACGAGACAGCCCACTGAGAGCATTCAGCAGTCTCTTCTCGCCGGTCTGCGGACTGGCTGAAAGTGGTTGATCGCGTCCATGCAGAGGAGTCGAAGGGGAGTTGAAGGCGAGACGCCGTCCAGCCATTGTAGATCACGAAACAGCAAAGCAGCAAAAACACAGGAAATGGAGGAAAAGTTCTGAGTACAGGAATAAAAACCCAGCATCGCTTCTGCCTGTTGAGCGCATTGCTGGGAGATGTGTGGTTAACACATCCACTGTGCACTTAAGCAAAACCGAAGAAAAGGTCACTGTAGTCAAGTGACCATGCACAGTGGTTGTTTTGTTTATTTTCTTTTTTTTTACATAACATTTGCCATTGCTAACGACATACACAGTAATTAATCTAGCATAATTTCATTAAATAAATCAATTCAGGATCAAATTTAAGAGTCTATAATTAGGCCATACTGAGTCTCATCTATTTATACCAGAGATTTTCTTACCTTTTAGAAAAATGTGACCTGGAGTAAAACTCCTCCTGCTACCCTGATTTGCATTTGTATAGCTCACAGCATTTTCATTTGCATGGTAAAGCCTCCCCTAGAATTAGGGGGAGGGTGGTCATGGGGGGGGACAACTGCCAAGCAAGGCCCGCGTCAATTTCCGACAATTCACGGCAGTTTTCCGTGTTGTCTGCAAATTGCCGAATGCAGTCGTAAACCTGAAGTTCTACGACGATCTACAGTGCCGCTTACTGACGGAAATCCCACTTCTCATGCAGTGTGTCGTGTTAACATTAATAAATAAATATTAAATACCTAATATTTTTTAATTCAAACTATCTCTGGACTCCTCATGGGTTTATTTTGTTTCTTATTTATGACTGAAGTTTAAGATTTACTGTCTGTGTTTTATGTTTCCAGAAGCAATTATTCTTATAAATCTAACTCTCTAACTTTGGATGTTGAATTTTCATACATTTTCAATTTTAACATTTCCCTTCACCTTCAGGCTCAGAGGCTTCTTCATCTTCAGCTTCATGTTGCTCCGGCGTGGGCACGTCGTCTTCCTCCCGTCGTTCCTCTGAATTACAGATCAGGGCAGCTTTAGGGGACATTTTGAAGTCCCGTATGAGCCCGTCGGAGCCGCCGCCGTCCTCCTGCCTCACTAACATTGAATTACTCCACTGCACTTCATCCGTTTCTTCTGTTTTAGTCTCCTCACATTTGGGGATTTCACAATCACAATCGTTTTCTGCTCCAGCGTCACAGCAGTCCGGCTGCTGGTCCGGCTCCAGCTTTATCGCGTCCGGCGTCCGCTGTAGATTCCCAAAGTCCGCCTCCGACTGCTCACACTCGTCTTTTGGCGTCACCTCGGTGCCGGCACGACTCCGCTCCGCTGCCAGATCGACGGACGGCTCCTTCAGAGAGAGGACTGAAGGGAAGACAGGTAGATTTATGAAGCACAATTCATACGCCGGGGCAGCCTGCGGACACCAGCAGCCTCCACCAGATTCTGAATACCGAGAGATTCAGACTTTAATACAAAATCAACAGAAACTTGTTTCATTCTGAAGCGTTTGTCATGAAATTTGTTATATTTTTTAATAAACTTGAGGAACTGATCGCTGGTTACTGGTTGGGATTAATTTAGTCACTGGGAACGTGACAAGAGTCAGCGCTTGGGAAAAAAAGCTGCAGTGGTTTTTGGCTTTTGGATGTACGAGCAGATGAAATATTGTGAACTGTAGAAGTTTTCAGAAGCTTTGTTTCTGGAGTGATTCTCACGTCGGCTGCTCACCTTCTGGTCCCGGCCTCACAGCTGGTCTCACGTCTGCCGGGGCCTTCAGACAGTCGACCAGGTAGACCGACGGCTGCCTGAAGGCCTGCAGGGACACACCGCTGGGCGACGCCATGATCTCCACCGCAGCGAGTCAGAGGTTCATCGACCTACAAGACTGAAGATTAACAGTGAATTATACAGGTTGGATATAGGAGGAAGATCGTGGTGAGTTCAGGGTTGGACCCCTAATTAGGACAGTAGTTTAAACACACACACACACACACACACACACACACACACACACACACACACACACACACACACACAAAAGGGCATAATGCCTGATCAGCCCAGACATTATTAAACCATTAATAAAACTAATAACTAACAGCAGTGAATGTCAGACAGCATTATCAAACTTTAACATTTACCTAGTGGCGACAAAACGTCCACCAAAAGCTCCCTGCACCAAACTCCCTTTAAAAAACATCACATTTTAACTATTTCTAACGTGTCCGCAAAAACAGTTACCTCTAGAAAGACAAGATAAAGTGTGTTATATGTCCACAGTCTGGCTGTCACTTCGGCAGTAAAATAATCCATAAAGATAAAGTGTATCCTGTACAAACTTTACATTTTGTCTCCTCGGCCGCCGTCGCAGCTGCGCTCTTTTAGTGGGAAACAGACTCGTTAAATGGGACTAAACGCTTACGAGGTTCGTGTATTAACTCCAAGGTTCACACGTGTTTTCATTGTTGGAGGGAAAAGTAACCAGTAACTTTACAAAGAGGAACATATTCTACAAACTTACCAAACGGAGGTGAATCCGGTCTTTTACCGGACAAACGTTTGAGTCAATGTGCTGCTGCTGCTTCGTATGAACGTAAATAAATTCACTCTTTTGTTCTTTCTGCTCGTAAAACTTGTTTCCGGTGTTTTCGTAACGTTAAATCTGAAAAGTCGCCAGAGAACAGGAGTGTTTGTTTACTTCCGGGTTCCTGTTCTTCGAGTTATCTGGCGGATTGTTATCGAACTTAAAACCGCACATCGCCCCCTAGTGGACAGTCGGTAGAGCAGCAGCCTGTAAAGGTCACATTAGAGTCTATTACAAATAAACTAATTCATTAATTAATACATCTTAATAATAATGTTTTATAATAATTATAATAATAATAATATATTGTGTCTAATTAAGTTTACATTAGTCTATTAAAAATAACAAATTAATTAATTAACAATCCTGTGTTTGTTAATAAATCTTAATAATAATGAGAATAACCGTTATAATAATAATGAGTCTACTTTAGTCTATTAAAATAATTTTTAAAAATGTATAAAAACACCCTAAACTAAAAAAAATAAACAATCCTGTTTATTAATACATCTTAAATAATGATAATATTTGTTTATTATGTTGTATGTGACATGTAATAATTAATAAACCCTTTTTTTAATTATATTTGAGTTTACTTTCCCCTGATAGAAAAAGTGTTTTAGTTCAACCAGTGTCATAAATTATACCTTAATCCAGACAGCAGTAACTTCTCTCTTCTACTTCTTACTTTAACACAAACTTCGGTATGTTCTCCTCTTACTGTCCCACCTTCGTCTTTGATTAGTGCTTTACCTTTCCAAAAAGAAATGTTCTTTATATGCTTCATATTTAGCAAATCCATTATCCATTTCTACAGCCAACTTCTGAATTCTGAACAAATATTAAAACGTTTAAAACATTAAAGAGCTGCTGCAGAGTCGTGTGAAATTGTGTGTGAAGGTAAACTCCCTTTGATCTATTGAGCCCCCAGTAAATATCTGCAGATAATTATAATTATAGAAATGATTTCTGTCTTTATTTAACTCCATGAAATTACAAGTTCTTCTTTTGAGTTTTAAAGGCAGTTGGCAAAACCAACTTACAGGTGCATTAGCGCCACCTACTGGGCGGGAGTGTGAACGTATGGCTCATGCATGTAGTCAGTTATAAGCAATTTTAAGAGAATCTTTTACTTAAAGTATTCACTCTTTACATTATTATTACACTATTACACTACTTTAATGTCATAAAACAATAAACACTTAACAATCTTGAAACATGGACATAAAAAGCTGAAAAATATCAACAAAATCAAACAGCACAAGCAAGATGTTTTGCATAAAACTGAAGCATAAGACAGGAAAAATGATCACGTACTGTATTTCTATAGAGCTCCTCCTTGCAGCCACTAGGTGGAGCCATACGATCTGTTTTTGTCCTTGTCTTCGCTGTGCCTTCCTCTTTACAGTGGCTTTCATTCAGATAATGAATGGTGTGTAAAAATATAACACAAAGGAGAAAAATCTGCGTGATGAAGGTCTGTTTGGATGTGTTTATGTGCAGGAACTCATCACCATTCGTGTTTAAATAAAGCTTCTGCACTGAGATATAAAAAAAGAGCCTTAAATAGATTCTGAGCCTCAGAAGAAAAAGACATCCTGAGGGTCCTGATATCGGATAAAGACCTGAACAATCGATAAAACAGTGTGAAAGCGGTGGCACACACACACGCCCACAAACACACACCAATCCATGGGTCCTTTGATAATTCACTCTTTTGAAGATGGACATTTTTGAAGTTCCCTTTGAAGTGACTTTAACTAATGTTGTTGGTTTGCGAGCCTCAATTAATTTCAATCATTTCAAAGTCTTTTTTTTCTCTTTTATAATTTATTCATATATATGATGTAGAGGAACCACAGTAGGCTGGAAGCGAGGAGCAGTAGGTCTTTAATCCTCGGAGCTGCAGGGCTGGAGTTTCCTGAATGGTTTGTGCATAAAAAGTACAAAGAATTAGCTTTTAAAAATGAGTGTGGAGGTGCAGGAGAGCTCTTAAATCCTGACCGGTAGAACAGTGGTTTCCAACAACAATGATTTCCTACAATTCTGTAAAATAAAACCACAATCAGATACAAAAAAAAAAAAGTTTTGCTGTGTTTCTTTGTTTTATGTGAAAAACCAACATGGTCACTTTTCGGTGGCCCTCTTCTTCAAAATGTGATGTTGGTCGCACTCCAGGGTCATTTCTGGATGAGCAGTAAAGTTAGCAACAATAAATATGAAACGTTTACTTACTTTACTCCACGTTAGTTAACTTAGCTACAACTTTAAGTTTACAAAAATGTAGTCTAGATATTTGCAGCTATTCTTAATGGTGTTTCAGAGTTTGTCATTTGGGTAATAACTTTTGTAAATTCAAAATTTTCTCTACTTTGATGGTAAATATCACTGAAATGATCCGCGGGTGTTGCTGCTTGAATGCATTGGCAGTGAAGCACTATTTTCATTAATTACCTCAAATGTTGAAGTGTTCCTGGTTTAAGGCAATAACATTTATTTTCCTAACCAGGCACTTTCATAAAAATTACAGTTTCCCAGTTTTAATTACAACTTGGATGATGATGTGAGCGCCTTTGACTGCAGTAACTCCCACATGTCCTGAACGTGGCGTATATTTCAGAATGCATCATCACTGCAGTCAAGTTGAAAAACAAAGTGAACATGATTCAGACTATTTAAAGGTCTGTGTGTAACATTCAGGAGGATTTATTGTCAGAAATATTCACAGGTATGTTTCCATTCGTGTATAATCACCTGAATACAGGAATCGTTGTGTTTCTGTTGGCTTATAATGAGCCGTTTTAATCTACAATCTCTTCCATGGAGTCTGCCAGTGAGTCCAGGTGAAACGAAAAATTTTTTAATAAGATTAAAGATGCAACTGAACGGGGCTCAGCAGCCTCCCAGTGAACACTCTGAGACAGACAGAGGACAGTTTGATGACAGCGGTATCGAGATGCTGCATTCAGGCCCGGTCTGGTTGTGCGGTTCACTGGGAGCTCCCAGTCCTGGCAGAGTCTTAAAGTCTATCTTAAAGTTTTCATTGCTTGTAATAAGCACAACCTGCTTAACATTTGAGGCCCATTACAGTCAGTCATTTCAGTGGCTACATTTTTTGCTCAATGCAATGAAATTTGATCATATCTAAGAATATTTGTTTCTAGTAGGACTGTAGTGGATAGACACAAACCTTCATTCACATTTGCACAAGAAGTGCTGACTCTCGTGGCTTTTTTTTCCACAGTCATCAGACAACAAACACTGGACAATGAAACTTTCTGTAGCACACTCTTCTGGGTTCCCACTGCGACTTCTGTATTTCACTCTAAAATCTGGATCCTGTGTGGAGAACATTTCCCAGAGGTGTGACACCAGACACCAAAGATCTCACTCTGGCATGCAGAGCAAATCCCCGGTGTCTCAATTAGAGAGATTGATGTTTTAGTCAAAGCCCCAGTTTGAGTAGATTTTTACATAAACCTCTTTAAACATGTTAATTTCAAACACAGGGAAGCTCCACTTCGCCTCCTTTTTACACTTTAAACAAACTGATCAACAGATTCACTCAGCCAGTTGGCAGACACACACAAAATAGAGAAAATCTGCGTATTCCCCTCAGGTATGGTGGCTATGGTGGAACATGGGACTAAAACTTAGAATATTAAAGTAATTCACAGCAAACTTTTTGATGAAAATCTCGCAAAACTTGCCAAAGTAGATCACCGATTTCTTGCCTCTAAAAAGTAAATAAACACAGGGAAGGAGATCTGTACAAAGGGGAGAAAATGAGGGTGTGAATTAATAGTTTAAAATCTCTGAAAGACAAGAAGCATCAGAGTTTTGCAATATTTCGCAGCTGAAGAAGAGACGACTAGAGTTTTGTACCACAATGCTCGAAGACATATACTCATTAACTCACTAAAACAGCCACCAGAACAGATCGTACACATCTCTGGACCACCACCAGAGGACTGAATGGCTTTCTTACAAAACATATTCCCTCATTGGGTTTTTTAGATGATAGCGGTGGAGAGCGCTTCCAAACCATTCAGTGAGACCTCGTGCCCTATGGATTCAGGATAGAAATGTTTTATCACAGGGTAAAGGTGATCACTCAGAACAACTTTGTATTGATTTGCAGACAACCTTCTAGGGCTGTCCTCGACTAGTAGTCAACACAGAATATAAACTTCCAACTACAAATTCAAATACAGGCGGACTTATCGATACGACCGATGATGGATAACGTTAACAAACTTCCTCCGTTTCATTCCTCTCTTTTCATTCCTAGTGGTCCAGACCTAGACCCCTTCCTGCAGCAAAATGCCCCCCACTGCATAACAGAGCCACCAGATCCCCCCACCGGATCAAGCATTCAGGCCTGCACCGTTATCTTGCACTTGTGTGTGTTTTTCCATGTCTCTGTAGATGGTTTTTGCACCACTGATCTGAACGCTCAAATGTGCATTCATCTTTGTAATGAGGAGTTTCTGCACTGCAAACCGGCGATAATATCCCTCTGACAAAATCAGATTCATTTCATACATGAATGGATGTTAAATGCTTAATTGTACCAGGCAGTGGACCTGTGTGCAAGCATCTGCATTCATTATGTTTCTCCACTTGTTTCTTCTCTCTGTATGTATAGAAATAATTCTGTTATTCTATTCTAATGTGAATATTTGCATTTATGTTCTATGTGTGCGTAGCGTGACGGGACTATAAGAAACATTTCATTGTACAACCCTGTGTTGTAAAATAATATATTTACCCTCTGAAGTGCCTCCTAGGGCAGTGGTTCTCAACCTTGTGATATTTTAAGGATATTTCATATTACACAACAATAAGTAATAAATAGTGAACACAATAACTGCAGGAAGTTTGTATAAAAATGAACAGTTTAGATGAATTTTGATCAGAGTTTTCCTGATATTCTTTTTAACTTTTGACACAATTTTCTCTCTGTCCCTTAAAAGATGATATTCCCATGTGTCTTATATCAAAATGTGCAGAAAGACTTCAGTTATCTGTATAATGCGGCAGTATTTGTCCTAGAGCACTGTATTAAGAGATCATCTGACCATAAAGCTGAGTCTGCAGACGTTATTCAAACTATATTTT